CCTTCCAGACTTGGGAGAACCTGGGTTAAACTCCCGTGTGAAACAGACACAAATTGACAAACTGGAGAAGATCGCTGCTCAGGGTGAACGGATCATCGTGGGTCTTATCCTGATCAGCAATCGCGAGACCAAAAAAAAATGCGCACTCAAGGACCGTACCTATCCCCATTGTGCCATCGGTGAGCTTTGAGTGCACTCACAAGGGAGACCCTTTCAGTATTATCATCGGAAATTGGACCTCTGGTCACAATATAGACTTGAATCTGGTAAACATTAAGGATAACGTAACCAGACATTGTTGGACGCGGTGAAGCTGCGTTGACACGGCGAACAATTATCCCCGAACCATAAGGGCTACAAGTACAGGAAGCCGTGATGCTGGTGCACGAGAGGAACAGGTGGGACATCTGTGAAAAAAAAGAGCTTCATGGCTCATCGGATTCCTCCAGTATAAATCAATATTATGATTCTGGAGAGGTCTCCATTCGGTTCCATCGCATCTCAAAGAAGACGGCAGGCACCTCGAGAGGGGTTCACGGACTGTTCCTTCACAGTATCGTGGGGCTCGGCGGCGTCTTTGGGAGGCGTTCATCCAGCAGTGGATTGGTCATTACTGATGATGATATTGCCTATGGAAAATACACTATGTGACTTGTTGCGTGTGTGTCCGATTTAATCGCCCACCTGCTTTAAATGGTAAGATAGTTTAAAAGCCGTGCGTCATGGCCTATGCAACGTAATAAATCATGCCCGACGATTTACCCGTATGAAAGCGAGTACAAAAGACAATTGTTTTTCGCTGCATGCATCGGAATCGTTGGCCAATTCAATATCTGATTGTTTGGCTCAATGCGGGAATAAATTGGAGAACCACGGAGGAAGACGACCACGCGTAACACGAGGGGACAAACACTCAGCGCTGCCGTTTCCTGACCCACACCCTCACAGAACCTCGCCCCGCCTGCAGCAACTGGCAAGCCCTGGTGGTGGTCGATCACCCATCCACCTGCTAACCAGTATCAACCCTGCTTAACTCCCGAGATCCCACTCAGTTCGAACGCATTCAGGGTGCTTTGGCCGTTCGCATTACGATGGGGATATTGGATTTTTTTGTTATCATTTAACGTTCTTAACGCAACGCTTACAGACGCAATGATACGAATCGTACCTGTCTTACCAGCGCAATTGTTGTATTCTCCGAATTGTAAGACGCGTGTCCCCCCCCCCGCCCTCTATTTTTACCAAAAAATGGGGTTTGTGTCGCATAACTACATTGGTATACGTATGTGTGTGAAATAATGATATAACTTCATAAGTAACTGGCACAAATTTTGGAGGGTGCGTTCTACGTTCGGGGGAGTCTTGTAATCCGCAGAATGCGGTATTACGTGTTTCCTGATTGACGTCTCGGTTAATGTTTGAAACGCATTGAATTGGCGGTTTCCAGCAGTGGATGTCGACCGTAACTCGCACAAGTGTGTACATGAAGTTTAATTTCTGCAAGGACTGCCTGCTGTCTAACACCCTCTGTGTTTCTGCTGCCGTCTTACGTCTTTCGCCTGTGTCATAGGATATTACACTGGCGCGCGCACGGTACTCGTGTTAGGAAATTACGCGTGCTTGGAGTGGTGGTGCTGACATTTTAAAAGTTGATTTGTTCAACCAAGTGAGAACTCAAGAGGCCAGGATGAGTCTTATTCGCAACAGTGCCCTGGGTCACAGCAAAATGACGAAAGTAAACCAAATGAAAAAATAAATAAAGCAAAGCAATGAGAAAAATATAAATCGGTACAAAAGCAATTGTCGCAAAGACCAGACATTTTGTTAAGGGGTGGGGACATCGCGACTCACAGGGGCTGTCCCGGTGGTTTGGTAGATATAACATTCAGTCCTGTATTAGGGGCAGGCCATATCGCACGAGATGGGGTGGCGTGTGGCCATGCCCGATCGCCTTTAATTTCCCCACAAACAGGTTCTGAAATCGCTCGCCACTGATGTAAACCGTGGCCGGGAATCGAACCAAGGTGACCGGGTTCGCAACAGCAGCGCATTGTACGAACCATATATACCGGGAGTGCTATATATAACGGACGTTTGGCCTAAGTTGCTGTTAAGGATCACCTATGAAGGCCGGAACGTTACACGAGGGGAGGCCGCCTTTGTCTCCCGAGCGCTACACATCGCACTAGGGACTCACTTCAGGCTGAGTCGACCTATGGGAGGCCCAGGACCGGTTCAGATAATCGTCACTGTGTTGGCCGTGAGCGGGTATCGAACCTGAGGTAGCCGGGTTCGTAGCACGGCACGCTAACCACTTACCCTGCCGCTGTACATATACAATATGCATATTATACACGGACACGTCCTAATGAATGCGGTTCATAACGGTGCAAGCTTGACCTCTCGATCACATGTAACGATGAATGAACGTGATGAATTGGAATGTCCCGCCGCTCGTTAACAACACAAATACAAACAGGACGCGCAATAAACGAGTCAACAGAGGGCAACAGAGCGAGGCGTTGTGTTTATTTGTGTGTGTGGGTGGGTGTGTGAAGTTCCACTCCTGTGCGGCATTGTTCAGCTATACTGCGAAATGTTCAGCATCTGAGCAATTCGGCACACAACAATAATGTTGACATGGAGTGGCACATTCTTGTGGAGTGCTTAGCATCGTTCCCTCTGCCATTTGTGCGGTCGATTCCCTGCCGGGCTGACTGCCAGCGCCGAAGGGGCGGAGCCGGGATTTCAGGCCGGGGTGACATTCAACACATTTTAATTTCAAGAATGATTAGAGAGTCAGGCTGTTGAACTAGACGCCATCGGTTGGCGACACACTCTGACAATGCAGTTGCACGGAGTCCGCCAGACCGAGTGTCGTACACTTATACGCAGAATGTCACCCCTGTCACCCCCCCTGGCTCCGCCCCCAGCGCCTGTCTTTCTATGACATAAACATGCCCACTATTTCCGTCCAGCGTTTTAAGACCCTTCATTGGATCAACATGATATTGTAAGTGCAAGGCACATTTAGACAAAAAAATAATCACCAGGTAAGGCCCACTGCGCGGTGTAGCTCTTTTTCAAAAGCGACCTGGCCACAAATGATAGCTCAATCAAGTGGCTTATGACGTGGAAATATATAGCAGCTAAATACTCTAAACATTAAAGGGTAAAAACAAATTATGGTACGTGCGTAGATGTAATGTTTGCTTTTGTGCTTTGTATCGACTTTTAAAATCTGGAATACATTTATCTGGGAAGGATTTGGCGAGATTTTTATTTAAAATAAATATTCACGAATGTACTTACGGCCTAAAGGCCAAATATAATTTAGTAAACATGAGGTTAATAAGAAGGAAGACTGCACTTAATACGAAGTAAATATACCAGAAATATATATTCTTGAAAGCGGCTAGATTATGAAAGTACAGTAGAGGCATTGAAGAAACCCTGCACATTTGACAAATGTAAATAGCTTAGCTGTCGGCAGCCTTAAAACAAACACGGTAAATCATAAAAAAACCCTTTTATTTTACCAGGTAAAGACCACTGAGCTATGTAGCTCTTTTTCAGAAGCAACCTGGCCACAAATGATCGCTCAAAGAAGTGGCTTATCATGTGGACATTTTTTATGCAGCCAAATACTCTAAACGCATTTTTATACACGTGGAGGGGGGGAAAAAATCGGAGGACCTGGAGAATAATCCACGCGACCACGTGGAGAGAGAACACGAAAACTCCCAAATACGCAGGCGTCAGGGTCGGGATCGAATCCATGTCCTCTTTGTACACCAGGCGAGGCAGTTCGTGTCCTGGCAGCGTGGCGCCCACCACAGCCTTAGCTCATGGCTACACTCAAGTCTTAATTTCTCATGGTATATCTCCAGCCTGCTGGGCATCCACCCCTTCCACCCTCAGCAGCGTCGCTAAGGGGTGCAGGGGGTGCGGACCGCACCGGGTGACACCATCCGAGAGGGTGACACCAAAATGACTGTCGATTCAATTTTTGTGCAGTGTTTCAGCAGAAATGTATTCTTTTTTTTTAAATAAAAGTATCCCTGTAGTTAGTTATAAGCACAAATTTTTTTTCGTAAGCCCAGCTTACATGTACAATATACCTACAAGGCTAAAACTCTGTGCTAATTTACTTTTTGAACCTTCTAATGCGCTCCGATCAGAGCTGTCATTGTTACCCAATTACATTGACGCTTAGAATCACGTGGTTTCGTCTGCACGCGCGACAAGCAAGCGTTGTTGTTTTCGTTGCTGCTCGTGTTTTTATAGTCGCTGATTTTGTCGCATATTATGGTGTTTTAGCTACAATATCGTGGTAATTAGTATTTGTGAACCTATATCAATAACTTTTTTGAGAATTAAGTACTATATTCTTGGTTCTTTCGGTAAAGTCACGTAGAAGGGAAACAACAAAATAAAAAAATATGAAACAAATCAAAATTAAGTAGTAGTAATTAAACAGAAATATTGTAATTTAAAGGCGTAATTTTTATTTTGCTAGTTCTTTACGTCACTACTATTGCCATTACATTCAGTGGTATACGGTAATTACGATTTACGAGTAACAGTAACAAAAAAACATCACTAAGGATTCTGTATGGTCTGGTACAGGCGGAGGTCCATGAGGGGTGACACCATGAGTTACCGCACTGGGTGACACCAACCCTAATGAGGCCACTGCCCACCCCTCCCCTCTCGCACTTTCATTTTTTTGCTTCTAATATTTTCCGGAGCTCAGCCACCACCACCCCCCCTCCCCGTCGGGAGCGAGGCAACTACCAAAAGCTCCAACAACGACAGACAAAGGAGCCCCACGTGCGGCCCCGCCAATCGCGTGCGGCGCCGCCAATCGCGCGCGCCCCGTTGGCCCTGCGCGCGAGTGACGTCACCGTGCGCCGCAGCCTCGCCCACCCAACTCCTTCTCCCCCCTCCTCTCCCTCACTGCGCATGCGCGCGGGGCGGAGCGCGCCATTTTGCGTTTGAAACTGAGCGCGGTGGGTCGCGGTTTTTCTTCTTCTCGTCTCTCCCCCTCGGGCTTCCCCCCCCCAACCACCCCCCTCACCTCCCTCTTTACGCGGCAGCGACACCCGCCCCGGCCTCGCCCCAAGCCGGTGAGCCACGAGGCGGAGGATTCTCCGTGGAGGGGCTCTCTTGGCTTTGTCGAGATGTGGGCCTGAGCGGCTCGACTAGACGTGCTGGGGCAGGGGGTGGGGGGTGGTGTCCTCATATGCTCAACCGCGGCACAGCGCTCAATAAAAGTTCGTTTAAGGTTCACGAGAATGAATGTAATTTCGTGCTGTGTGGAATTATTTGCTACGTAGCACAGCGGCACGGCTCGGTCGTGGTCAATCCACCGCTGGATCGTGAGAGGCGGCAGCGGCTTCTTGCAGAGAGGCCTTCATTCAGCAGTGGATTGGCCATGAACGACGACGATGATGACGATGATTGTTTTTGTTTAAATATACGTGTGTTAGATTGAGTTGCGAGCAGTTTTTCGGTTTTTATTGTGTGTGTTCAGTTTAACCGTGAGCTAGAAGTTTGCGCGTTGCTGTGGTTGCGAGTACAGTCACGAACAAGGTTGACCCGAGTTGATTCCATCCATCGGGACTTGATCTTGCCGAGTTGATCGTGAGTCGAGTTCTGTTGCCGCAGCGTGACCCGGCCCATTGTCTTAATGCGTGTACAGTACGTATGTCAGCCTTTAACCTGCCCCGGAAATACATGATGAGTTCAAAGATGCTAAAAATTAAGGGGTGTTTTGTTGGCAAAAAAAAAAATAGGTGTGTACACACAAACTTACCAAAAATATGAAACCGCATTCATAATTTTGTCGTTTATTATCAACCTCAAAGACAATGTAATTCAGTTCTGTACTGAATTTTTTTTAAAAAAAGCTATTGAACGGAAGGATATTCTTTAACTTTATCTGATCATTTGTGGGGACAGTAGTGACTTAATCACGACGCGTATTTAATTAAAATCACCAGTAGCTAGAAAAACTGCAGCCCCAAGTAACACTTGCATAAGAACCCTGTCTCAATAGGCTCACATGAATTTGTAAAGTATTACAATTGGAGACAGCATTGAGTAAATGGATGGGGGGCCGTAGTTAGTCTCAAATGAGGCGATAATAAATTTGGACGACTCCGTAATTGTTAAGTGAAAACATGGGTTATACGAAGATCGTTATGGTGAGAGTTTGTGTTACATTTAATACACCCTTAACATTACTTAATTGCAAAATGCGCAAACGTTCATACAAACTGATTTCACTGGTAAGACCTATCGGCTATAAATTAAGTTAATAACTGAGGTATAACACTAAATATAAAGAAATGAGGTTCATCTTGATTGTCTTTTGTTGCTGGTTGTCTTGTCACTACTACAGGCCCTGTTTGAAAGAATATCTGCCAGTGGTGCCGTGGACTGGCTGTGCAACCATGGAGCTCAACGAAGCCAACTTGCAGACACTCACAGAGTTCCTGCACAAGACCCTGTCTCCTGACCCTGCCGTACGCAGGCCTGGTAAGCAAGGTTGTATGTGAAACTTAAGCATCGCCCTAAATCCCAAGTCTTTTTATATATATAACACTTGCTGACCACAGGCCCAATAGGGGCTGCAACAAACGTCACCGTTACAAGTTGTAATATATCAGAGTTAATACGTTTCTTGAATTGAGCATGGTTATCAGCGCTTGGTAAAGAGATGATGGAAGGGAATTCCAAATGTGAGCAGTGCGAGGGAGGAGGCAGAAAGAGAAGGGTTTTGACCAGGGGTGGGCAATTTTTTTGACTCACGGGCCACAATGGGTTCTAAAATTTGACAGAGGGGCCGGGCCAGGAACAGATGGATGGAGTGTTTGTGTGAACTAATATAAATGACATGTAAAAATCATTACGTGAAAGGATTTGGCCTTTAACAGGTAGCAAAGCATTTATTTGCAAGGCAATTTTAACAAATTGCACGAACATGAACAATACAAAAACATGTCGCAACGTGACTGATCAAACATCATAAAAACATCTGAGGCCTGCGCCCAAACCAATTACCACACTCCCGGTCAAAGTGCGCCATCTAATGGGGAAATGGGGGCATTACAGGAGAAAGGTCAACTTTAAATTAATAATATTTGGACAAGTTCGGCAGGCCGGATTAAAAAGCCCAATGGGCCGTACTTTGCACATGTCTGGTTTTGACCGACACTGTGGTAATTGGGTAGTTTATGGTTGTGTATGGATACGTGCACCAACTATAAAACACATCCACATGTATGCTTGAATGCTGGGATAAAAAAAGTAAAAATTTTGCCAAGTGTTTACAATTATGTGTATTGTGCACATTTTGTTTTATATCATGTCACTCACAAAAAATGACAGTTGTTTTAAGTGGCTAAAACTTGTTTTTTTAATATGTTTAGGTATACATTTGTTTCAGGCTTTTGGCAGTGTCTTGAACAATGCTTAATTATTTTTCAAAATCCACAATTCTTCTGCACGTGTCTCTTACTGAAATCAGTATATTGTGTGATTTAGCTTTAGCATGAGACTCGTTGCCTTTACCGTATAGCGTTGCAAACTTTGTAATTTGCTAATCGTAGCCCCTGGGGTGTCTATAGGAAATTCCAAGGAAGCTCCAACGTTGGCTTCATAAGACAATCAAGAGTCCATTAGAATTGTGATTGTGTCATGCATAATGTATTACAATCACAATGTGGTTGTGTTTTTGGCTAACTATGCCACTGTAATTATAATTGTAATATACTCCAGGTCAGTGGTGGTGCGAGGCGTACAAAAACGAAGCAAAACTTAGGGCCCCTCGCAGCTGGATGCATGAACAAAAGTATGGGGAACCAAGTGTCAGCACAAATTCAAATGCTAATAATAAACATAAAAAGTATACTAATTTCTCGTATGCACATCTTGTCTCTGTCTTGTGCCATTTAACTCCCATCTATGTCTCTGAGCTACATCTCTGTTATTTTACTGCGTCTATCGTCTGTATCTCCGTATAAATACTCATAAAGTCACTGCATAAAAAATATAGTAACCTGATACAAGACCCTCCAGAGAAAGTCTGTGGACTCAAGTCTTGCTTTCCTGGATAGTAAGTTAATTATTATTTCGTGTTCTCTTATCTCATTTGCCTACATTTATCTAATCTCACTGCTCTATCTCTAGGTCTGGTCTATATGTCTTCTGTCATCTCACTCGGAATTTATCAATCAAAAGGGGACATGAAACTAATTTAAGCCTTTGGGCCCTCAATGGGGCCAGCACCACCACTGACCCATTATTCTCCAAGACACCCAATCCAAAGGCAAAGGCAGAAGTTTCAGTTGAAAAAACACTAGTTACTCTGTAAACGTACCAGATTTATCCCAACCATATGTTCATAATTCTACATACGCAGCCATTCTTGTCAATTCACTGCTGGATGTGGGCTTCTCCATGTCGTGTGGGCCGTGGTGGATACTTTATCACACTTGACCCACTGGTCAGTGAGGTTTGGACGAAGAGAAGATGGACTTGGGTGCATAGGACACTACAACAAAGGGTTTTGCTGCAATGCTTTGCATAATGTTGGGCTGCATTGTCAATTTGTACATATATACGGGATATCTTTGCATTTCACACTGCTGAGGTACCTGCAATGGGCGAGATGTGTGAAAGTAAAACCTATGGCTGTGACCGTGGACAGCAGCAGTCCCTTTCTCCGTAATAAATGCAGGCTGTGCTCATGTCCAGCCACGTGAGCCTTCAAGGACACAGCTCGCTGAGGAGCGCCTGGCAAGACACCGCTGTGGAAGCAGCAGTGCCTCGTCCTCTCCCCTATCTCTCGAGGTCGAAGGTCTTGTAGAAATGATAAATGCCCTGTGATCAGCCGGCTCATCACGGCCGTGCCCATGTGTGCTCACTGGCACACCACCATTAATCACAGCGCGGCGCTACGGTGATGAATGACCCTGCTTGCATCTCCGCTCCCTTTATTTACACGGTATTGGGGGTTATTTGGGATGGGAGGGGACGGCGGATTTACCGAGGATCAATAACGTGACGGGAACGCGGCCGTGAGGTCAGTGTCAGTGTTGTACTCATTGAGCTGTATCAGCCCCTGAGGACACGATTCTGTCGAGTCTAACCGACCAGCAACATCATTAAAAATAATTATTTTGGATGGCTGAAGAAAGTGCTGGTTCACACATCTGCTGTTCGAGTTGGTTAATTAAAATGATTCACTGGGCATTGTTGCACTTCCGCCTTAAATAAGTCTTTGGTTTGTTATCAGAATCCACTGTCCCATCATTCAATGGTACTGTAATTACAAAATCGACAGTACATGTAGGTGTAAACCCTGGTGTTCTAGTGACACGGTTGAAGTTAACTGATTTTTCTAAAATGGAAGTGTATAACCCTTGTGCATATGTTGCCGATTGATGAATGTTTGTTCTGCAGTCGGATTCCTCTTCAGAGTAATTTTGCTAATGTGCCCAAACGGTTAATATGGGACAACTTCTGATAGACACGTAAATTGATTCTTAGTTTGCTCAGCATAAAAAATCGTAGAATGTCATTTCCACTTAACAATCTTTGACAATGTGGTTAAAATACACCAAAAAAATACATTAAAACATTGTTATTGCAAAAATAGGTAAAAGTTTCAAAGGGTAGAGGGTGATTGGTAAGTTTTATTTTAAATTGAGTCATGAGAAATGCGAGTGTCTATTTTCAAGTTCACAGCCAGTGATGGCCTGAAAATAATGAGCGCCTTCAAAATAAGGAATCTAACAAATGGATAATGGTGAAATTAAAAACAAAATAAACTTGATTCCTACAGATGAATCCCAGATTGACAAAGATGTCGAATATGCTGATGTAATGCAAGTTGTCCCTCAACATAATAGCAGACAAATTAGATAGTTAACAAGCAATCTAGGTCAGGAAGCGGCCAATTTTGGAGTAAGCAATAACTTCAGATGTTTGAAATAAAATGTCACTACTTTAATATCAAAGCTAACGGAGCATTAGGACAGTTATTGAAAGTCAGGGGCGAGGGGAGTTTAAAACTCGATCAGAACAACTGAACTGAAACTAGAAAAAAACACGTTGATGAAGTGTTGAAATACAAAAGGGTGGAGATGTTAAAACACTAATTGAAAACACAGAATTTTAAGACGATTCGGAATAAAATTAGAACATTTCAGGAACACAACAAAAAATCATTAAAGACATAGCAAGCATTAATTCTAGATTTGAAGCTTTCGTGACTGAAAGGATTCATACTCTTTGGCTTTTTCGGTAAAGTCACGTAGGTAAAAAAATAAAATTAAAATAACTGTAGGAGTTATTTTGCTGTGCCTTTTTTTACACCTGATGAAGGAAGCTTGTGTTGCCTCCAAAACGTCGTGATTTAATTTAGTTTTCATTTATTTTATTTTTTATTTACGTGACTTTACCGAAAAACCAAAGAGTACATAGCAAGCAGTGAAAGCAGGATAAATTGGGCTGATTGGCAATAAAAAAATGGTGTAGCCCTTAGGTGGAGAGTTGGTACCATAAAATATGATCGAGATACAAGCTTAATATTTGTGAAATCGTTTATTTAGCAAATCTCTGTAGGACAAACAAAAATATCCCTGGAGTAGAACAGCTTTTTTCGGATGAAGAAGAGGAGGAAGTTCCAGATGGCCTGCAAGTGAAAGCAGAAAACTAATGTGCAATTTTGACTCGCCCACAGTGATATTGCCCCACAACCAGCGATGGCCTTGCTTTGGACCCAGGGAGGTGATTTATTTTAAAAGGGTAATGTGAGACTGCCTGCAGACAGGGGCTATCGTTTGTAAAATTGTGTTGCGTTTGCAATCAATGTCTGCTGCATCCCCCTGTTGGCTTCAGTGCAAAATACAATATGCCGTGGAGCCCGGTACATGTGGTATTTGACCAAAGTTCGGCGCCCTGTACAGAGGGCATAGCAATTAAGATAGCTAAATTTGTCATTTGCAGAGCATGAATGGGAAAGTCGATGCTCTTCATCATCTGGTCCTGATTTAGGGGGTTCTTAACAAAAAAACAAAATGTGGAGAGGAGGGGGAAAAAGTTGGTCTAGTTATTTTTATGAAAGTATTTTTGGGAGCAGGGTGGCATGAACTCTTTGGCCCTGGGGAGCCATGTGATTTAAACGACCTCTGAACTTGGGCTGGAAGCGGTGTCCCAAGGGGCTGCCCCAGTGGAGCAGTGGGGTGAGATGCAGGAGTGATGGGTTATGATGGATGAGTCGGTACTCTCCGTGGAAAGTTTGGGCTTCGCATATCCCGGGGAACAAAAAAAATGGCTGGGGCAAGGTTCTGCAATGTGTGCCACTGCCTTTTTAATCATATATTTGAATTAGTTTCCTTAATTAGTGTGGGTTACTTATAATATTTGTAAGATTTTCTTGGTACGAAGCGTTAGCACAGTGGTTATAGTGCACTACGTTATGAATCTGCCGGCCTGACTGGTTCCGAGCCACATCTAGCCATTCCATGAGTGTTTGCCATTGACATGTTCATTTCATAATATCACTATTTATTCCCATCAGGAGTTAATGCTTATATTAGTTGTGATGGACATTGATGTGCTCTTTCACGAACTTAGCACTCACTAAATCCTGAATGATAATGGTGATACTAATTGAGGAGAGACTAAGTTGAATAAAAATTGCACCATGCAGTTTGAAGTGCTCAATGTAAGTACTTTTTACCACTCGAGTATCCATTTGAGACATGTATATTATTCAACGGAGAACCACTATTCAGGGAACAGGAAAGGGAGTAAAATTTAACAAGGATTGATTTTTGTACAAATTAACAATTTTTTTATGACTCCGTATACTGTATACAAGCATTAAAATACGTTTACAAAACACGGTAGGACAATATTTTTGTGCAAACGTTCGGGTGACCCATTTGAGTAATGATTGTCCTTGGTTGTTTCTTCATGGTTGGTTACTGACGGCAATGTTAACACATTCTGCCGTTTGAATGATACCTCTAAAAAAAATCGGATACTGCATTAATGCCGTGAGAATTATTTAATGTGGTTTAAAATCACCACCAGTCCACTCATCTTTTTAATTCATTGCTCTTACAATGGATAAAAATATTTGGATAGGTTTATCTCATTCATGTGTCATGTTAATGATATTTCTTTTTCATCCTAGCCAATGTAAAAACAATGCCCAGGGCATTTAATTTTGCTCATGAGAGGCCGACTTTTTTTTAACGAGCTTTAATCTGTCATTGGGCATGCCCCAAGGGCATCCATCCCGAGCCACTTACCGCTGACAAGGTTACAATCATGACATCGCGTTGTCTCTCCGAGTTGAGTTTGGCCGTGACGCTAAGTGTGCTCATTTTTCACAGCTGTCGATGGGTTTGCTCCTGTGGGAGTCTCTAACGAGGACCCGTCCGTCTGCCGGCGTCAAGATGATGGAACTTCCGTTTAGCCGCAAGGGCTGTCAAAATAATTACGATTTGACCTGAACTCATTGCTTCATAAGCAAAGATGTCTTGAGAAATAAATGATTGTTTTTGCATATGACGTCGCGACAGGGCAGACTGGCGAGGGAGCTCTCGAGAGGAAAAGGCGACCGAATGAGACTGACGCCAACTCGTGTGTGTACACGCAGTCGGGCTCTGAGGGCTTGAGCGGCTAATTAACTCTGGGTTGGTGGTGATGAAGAGATTTTGGAGTGGAGGAGTGGGTGAGCGGCGTGTCTAGCAATGTCTCATCCCCACGGTAATCTGCAATGGCGACTCTTGAGCCATTGGTGGAAATTTGACATTTCTCATAGCAGTGGCCAGTTTATTGATAGCAACAAGTACTCTTTACTCTAAGAAGAGCAATATTGGAACATTCATAATTATGAATAATCGTAATAGCACTGAATGCTATTAATGCATTGCGCTCTTGGTATTTTTGTTGTACTTTGAGAAGTGTGTAAGGAACGTTACAAAAGCACGTATGGTAATATAGTTAAGAAATAATGTGTTATTCTTTGCTGAAATCTGCTTTAATGGTTTAAATTTTTTAAAATAAATCTGTTGGAAACCATCCCCCAAATTTTTTTTCTTGGCTCCTTCCCCTGGCCCCGTCTCTTCTTCCCCGCGGGTTAGAGACATTGGTCCGAGGCGGCGCCAGCCGTAGACGATCGCGCGGGCAGGGCGGCAGTACCCACGGCACTTCCTACGCCCCCTAACCTAAATAAAGTGCACAATAACAGCCATTGTATACAACGCATTACTCACCCTTGACATCGCCGTAATGTATGCGTGTAAGAAAACAAATTAATCAAAAAGTCGAGTGGTAAAATAATACTTATATATTTTAAAAAGCAGAATTTTTTTTTATGAATGGCTACACACGGCCCCCGCACATTTACGTCTGATCCACGGCACCTAGCAGCACGGACGAGCATTTAAGCCAGACGTTTTTGATTTTATTACTGAACTGTTTTGCTTTTAATTGACATTCGTGCACTCAAGTTACCGCACCTGTAAACATAACTTCTTTCCTAACGAAAGTGCCACGGGGTGATCGGGTACGCTACACTGGCAACACGCAGGTGTGTTTATAAGGGGGCAGTACAAATATTTTTGAAAGGTATATAGTCCCGCCTTTGCCAAAATTCTCTCCCACTTGGTTCCTCTGAACTGGGATAAACTGTTAAGTGCAGGATTAAATTAATGTTACAATATTATTCTGTTGGGTCGGGTTATGACCAGTGCAGTTGTTGCACATTGTGACCTATATCGCCCGGGGTTTAAACTTGGATCTCAATTGTGTTGGTTCAGTGCTGAGCGTCCTGCCTCTACGCTTGAATTCGGGAAGTTATTTTCATGTTCACGGTTTTGAAGTAGTGCGCTCCAGGGATGGTATTGTGTGTGGTGCCATGCGCGGTTGAAATGCTATTGGGGGGGGGGAATGGATGTGCGCTGCCCTAATTCTGGTATTACGACAGATGGCAGTCAGGGTTGCTGACGGTGTTGACATGAATAGAAGCGATGCTTATGTGGACATTGGCAGCGCTGTACAAAATATTCAGCAGAGCATTTGTAAGAAAATTATTTATTTATTTTTCCGAACGGTCACTGCGCGCACACCTTACACAAGTAAAAATGAAAGATGGCACACACTCTCTGCGGCCACCCGAACCAAACGGTGGACCATGCCACGAACAAGTGCATGCTGCGCCTGGTCTATAGCGGGGGCTATATACAGTATTAGTCGTGCAACTCCCGAAGCTATCACATTACTCAAAAACTTAAACCTGGACGTATAATTTACACCTACTTGCCATATATATTCTTGGTTCTTTCGGTAAAAAAAACACGCCACTTTTTTCAAATTTTCTTGCTGTGGCACACCTGATGATGATTGCTTGTGTTGCAGTCGAAACGTCGTGAGAATTTTATTGTTTTATATTTTTATTATTTTATTGTTTCCCCTCTACGTGACTTTACCGAAAGAACCAAGAATATGAATCCGTGCAGTTACGAAAGCTTTAGATTAAAATTTTACTTGCCATATGTTAGAAGATGAAGTGATATTTATTGTTTAAAAAAAAACTATTTGTTTACATTTTCCTCTATTGTATTCCGTTATTTGTTTTTTAACTTTAATTATCATGGCATGAGACGACCAAAGCAATCGGATCTCTTGCAGAGCAGTGCAACCCTTCATTTGATAGAATAGCTTGCAGAAATGGATATCACAGAACTACCACTGAGATGCCTTCAAGTGACCTCTGGTGCACATGTTAGAGGGCAGCACTTTGGTACACACTGCCACGTAAGAGTAATGTTTCTCGCATCACAGTGAAACCGATTTTTAATTATCTGCTGGAATTTAGAACCAAATTTAACGTGTTTTGTTTGTCATTGGTGAACAGGCTGAGGCTATCAACTCACTGCACGTGAAAAACTCGGTTTAATTACAGGCAGTTGCCTTGACGTGATTCTAGGGGGGGGGGGGGGGGGGGGGGGGTCTTGTTGGTGCCAACTCACCGCACTGACCTCTGAGCCACCGGGCCTCGATTAGGACAATGATCATTAATTATGACGATGATTTTTTTTTCTTCCTTGTGCTGTAGCGGAGAAGTTTCTGGAGAGTGTCGAGGGGAACCAGAACTATCCGCTGCTGCTTTTAACGTTGCTCGAGAAGTCGCAAGACGGCGTGATCCGAGTGTGCGCCGCCGTCACCTTCAAGAACTACGTCAAGCGCAACTGGAGGATTGTACGCGCAGCACCGTGGACAGACCATGTCAAATGCTGTGATCTTATTATTGGAGAGACTAACTGTCGGGCCTCAGTTTAAACTTCGCCTTGACGCATGCACATGTGCAGCCCTTTTGTATAAAATGATTATGGAGCTGCTAGAGATGGTGAAGAAGGTCATTTTGTTGATAATAGTAGACCAATTATAGCACACTCCGTGGTTCAAAACTCACCAGACAGAAAATATATGAAGGCTGGAAATAAAATGGGAGTAATGCAGCAAAATAGAGATTGGTCCTCCTGTCATCTTCCCATCATGCCCTGTGTGCCAAATGACATAACCGTACCGCATGTAAAATGCACACAGGCTTATTTTAGATGAACTGAAAATAAATATGGCCACATTTTTGACTTAAGTTGGCAGTCTTAACACAAAGGCTGAGTACAATTTACTCGGTGATGGGAGAGCCATTCCAGTGGGTGCAATTGTGCCCAATAGTTGTCAGAAATCACCTTGTCGCGTGTAGAATTACTCTTATTGTGATTGATTGTTTTGGTGGCAGCGGCGGCGATGGTAGCGAAGATCACAATGTTTGATGGCGACAGGCGAATGGAACAAATGCCAATACCCGGGTGTGAACGATGCTGCTGAAGCTGTGCGCACACGTGTGCTTTCTTCGAACCCAGGTGGAGGATGAGCCCAACCGCATCAGCGAGAGCGACCGCACGGCCATCAAAGCCAACATCGTCAATCTCATGCTCAGCAGCCCCGAGCAGATGCAGAAGCAGGTGAGAGCTGCATCCATGGTGTGCCCTCGAGTCTTCTTCGCCATGCCCTCGGCACTTTTTGAGGGTACGGTAAAGAAGAAGGAAGATAAAGGGGCCGATTGAGATTAAAACAATAAATGAAAGTCGTACATAGGCACGGGTTAGGTATTGCTTTGCAAACATACCTTTGCCCTCGGAGTTGTTGAATAGGCTATAATGAGCCACACAATGAGATGATATCACACATGTGGCACATGACATCGACTCGAGAAAGCTTATCTCTTTAGCATTGGTTTTGGGCAACACTTTGATCAATGTCACTGATTTTTTTTGAATAGGGTAAATCCCTATTAGCAACACAACCATATGCTCATGTATTGTGTATATTTCATAATCTTAAAGTGCTTTCTAGTGATCACCCGCAAATGTATTCACGCTTTCAACCTTAGTTGCAAGATTAAAAAAACTATAATGAAGGAATGCCTACAAAAAAAGGACTTTACAAAACATAGATGGCATTAATAACCATTTAGCATTGGATAGTGAGCGCACTGACAATGGCCAACAGAGTTATTGTGGCCGCAGGAACAAACCACCTCGAGTGTGCAGGCTTTATCGTAAAGGTGTTACATTGCCTGCTTCTATGACCACATCACTCAAAATGCGCCCGACCTAGTCTGTTTTCGCCACCTGAAAAGGGTCGAGCCTGGAGAGTGCTTGGATGGGCCAACACCATGCACAGCAGGTTGTTATTGGCTATAGTGTATGTATGCTGAACTTCTTTCGCACCGTATGTAGCCAACCGTGCTAATCAGAGGTGCAGCTTTCGACTGGCGGCGAGCAGATGGTAGTGTAGCAAATTCTATCACACTCTACTTGTGTGCTCCCACATCGATGCTCCCCCACCTTTGCCACCCTTCACTGACCAGCCTGCTGAAATATAATCAAATAACCCCAACAACCCACGTGGCGTGGTGAAGCCCTCTCCAAACCATATGATTGACAAACAAAAACTGCACATTTACATGCGTGTGATATTCCTACTTTTGTCGTAGTTGGACCACCTGCAAGAAGTGTGCCGTTAAATGTAAGTGCACGCATGGTGGTGGCGCGTGCCTGGTAATCCAGCACTGCAAGCGATGGTTGGTTGATTGCACAAATGTTGCAAAACTCTACCTTCCCGTGGGCGTCGAGATGCTATACCCTGGCTCGCCAGGAGAATGCAGTCGAGCAATCACGTGGACTCTACCTGTTCCATCTGTACGGGGTAGAGTATTTCCCCCTCGCACGCAAGTTGTTTCCCCGGGTGCTCGGGTTTTCCCCGTCAGGTGAACACGCATTCATTGGCCGATGATCTCTAAATATAGAGGACCGCAGAGCTTGGGCAATTGTTGCCGCTGGCTGTTGCGTGGCTGCCTTCCTACTTCTGTGGTTCGTTTCGCCTCTGAGTTTTTCTCTGCTTGAGAGTGAGTGATTACGGTGCGTGTTATAATTTAAAATTATTATTTTTAAGAAGACTACTACGATCAAACTGCAGCTCATTTTTTGGGGCGTGGGTTGGGGCCGGGGAAGTTTTAAGGAAAGAGAAGTGAAGGCGTTTCCCGCCCCCCCCCCCCCCCTTCCCTAAGGAGCGTGGCGGCTGGGATTTAAGTAACCTTGAATGATATGGACCGTCGTGGGATTTGGAAAGCAGGCCCGCACGCGCACGCGAAAACCTACACCGGTTGCGTGGCGGCCCCGACACCGGCTAACGCACGGCTGAATTACGGCGGTGATTTGTTTTATTAAAAAAAAAAACGCCAGGCCATGAAATCGGAGTGTCGCGTGAGGAGTAGCGGGGGGCGGAGGAGGAGAGGTGCCGAAACAGGCGAGCGCTTGTGGAACAAGCCGCACTCTGCTGCGGCAAGCCGCTGATTTTGCAGTGCTCTACAGTTCAGCGGACTGGCGGTATTTTTGAACACGCTCGAGTTTACTTTAGCCGAGAGCGGGCGGCGTGTCAGTCGCGGTAGAATTTTTCTATTGTGTCCACATTTAGCAGCGCCTCGTGCCAACAGAAATACAACCATCGGGCAGCTTGATTGGAATTCCTACTGTCATCAAAATGTGGCAGGGTTTTTTTTTGCGCGTGCGCTGCATAAAACGTGCATTTGTATTGTCGAAAATATGCATCCTGTGACGTAAAAAATGGCCATCGGGGGACGAAGGCTATAAACGGACGCCGAGCTCGACTTAAAAATGTTCGTTTTGCACTCATCGGCAGGGTGAATGGTGAATGGTTGGGTAGGCTCTCAAAAAAATGACCGAGCTGTCCAGATTGACACCACTGATGGGTGTGCAAGTGCCCGTCAGGCCTTGTGGAAGGCGTCGTTTGACGGGGAGGAAACTAGTAGTGCTTCTGAGAAAAGGCCTGCAGGACTGTCGTGTTTTATTACAGAGATTGGTCAGTTTTTTTATTTTAGGGGGATTTTTTTTCTCTCTTTTCCCCTCCCTGTCCTTCTTACCTTCTTGTAAAGGGATAAGGAATAGGTGTTGGCACGCACTTCAAACTCACAACGTGTTATTCTGTTAATGGAAAAGTTGTGCTGGGTTAATGAAGTTAGTGTTTTGATTTAATTATGCTCAGGAATGTTATACTTACAGACCCTTAGGAATTGGTTACCTCTATATGTGTGCCCGTGTGACAGGCCGGTGTTTTGGAATTTGATTAGCAATTTGATTTTATCAGGAGTCTTACTGACATTTTCATAATAGTTTAAAATGACTAACTTAAATTGGTGTATTAAGCCAGATTGGTTAATTAGATAGTATTTCAGTGCAGTACGTGCATGCCAAATTAGAACCCTCAACATTGCTTGCTTCCTAGCAGTCTAGTGATGCATTAGACTGCTAGATCTATGTGCAAAGAATGGATTTTTTTCAGTTTTCACTAGCAAGGGCCGTACATTTATGCGGAATACACGGCTGGGGTGGAGGCGTGACGTCATCATCGCGCACTTGCCTGCCCGCATGCCAGCCAGCAAGCAAACCTTTTTTTAATAATATAATATGATATGCTGCATGTAATGGGTTAACGTCACCCCTGGAGCCACTCGAGGCACTACCGTTCACCACCATGTTGAAATTTTATTTTTTTATTAAACCAGAATTACAAATTGTGATCATTCATAGAATTGCCAGGAGGGAAAATCGTTAATATCCACTTGATTCAAATTACTCTTTGGTTCTATTCGGTAAAGTCACGTAGGTAAAAAATAAAACAACAAAAAGGCGTGACATCACCACCGCGCAAGTGGCCTTCATCACCTGATGAAGGCCACTTGTGTTGTGGCCGAAACGTCGTGATTTTTTGTTTTATTTTTTACCTACGTGACTTTACCGAATAGAACCAAAGAGTATGGATCCTTGCAGTCACGAAAGCTTCAAATCTAGAATTAATTCAAATTAACTACAATTTTCAACCACATCTGCGAATCTTGTGCGGTGGAGCGATTACCACTTGTTGCAGTAGTGTGACTACAGCGGCGTCCCTGGCTATCACCGTCGGTTATATTGGAAAAGTAAGTGCCTTCTTTGCAGTGTGACGTTATGAAGATCCATTGAAGTCATTCACAGGAGTAGGCCATTGTCTGCCAGCATCATGGTCCAAATTTTGCCAAATAAAAGAACTACCTGCAAACTACTCAATGGGGAATATATATAGCAATAACCACCCCTTTACGGACGAGTTTTAGCGAGGCTTCCATGGGTAAACAAGTGTAATCATAAACTTGTTCAAATTCAGGAAAACAATATAAGCAGATTGTTTTACAAGTTATCTATGAATATCGTACTCTACCAACAGGATGTCACACTGCTTAAAACGTGGCTTTTATTAGTACTTTATATGCGAACGTCTGCAAGTGCACGAGTGTATTTACGTACATGTGAGTATTGGGAGTTGCGGTGCGGGCACATATGCATGTGTGTTTCCGTTTTTAGTCCGCATGTTGAGAATTAATGATCCAGCCCAGGTTTTCCTGAACCCTTGGACCAGGTGTGTCCAGTATAGCAAGTTGAGTGATGGATGGCTTTCCGTGTAAGCCGCGTTTTAATATATTGACCACCCCTAACGTGGCCATTCCTGTCCACTTTGCACCCAAATGCACCCACATATACTCATGAAAGCCCAGCCTCTGTGTGTGGATTTGTATTCACATGGGGGTGGCCCTGTGTGTGTTTTAGCCACGTGTGTGTGTTCCTATCACCTGTGATTTGTGTGTTTACAGCAATTTTTTGGGGGGGAAAAATCTACATTGAAAATATGGAACTTCGATTGTATTTTGCATTCCTATCTTGATTGTAATTTTTTTTACATACCAATGATGGTCATAGTTCACGCTTTTACTAAATATTTTATTTGGTGGAGCAATAGCAAAGTGGTTAGTTTCTTGTGCTGTCTACCCAGCGACCTGTGTTTCATTCCTAGTCATGACTAAGCTAACATCAGTTGAGGTTGACATCTGAATCAGTCATGTGGCTCCCTCTTTACCAACCCACACTGACCAGCATGGTGAAGTATGCTAAACAAAAAAACTCCTTTGACTGACACGGCCTGGGGAAGCCTGCATCCATCAGTGGATTCAGAAAGCGCCGTTCAATTATTATTACATGATAACACATTTTAATGGCAAGGTGTGCAATTGGTCCACGTGTGTGTGTGTTTATATTGGCAAAGAGCGGTAATACAACAGTTTGCACACTGCGCTATGCACCCGGTGGCCCGAGTTCGATTCCCGGTCACGGCCAACACCTGTGACGATTATCTGAACTGGTTTCTGGCCTTCCCCTAGGTCGCCGCAGCCGCAAATGATTACCTGGTGCGGTGTGTAAATATCGCCGCTGAGGAAACAAAGGTGGCTGGGCATGGTGCTAACTACCTACCCACTTGTGTGCCGTGCTAGTCTTCAACAGGTGCTGGCTAACAGCACTTGCCCCATCAGTAAGTTAAGGGAATCTTTGTCGTTTGTTGGCAGCTGAGCGATGCCATCAGTATCATCGGACGTGAGGACTTCCCGCAAAAGTGGCCCGAGCTGCTATCGGAGATGGTGGCGCGCTTCCACAGCGGCGATTTTCACGTCATCAACGGGGTCCTGCGCACCGCACATTCTCTCTTCAAGAGGTACCCACCCCCCACATGATAAATAACGGCTCCATTTAAAAATTAAGTACCGTATTTTCTGGATTAAGAGCGCTCCAGAAGTAAGACACACATCAAAACCTGTGGCTGATGTGAATAAAGCGATGTAGATTTGTGCTTGCATGCACACACACCTTAAGGATTATCAAACGCACCCCCAATTTGGTTAATTAAAATATCTGTAAAAAAATATCCACAATTTACGGTATTTCTTCGATTGATTACAATGTGCAAACTAAAAATTTGATGTTAAGTGTCTACGTGGTGGGCAGTGACGCAATTTAAATTGTTCTATTGTACTGTACTTAGACGTCTATGCTCCCCACCTCCACCAACCCGCACTGACCACTGTCGTGAAATATAGTCAAATAATCCCTTAGACCTAGGTGATATGTGGTGGCCCTCATCAAGTAACGGATTGATGAAGGGTTGTGTACCTGTAGGCATTGTGAAAAAATAAATCGTTGCATTTCATCAATCTGCATAAATTTCAGTCCTTATACATTGTGGCTCATTATAAAAACAGTCACAGTATAAATTGTCCAGTGACTAATTCGCGTGTCTCCCATTTCTGACTTTGGGCACCATGGTGGCGAGATGTTAACCACCTCGCCTGATTTAAAAAAGGTCGTGGGCTCGATGCAGACCCTGACGCCTGTATATTTGGAGTTTGCATGTTCTCCCTATGGTCGTGTGGATTTTTCTCCGGGACCTCCGGTTTTTCCCTCCACATTTAGAATCGACATCACGTTTTTAAGAGTATTTGGCTGCGATAAATTTCCACGTGATAATATGCCACATCGTTGAGCTATCATTTGTGGCCAGGTCGCTTCTTGGAAAAGAGCTGAATAGCTCGGTGGGCCTTACTTGGTGAAATAAAATAGATAGTCGGAAAGGTTGATGTGTGATGGTGGTGCTGATGCTGCTGGACTTTAGGTATCGACATGAATTCAAGTCCAACGAGCTGTGGTCCGAGATCAAGCTCGTGCTCGACACCTTTGCGGCGCCGCTCACGGAGCTGTTCAAGGTGGGGACCTTTTTCACCGCCGCGATTCTCACCGCGCTGCTGCGGTTTCCACCATTGACGCCCCCCCCACCTTTTGTATTCTTGCAGACGCGATCACCGCGTGCATTACCCCTCGTGTGTTCTCTGGTCGTTCACTCGCACGCACCCAATTGGTTCATGGTGAGCTCCGCGTTGTCAATGAGTAATCTGGTGAAATTACTCCAGAGTTAGAGCTGAAGTGAAACCTTGGAACTACACACGCAGTCAGGGAAACTGGTGGGGTCGTAGTTAGCGCGCACCCCCTCAGTGATCGCAGTGACCTCATTTTGGTTACCAACGACGGGCAACATCAGTATGACGTTGGCCTTAATAGGTGCTCGCTAACAGCACTTAGCCAGAATGACCTGTTAAAAGCAATACTTTGCTATCTTTGTCTTCCTCCACACATAATCTGAAATAATGGTGCAATAGTTCAACCACTGCTTTGATGCTGGCCGTCAGGGTTGGATATCCTGTTTGGGTAACGGAAGAGGCAAAGTGGTATCTGAACCTTTCCTTGGCCCTTCCCTAGGCTCACTCAGATCTTGCGTATCTTGTGCAGTGTTTCAATATCAGCACTAGGGGGAGGCAAAAGATAGTCTCATCACCCCTTTAAGTATCGTGCCACTTCTAACACTTTCCAATTCCGAGACGTTTACAAGTTGCAGGGGGGGTCCCATTCACCACTGAATCTCAGAACGCACAAGCGGTTTCGCGTGCATTTTTATTTAGAGAGGTAGAGCACTGTTTTGATTTAAAGCTTTCGTGACTGCAGTAATTCATATTCTTAGTTCTTTCGGTAAAGTCACGTTGAAGGGAAACAACAAAATAATAAAATATATATAAAACAATAAAAAAATAAAAAATTCTCACGACGTTTCGACCATAACACAAACAGTCGTCTTCAGGTGTGTCGGTTTGCATAAAGTTATTTATTTTGTAAACGGAGTATTTATTTATTTATAAAAAATCGTCTCCCCCCTCCTCTTTTCAGAACATAGATGGACTAGTCCGTCTAAATAAACTGCCAAATCGCTGCGTGTGGTGCTAACGTTTTTTTATATAAATAAATAAATACGCCGTTTTAGAAATAAATAAATTTTTGCAAACCGACACACCTGAAGACGACCGTTTGTGTTATGGTCGAAACGTCGTGAGAATTTTTATTGTTTTATATATATTTTATTATTTTGTTGTTTCTCTTCAACGTGACTTTACCGAAAGAACTAAGATTATAGAGCACTGTTGTTTTTAAAGATATTGCTCACTGCAGAGAATTGTAGCACCACAATCGCACTCCGACAGCTGGCCACAAAGTGTGCCATGCCTTCCCACATGGTCTTGTGGGAGCCTCGGTACTGTTAAGGTTATTTTACGTACGAGTGCGTCATCGGAACGGAATCGGAAGAATAACTGATGATATAGACGTACGCCATCGGAATGGGAAAAGGGTTAATGGGTGCTTGTAAATATTAACAAACTAAAAACGTTTTTTATTTTACCAGGTAAGGCCAATTGAGCTATATGGATTTTTTGCAGAAGCGACCTGGCCACAAATGATAGCTCAATGAAGTGGCTTGCGTGGAAATTTATAGCAGCCAAAAAACTCTAAACGCATGTTTCTAAATATGGAGGGAAAAACCGGAGGACGCAGAGAAAAATCCATGCGATCACGGAGAGAACATGCAATTCCAAATATACAAGCGTCACGGTCGGGATTGAACCCGCAAACCTCCTGTATACCCAGCGAGATAGTTAATATCTCGCCACCGTGGCATCTCTTGCTCCGGTGGAATGTAAGGCGAAACAGATGTGTGCCTATTGTTGTTGTGTAACTTGTGTTTTGCGTGCAGGCCACCATAGAGCTGTGCAAGACGCACGCTGCTGATGTGCACGCACTGCGTGTGCTCTTCAGCTCGCTCATCCTCATCGCCAAGCTCTTCTACAGCCTCAACTTCCAGGTGCCCTCTTCCCTGCCCACGCTCCCTTCCTGAGGCCGTGGCTTCAAGTGTGAAAGTGGCCACTGTTGTAAATTGCAATTTCGTTGATTGTGAGTTCAGCTGCCGTTAGGGGCCCTTTGTTATTCGTTGCTTTTTCACTTTGCCTGCGACTGCACAAGGTATTTGATCTCGTCAGATCATGGACGCTAAGCAGTGTTGAGCCTGGATAGCTCTCAGATGGACAACCACTATGCATAACAGATGCTGTAAGCTGCGGGGCTACGAGGAAGGCAGCATAGCCAAATCCATTTTACTGTAATAATATGGAGCTGCGTCTATGCTGCCTGCCTTCATGAACCCGCTCTGACCAGCGTTAATTAACCCTTATGATTGACCTTGCACGAGGAGGTCCTCGGCCACCAGTGGCTGTACACGTACATGCCTTTTCACGTGCATGTTATAACAAAAAATATATCTGTACCCACAGGATTTTCCAGAGTTCTTTGAAGACAACATGGCCACGTGGATGACGAACTTCCACAGCCTTCTCACAATTGACAACAAGCTTCTGCAAACCGACGTGAGACGTCCTTTCCCCTCTTGTCTTGCCATGAATGATTATTTGTGAGATTGCGCTATTTATGGTGAATTGTTGTCATGACAAAATCCTGTACTTAATTTTACACTTTACTTGATTAACTTTATTCTACTTCTCTCTTGCTTATTTTGAAAGCGAGGCTTCAGATTATCCTCTCTTACAGAGTAAATAAGGTCTCAGTATTTTGTTCACGTACCATTGGTCGCACGGCCTTCTGGGAGTGCATCTTTATCAGCAGCATTGGTTCCATACAAGCAAACTCTGCACCGGTTGAGAATTTTTGTCTCGTCAGCAGTCAGGTTTGTTTGGTCCAATGTTTGTGAGCTGTCCAATGTTTATGCAAAATCTACAATACCTTTCACGAAGTAACCATAAAGCGTTTTTGTAGGGAATGTTAATTACAAAATAAATAACGCCATATTTATTGTTCATCGTTTTGTCTGCTTACACAGAGGCACTTGTGTTTATGTTGGCTGGCACACAAAATTGTAGGCATGGGTCTTTTTGCTGATGTATGGACATGTGATTGCAGACGCTTTTGCTTACACTTTATCCACGGGCGTTTGTGCAAGTATGTGTAAAGTACGTGGGGAGTGGTGGTCCAGTGGTAAGCTCGCGCTCGCCCACGTGTGACAGGACGATGAGGAGGCCGGTCTCCTGGAGCTGCTCAAGTCGCAGATCTGTGACAACGTGGCACTGTACGCGCAGAAGTACGACGAGGAGTTTCAGCCGTACTTGCCGCAGTTTGTCACCGCCATCTGGAACCTGCTCATCACCACGGGGCCCGGCGTCAAATATGACCTGGTTCGAGCACGCCGCGCACACATAGTCTAGAGCCACGGATGTGAGATGTCAATTTTGCTCAAATTTATTTCCCCAAACATTTAGGGGGGTCTCGAAAAATCGCCATTATGTGCAGGGAGTTTAGAGTTGGTTGTTCTTCCCCTGCACCTCTGATGAGCACGGTTGGTTACGTATGGTGCGAAAGAAGTTCAACATACCCAGTTCAACATGCATACACACTACTAAAGCTGCTGCTGCTGCTGCTGCCGCATGCTAAGGAGCGAGCATGTCTGCGTGCACCCTCCAGCTGGTGAGCAATGCCATCCAGTTCCTGGCGTCGGTGTGTGAGCGGCCGCACTACAAGCACCTGTTTGAGGATCAGGCCACCCTCACCAGCATCTGTGAGAAGGTCATCGTGCCCAACATGGAGTTCAGAGGTGAGACGCCCCCATCCCACCTCCCTGTTCCCCACCTCCCCACCGCGTTGTGTGGCGATAAATGATCGCAGTCAAGAGGCCATCGCAGCCAGTACCATTGATGCCGCCACCCCCTGCCATCGATTCCTTCCTTCATTGCAGGTGGTTTCATCCAAAGTGGTTGACTACAGGGTTGAGGGGACCCTGAGTAGAGCACAACTATCATAGGCAGATGAGCCTCCAGTAGGGCCTTTGGCACTCAGAACAAGGTAGCTGGACCCTTGGGTAATCATAGCAATGTTAAAGGTTGATTAGACTGCAGTTGGTCAATAACATCCACAACTACTGGGAATGGAGTAGCTCTGCTTAGTATTGTACAAGCTACCAATTTCTGCAGCACAATTAATACTAGGGGGCAACTTTGATGATGCTTTTTAACGTACGAGACCGAGCGATGAGCGGGAGCGCATTTATATGTATGTATGTTGAACTTCTTTCGTACCGTACGTAGCCAACCGTGCTAATCGGAGTTGTGGGAAAGAACAACAAACTAAACACAAAGCAGTTTTTGTTTTTTGTTAAATTAAAACAGTGCAGCATGAGGAATATTAGGCCTCGTTCCTGACTAACCCGCACCTCCCCCCCCCCCCCAACAAAATGAAAGGAATGTTTTAACAGAAAAATGCTTCCACAAAAATCTTCTTGCTATGTCGTTGCTTAGCTGCAGACGAAGAGGCTTTCGAGGACAACCCTGAGGAGTACATCCGGCGGGACATCGAGGGCTCTGGTGAGCAACCGCTCTGCAGAAGCGGCTCATCTTTACACTCGAGCACATCCTATGCTCAAGGTGCTGCAGGAATATGTTGTGAGCAGCAGAGGGCACTGCAGTAAAATCCATTGGCTGTACTGCACTGCGCTTCCACACCTGTGTACTGTCTGTCAACCTTCATCAACCCGTGATGACCAGTGTGGTCAAATAACGGCATTGGAGATGCCTTCATCCAACAGTGCGTTGATAAAGGGCTGGACTATTATGACTAACACTATGCTTATAATGGGTGCACGATGCAGGTATTTAAATACCAGCTGTAAGTTAGTATCCTTTATTTAACCAGGAGATGAAATATAGACCCGTTGAGACACAAAACATTGCCTCATTTGTCAGGGCAATCTGGGTTAAACCGACTAGTGGTTGCGCTGGTCCCACCACTCGCCTACACCACTGGCTGTAGCAGGCTAGGACAAACAACCGCTCTTGCATCGAAGAGCCGCGATCTCGCTTTGGAAGGGATTGAGAAACCCAAGGGGGGGGGGGGGGGGGGGGGGGGGGCCTTTGTCTCGGCGCCAGACGTGGACACGCGGCGCCGCGCGGCCTGCGACCTGGTGCGGGGGCTTTGCCGCTTCTTCGAAGGGCCCGTCACCGAGATCTTCTCGGTGTACGTGCACTCGATGCTGTCGCAGTACGCCAAGGACCCGGCCGCCCACTGGAAGCACAAAGACGCCGCCATCTACCTCGTCACCTCGCTTGCCTCCAAGGCGCAGACGCAGAAGGTGAGCGGTGCCCTTGTGACGGTTTTTCGGCGATGCGGTGAATTGCTACGCTTCCTGTAATTTGGTACATTTGGTATTCTCGCCGTTCTCGAAGCACACAGCTGTTACAGAGGTGCAGCGTTTCGCAGACGAATCTCGTCTGCCAGCAGGGTTACTCTGTGGGTTTTGCCCAACTGGGTAATTTGTGGATCTCTTTTTGTCAAATTTGGTACAATTTTGACCGTGACGCCAGCACGCGTGGCCTAACGTCTCGGGATTTTGAACGTCTACTGTGTTAAGCAGACAGTGCGTCCCGGTCACGGGGCTTGAGCAACGAACCCCTGCAACAAGCAGCTACCGATGAGCCGTTTTAAATTCATGTTGCGATTCGGGAATCAATAAAAAAAATATTTTAGTGTTTTCTGAATTTAAGTTATTTTTGTACCATCATATTTGCATATACATTGAATATGCGTGATCAAATCACTCATAATGGGCCCAATCTCATCAGGTCTCGTAAGCAGTGCAGCAAAAGGCATTGTTACTCCCACGTATATTCTTTCTGTCTTCAATCGGTTTAGACGAGCATGGTGATGTATGGAAAAATAACCCCCATTAACCTGCACGGTGTGGGGGAGGTTCCTTTATCCAATAGTGGATTGAGCAAAGGACTCCACATGTACATACTTTGTAGATCATTCTTAAGTGTAGGATTTGATGATTGATTGTATTGTGACCATTGTATACTTAGTTTAATCAATCGATTATTATTTTTTACATACCTGGCGAGCAGCCAATATCGTGTCAAATACTTATTGGGCATCTAAATTATTGTCGGTTTGGATGAGTGAAATTTTTTGTGAATGGAGTGGGAATGAGCAGCTGATATTTGTTATTGGTCTGTGGTCGATAATTGGGTACTCACTTTAGCTTGCTGGTATAGATTTAAAACATAATGATCCCACGTTGAACCAGATAAATGTTTGGTAAGTCTCTGTGGCTTGGTGGGGCTGGTGCTTTCAGGGCACCATCGGAAAGCGTGGCTGCGCATGCTGCGTAATGTGCTAAAGCTTAATGGGAGGAGGGGGTGGGTTAACGCGATGTATTCGTCTGTGCCGCCCCGCAGCTTGGGATTACCCAGGCCAATCAGCTCGTCAATCTGACAGATTTCTTCGTCAGCCACATACAGACAGACCTGCAGTCTCCCAACGGTAGGGCGCAGTCCGTGCAAGCAGCTTTCCCTGCCATCGTCCCAATGCGCTTCTTGTTGAATTCTATGTGTTTATTTAACCAAGCGCCCACAAGCATTGTTTTTATTGACAACTGAGAGCAAGTGTATTATTACTCTATTCTTTGGTTCTTTTGGTAAAGTCACGTAGGTGGAAAAATAAAATGAAACCAAAAATAGTATATCACGACGTTTCGATCGCAACACAAGCGGTCGTCCTCGGGCGGAAAAAATATAATCCAGCAGTGGAAGTCAGATCGGGGAATTTGAGTGATTCATGTTCGTTTCTTTCCAGTAAACCAGTTCCCTGTGTTGAAAGCGGATGCCATCAAATACGTCATGATCTTCCGAAGCCAGGTGCGTTCAACGTCTGTAAGGTTACTGCTCTTTGGTTTGTGTGTGTGGGTATTTACACATGCGCGCGCGTGTGTGTGTACCGGTTTAATTACAATGTTGAATTAGCAATATGATTAATGCACGCGCAGGCTTTAACCGTGTACATTTGGTACTCGCCATTCTTATATCACGAGGCTATCATGCAGTGAGTAATTAATTTGAAATGGTGGGTTCTTGTGTTTTATTTGCATAAACCCTATTGTACATGCCCCCATGTACAGTGTGTGTTTATGCTGTGCCGCAGCTGCCCAAGGAGCATTTGCTGAACGTGCTGCCTCTGCTGGTGAACCACCTGCAGTCTGAGAGCACGGTGGTGCACACTTATGCTGCGCACTCGCTCGAGAGGATTTTCACGCTGCGCGGGCCTGGCAACGCGCTCGTGTAAGTCTTTGCTCGCCATCTGTTTCCCCGTTAACTGCCGGCTTGAGTCACTTAAAAAAGGTGAGCGCGGTTCGTGCGCTGTTGTCTCAATGGGGGGAAGGGGTTCTCCGAACCCGGTGACCCAAGTTTGATTCCTGCTCGCGGCCAACGCCAGAGACGATTATCTCAACCGGTCATGGGACTTCCCTAGGTCGACTCATCCTCAAATGAGTACCTGGTGCGGTGTGTAAACATTGCCACTCGGGAGACAAAGCCGGCTGGGCGTGGTGCTGGCCACCCCACCCCCTCGTGTGTCATGCCGGCCTTCATAGATGCTCGCTAAGACCACTTGTCCTACAGTCTGTTAAGGCTATACGGGGGATTTTTGTCTTTTGTCTTAGTGCCAGGTGACTCAAGAGATAGGGCGAGAAGCTCGCGATTGGGAGGTTGCAAGTTCAATTTCTGCTTTGGGGTTGAGTCGGCCCATCAACCCTCCGGGGTCTTCAAAATGAGTACTACTATGCGGTGTTAGGGTTAGGTGTGACGCTGGATACCACCTTCCATTGTGTGCTGTGCCGGCCTTGATATGTGTTCGCTAACAGCACTTGCTCCCAAACACTGTTCAGGTTACAAGGGGAACCTTGTCCCTTGTTTTGTTGTGCAGCTTGACCGCAGCAGAGGTGTCACCGGTGATTGAGCCACTCCTGACGAATCTCCTGAAGGCCATGACCATGCCCTCGTCTACGGAGAACGAGTACCTCATGAAGGGTGACTGACAATCCTATCGTGCTCGGTGCATGCCGCACCTCGCGCTAGTCCGTTCATCTGCATTACAGACATCACAAGTACACCGTTAACAAAACAAAAGTACTCTACAGTGTCAGAACATATACGATTTGTAAAAAAAAAAACTATTTGGACTCTCAGGCATGTTTCCACTTATCACGGACATATACAGCTCTTATGTCAATCCACTGTTGGATGAGGTTCTCCCTTTGCCGTGCAGCTCATGCGGGATATTTGACCATATTTCACCGCGCTGTTCAGTGTGGGTTGGTGAAGGCAGGGAGCATGGGTGTAGGAACATAGATGTATGGCACAGCAATATATTTTTCTGCACTGCCCTCTGCTGCCCACCACGTAAACCTGCAAAGGCTTTCTCAGTGGTCATCCATCCAAGCACTATCCAGACTCAACCCAAACTTAACTTTTCAGATTTGGTTGTACCACTTAAAAAAAAACAGCAAAACGTTACCTGAGCAAGGTGCTTGTGTTCAAGTTTAAATTTAATATGATCATTGCTTTACAGGAAGTGTTCTGTCCGGCCCAATTCCCTAGTAATCACATTTTAAATTAAATATACAAGCTCCTCTCACGAATGTCATGCATAATGTTATTTTGGATTGTTTATGCAATTTCCGTTTTAATTCTATGCAGCCCTTATAAAGCTCCCCTTTCCATGTCACATGCTCGCCGTTCTGCCAGGTCGCCATTGAAAAATAGCTGTCGTGCCTGACAATGGTGTTGACGCTTGCGTTGTGCCTGATGCAGCCCTGATGAGGAGCTTCTCACTGCTGCAAGAGGCTGTCATCCCCTACGTCCCGACGTTAACCATGCAGCTCGCTCAGAAGCTGCATGCTGTCAGCAAGGTATCCCAGCACTCTGCCTTCGTTCACATGGCACATAAGATCATTAAGTGTCCACCGCCCGCCTACACTAGGTATGACGTTGGAATTTAATTTTGAGGCCCTACCTCAGATGTATTAAGTATAGTCGGATAAAATGTTTGTTACAACTTTCATTGTTTATGCAATAAGTGTAAGCGCTTAAATAATTGTGGATATTCATCAGAATATTTTAACACAAAGTATCATTGGTAATTTTATTTGACCATACTGCACCATGTTGGTGAGTGTGCGTTGGTGAAGGCAGGGAACTCGAGCGATAGAAGCATAGATGTACGGTACAACAAAGGATTTTTCTGCACTGCCCATCACGTAGCCCCACATAATAAAGCCTCACACTCTGGCTTTTATTTCATTCAGCTGGCAGGGCCCCATTGAGCTATAAGCAGCTCTTCTACATGGACCACCATAGCCCGAGTCCATTGACAGTGGCAACAGTTAAAGGATATTGCAGTTAAATTTTGATTTAAAGCTTTCGTGACTGCAGTAATTCATATTCTTAGCTCTTTCGGTAAAGTCACGTTGAAGGGAAACAATAAAATATATAAAACAATATATATTTTATTATTTTATTGTTTCCCTTCAACGTGACTTTACCGAAAGAGCTAAGAATATGATATTGCAGTTACATAGAGTTGCATCGAGATCCGCACAGTTAGAGCGGGACCCATACGCCCACAGCCCAGGACCGTCGGCAGTTTCGGCACTTACAGGACATTGTCTGCAAAAAGTGACGAGAGTCAAGGGCTCGACCCTGCTCAGCTCCCCGACATATAACGAGGTCCGGGCGCATGTTCTGCATGGCTTGGTCGCATGGGATCCCCCACTCCATGAACGCTGCCATGCGTCGTCTTGCCCGCAGAACCCCAGCAAGCCGCATTTCAACCACTACCTGTTTGAGGCGCTGTGCCTGTGCGTGCGCATCACGTGCCGCGCCACGCCCGCGGCCGTGTCCGGCTTCGAGGACGCGCTCTTCCCCGTCTTCACGGACATCCTGCAGAACGACGTGCAGGGTGTGTGCATGACATAAACCTACGCACACACACAGACAAAGATGCCCTGTATAGCCTTAACAGACTGTTGGGGCAAGTGCCACTAAGTGATGGTGACGTCACCACAGGGCTTGAAACAGTAAATTGCTAAAATGAAGACCTGTGTGCTTATTCTTAGCTCTTTCGGTAAAGTCACGTCAAAGGGAAACAATAAAATAATAAAATACATATAAAACAATACAAATTCTCACGGCGTTTCGACCATAACACAAACGGTTTGAGAATTTTTATTGTTTTATATATATTTTATTATTTTATTGTTTCCCTTCAACGTGACTTTACCGAAAGAGCTAAGAATATGAATTACTGCAGTCACGAAAGCTTTAAATCAAAATCTGTGTGCTTCTTATAACTTACCAGTGAAACCTTGCCACTACAGTTCACTTATTCGTGTGTCACTGATTATTTAAATACAGGGAACAATATGTTTTAAAAACATGGAGGAGAGTGGCGGCACGGTAATTTATACACTGCTCTATCAATATCATCGGGCATGGTGTTGGCCTCCAACTCCCTCGTGTGCCGTGCCAGCCTTCATAGGTGCTCGCTAACAGCACCTGCCCCAGCAGTCTGTCAAGGCTATATGGGGATCTTTGTCTTCTTCTTTGTATTCATGCATACGGACGCACGTGCGTGTTTGTTGTTGTGGTCTGTGCGTGTCGGCGCGTCCATTAATGCGACCATTTGCTTTGTTGATTTATGCGTGTGTGTCTCTTTCTGTGCATGCAGAGTTCATTCCATACGTGTTCCAGGTGATGTCGCTGCTGTTGGAGATGCGTGGGGCCGAGGTGCCCCCAAGCTACATGGAGCTGTTCCCGCACCTGCTGCAGCCGACGCTGTGGGAGCGCGTGGGCAACGTGCCGCCGCTCGTCCGGCTCCTGCAAGCGCTGTTAGAGAAGGCGTCGGTCACCATCGCCTCCAGCAATGCCGACAAGATTGTGAGGGAAACCTGTTTGTTTAGTGTGTGTGTGTGTTTATCGGCGAGATGTTAACTCCCTCGCCTGGTATGCAGGAGGTTGTGGGTTCCATCCCGACCCTGACGCCCTGTATATTTTAAGTTTGCATGTTTCTCTCCCCGTGGTCATGTGGATTTTTTTCTACCAGTCCTCTGTTTTTTTCCCTGCCACATTTAGAAACGTGCATTTAGAGTATTTGGCTGCTATAAATTTCCACAAGCCACTTCATTGAGCTATCATTTGTGGCTAGGTCGCTACTGAAAAAGAGCTATAGAGCTCAGTGAGCCTTTCCTGGTAAAATAAAAATATTAATAGTATTGGGGGGAGTGATGGTGCTGTGACCAACCGAGTTCATTTCATGCTCGCAGCTAACATCCGTGGCGAATGTTTGGACCGGTCCTGGGCCTCGCCAAGTTCAATTCGGCTTTAAATGAATACCCAGTGCGGTGTGTAAGCATTAGCACTGGATGGGGATAAGGACAACTGGGCATGTGTTATGCCATCCTTCATAGGTGCTCACAGCACTTTCCCCAACAGCTTGTGTATGCAACACGGCAGATATGTATGTGTGTATTCTATGGTTCTTTCGGTAAAATCACGTAGATAGAAAAAATAATAACAAGCGGTGTGTTGCGATCGAAACGTCGTGATATTATTTTTATTCACTTTAATTTTATTATTTTATTGTTATTATTTTTTCTTCTATCTACGTGACTTTACCGAAAGAACCATAGAATATTAATTTCTGCAGTCATGAAAGTTTTAAGTCAAAATGTATGTGTGTTTCATTGACTGACCAAATCACCTGGAATGCATCAAATCTCATCACATCGCAGAAACTAAAGCAGGGTTGAGCCTGGATAGTGCCTGGATGGGTGACCACCCCGACATCAGGTTGGCATAGAAGATGCTGGGCTGTGCTATGTAGTGGCCAGCAGAGGGGAATGTAGCCATGCCTTCGTGTATACACTCCCGGTTTTCACCACTCGGCGCTGAGTAGTATGGTCACATGTCCTCCGCATCCCGCACGGCACGGTGAGACCCTCGTCCAACAGTATATAAAAATGGCTGTTGATGCACATGTTTTATTAAATTCAACTCGTGTTGCAGTCATAATAAACAATGCCCTGGCTGTCAACTACAGGTAGCGTTGTGCTCGGACACATTCAGTTGGATTTCACATTGCTATGTTGACCACACGACACCATCCAAATCCATTGTATTGTAAGTCTATGCGCCTGCTTCTAATGATGACACCTGGTTGTGTGTCCCTTACAGCCAGGGCTGCTGGGAGTGTTTCAGAAGTTGATCGCGTCGAAGAACAATGACCACCAGGGCTTCTATCTCCTCAACAGCATCATCGAACATATGCCATCGTACGATATTCTCATGCACACCGTCACTCGCACACGCACACATGCACATATGCATGCAAAAGAACATACGCAGGGGGATTTATTTATTTTGGTGGGGGAAAACTGCTTTTAGGATACATCTGGATGATTTTAAAGTTCAGCTTACTTGTATAAACTTGGTTGTAAACGTTTTGTACGCGGATTGCAAGATGTCCGAATGGCAGTCATGATCATGTGCCGTTCCATATCCAGAGTTGGCTACTTTTGTTAATAATTTTAAGCAGTTTTTTATGATATAAAGCTGTCGTTCATGTTATTCAGCTTATTACCGTATTCTCTTTACAAGACGCACTTGGTTTTTTTCTATTATTTTAAAGCAAAAGTTTGGCGATGAGTCTTATAAATCCGGTACCTGACTTGACAACTGGCACGCGGAGATGCAAGTTACAATTGTGCTCAGTGGTCCAATCTGCCAAACAGATTTTAGCAAGTGACTGGAGGGAACATTTTTGACTGGTACTGTGTACAAACTCATATTGTTTATACCTTTTTTATTTACGCGTGGAGACAGAACAGACTTCTCTTTGAATCTGCTTTTATCGATTCTGCAACACGTTTGAGACTAGCGGCGTCTTACATATGGAGCTATATGGTGCTAGTCTCAACTATTGTAGTACCAGTATAAGCATATCGTACCATTAAACAGACACATTCTCATAATCTCTATCTTGTAATTGTTAATTTGCCCAGGTGATATTTATCTATATTAGTGCCACCATTTTGCGTATCGTTCACCCATACATGCCGTTTTAATTTCTTCAACATCCCAAAAATTTGTCCCCTAATCTCAATTTCCACTGCTAAAATACTCATCTATTCCCTTATCTTTCCTTGTCTCGACTACTGTAATTCCCTTCTCCTAGGCCTTCCTGCCTACGCCTTATCTCCCCTCTAGCAAATTGAAAACCCTTCGGCCCAGATTATTTTTAATCTTCCACATCATACCCATTCCTCTGATCTCCTTGTCCAACTTCATTGGCTTCCCGCCTACTATCCCCGTTTATTCGAATTCCTCCGCATCGTTTACAAATCACTCCAAGGTTCTGCCCCACCCTATCTCACTTTTCTTATTTCTTCAGTCCCATCTCGACCCCTCTGTTCCTAGTCTGTTATCCCTCACTACGCTCCCCCTCCCTCCCTGTACTCAGTAATGCTTCTGCTCCTTTTACCTCCTGGCTCCCCTTCATTGGAATAAACTCCCACTCCACATCAAACAGGCAAACTTTACTAACCATTGTTCGTTCCTCCCTTAAGACCCACCTTTTTTTCAATAGCGTATCCCTCTAATACTTCCTGTCCTCGTCCTTGCAACCTTAACCATCCTTCCCTTTCCTAACCTCACCCCCTCCATTTTCCTATCATCACCCTTACTTGACATCACCTCCCCTCAACGCCAAAATCCCATCCCTTTTCCGCATCAGCAAATACGAATGTACCATTTTTTTATTCTTGTAAAGCGCTTTGAAAAAATAAAAGCGCTTCATAAGATCCTAGATAAGATAAGGTGGAGAAGTGAAGTTTCAGGTTTATGCAATTAGACCCTCTTCTCAATGTGTTACTTTTGGTGTAAAACTCAAATACTGGGATTAGTGTTCTAATCTGTTGCTCAGTAATCCCCTCTTTCTCTGCATTTATGCCTCTGTACTTACTGTGACTTTATTGACTGCAATTAATTTTTCAACAATGTTGAGCAACCTGTTCAATATTCAGGAATGTTTTTTTTTAATCGCAGTGCTTCAGTTTTAACAGGAAAATGACAAACAAACACAAGGCGTGAGCTTGAAAATCACGAACTTAAATTGAGTACTACCCTGACCAATATAAATGGGGTTTTTTTTCAAGATAATCCAAAATTTAGGGTGCGCCTCACTTTTTCTGATGTTTCTTTTAATCTGGAGACTAATGGTGTAATGATTAATTTGTGTCCGTTGCTGTGTGCCGTATGTGGGGTGCTGTTTGCAGGGAGGTGATTAACCAGTTCAAAAAGCAGATCTTCATCCTGCTCTTCCAGCGGTTGCAGAGCTCAAAGACGACCAAATACGTGAAGGGTGCGTCTGTCCGCTTGAGCCTATGATGAGTATGAAACTCTTTTGGGTGACGAAAAACCACCAAGGGAACTGCAGTGTTACATTTCCTGGCTTTCATGCAGTAAACAAAGATGTTGCTTGTGTTGCGTGTCGATTAGGCATGTAACGATTCACTCCCCTTGCAATTCTCAGTTCAGGGGTTTCCTATTGCATTTTAAAATGTAGATGTATGTTAATTATTGTAATAAATGTAGCACCTCCAGTGGTTGCAGGGAGCACATTAACTAATAACATGCAGCATATACAAAACGTACACGCAAAAGCTCGATGTGGAGTATCGTGAGCGTGTGAATCGATTTGATCCATAATCTGATCCGTGGTAACATGGCTGGTGGTGATTACTCTGTGTATTCCACAGGTTTCCTGGTCTTCATTAACCTCTTCTGTATAAAGTACGGGCCCATAGCGCTGCAGGAGCTGGTGGACAGCATCCAACCCAAGTAAGGCAGCTTAGTGGCCATGTATTGGGGTAACATAGCACTGCTTGAGTCGGGGGGGGGGGGGTGGAGCAGCTCCTTAAGTTCACACGACAAGCATAGGTGATCCCTGGGTGGCTCGGCACAATAAAATATTGTCATCAGTGAACTTCAGAGGTGGCTGAATGACTTAGGATGTCAGAGCGCTGAGTGGGACCGGCTTCTCATTTTTTGAATTGATGGTCTCAACAATGACTGCACATACAGAAAGCCAGAGATAGCAATCTCATAAATATATTGGTTTCACTGTAATGGGACGAACATGGCCCTCTCGTTGCAGAATGGGTGGGAAAGTGCTGACCTCTATTGTGAAGGGATCTCAGAGGTAGTTGGTAATATCGGCTTCCGTGGGCCCATTCTCCAGCACGAAGGGTTGCAATGGCTGTGCGTGAGATACAAACAGATTCTCCGTCTCTCACGCTGTGACGCCCTATAGCACGATCGGGATTAAATTGGTGAAGATTATAAATCGCCTAATTTTATTCCATTACTTTCAGTGATCCCAAATGTGCGTCTACCTCCCCCACCACCTCCACCGTGCATTAGAATGTTCGGCATGGTTGTGGAGAAGCTGATCATTCCGGAAGTGCAGAAGGTGTCGGGCACCGTGGAGAAGAAGATTTGTGCGGTCGGCATCACCAAGCAGCTCACCGAGTGCCCGGCCATGATGGACACGGAGTACACGAAGCTGTGGTGGGTGCACTCAGCGATTCCCACGTCTGACTGTTCCCTCGATAACTCCTTTTCAGGTCCTGGCCCAAGACTTGCCTCCTCTTGACAGCTCACTCCTCCCTTCTAATGTCTCCTGTGCAGTTCGTATAATCCACTGCTTCTCTCATAATTCATCTCTGACCGTCCGCCATTCTCCGTCATATTTTGATGCACCTCTTTCCATTACTTGTGCGCCACCACTCTTGTACAAATGCTTTCTTTCTGTTACCCGAAATGTAACATGAACATGTAATCTTCTTGTAATTTATGTAAATACATGAATGAATTGATGCATAATTACATGCCTATCATTTTCCTTAAGAGTTAAACATGTACAGCCCTTTTGTCAATCCACTGCTGGATGAGGTCCTCCCAATACTGTGCAAGTCCTGGAAGTTATTTGATGATTCTTCAGTGCCCTGGTTAGCGTGAGTTGGGGAAGGTGGAAAACGTGAGGCGGGAGCATAGAAGTAAAATACAAGAATGGATGTTGCTGCACTGCACTCTCCAGCCCACCACATGACCTCATTCTTCCATGAACCTGTTCAATGCTCACCCACCCAAGGCTGTACCCTATGTAGCTTCTCAGTTCTGAGAATATCGCATGTGGAGTGGTTTGTTTCAGAGACTAGTCAATAATGATGGGGATGATAATAATTGTAGCAACAAGTGTGCGTTACTTTGAACGTGACGCGTTGCTTTGCACAGGCGTTTCCTTTACCGAGTTAACCAAGAGCTAAGCGATGACACGGAACCCACTCTTTTGTTTTGCCTGTATCTTCTCGTGCGTGCACATCACTCGATTTAGGGCCCCATTGCTGCAATCCCTCATCGGGCTCTTCGAGCTTCCAGAAGACGACTCGGTGGCCGACGACGAACACTTTGTGGAGGTGGAGGACACGCCGGGCTACCAGGCTGCCTTCTCGCAGCTCGCCTTCGCCGGCCGCAAGGAGCATGACCCGCTTGGGGCCTCGGTACCCAACGCCAAGATCCACCTTGCGCAGAGCCTCGGCAAGCTGAGCACCGCACGGCCCGGTCGGGTGAGACCCTCGCAGCCCCTCGCACCCACGCACTTTTTGTTGTTGTTGCTTTTATTGTAACAAAACACGAGTCCCGATACAGCACGCCACGTGGCTCGCATAACCAGGTGTCAAATGTCAAGAGGACAGCCCCTATGCAACTGGACCACATAAAGGAGGGGGGAGCCCCTACACCTACGTACTTTTAACCTTGCCCAAGGGGACCGGGCAAGGTGGAAATAGATATCCCGACCAGGGCTCTCACTACGGTACCCCCAAAAACGATCGTGTCGTTAAATCGGTCAAGGGAGATGGATGAATGGGGATGGACTGTTTCTGAGTGAGTGCATGCGCTGTGGGTATTTGTTGTCCTTCCCCGCACCTGCGATTAGCACGGTTGGCTACGTACGGCGCGAAACAAGTTCTACATGCATACGTTGGAGCAGTAGTGCGCTGATTAGCGCACAGTACCGTGAACCCGGCATCCCTGGTTACATTTTCGCTCGCAGCAAACGTCGGTGATGAATATTTGAAGTGGTTCGGGGCCTTCCCCTTGCTCGACTCAACCTTAAATTAATAGCTGGTGCGGTGTCTAAACATCGCCGAGCGTGGTGTTGGCCACCAACTCCCTTGTGTGCCGTCCCGGCCTTCATAGGCGCTCGCTTAACAGCATTTGCCCACAACAAGCTACGTAGGGGAGATCTTTGTGTCCATTGGGTGTTTTTTTTTGCGTGCGCGCATTAATTACGTACGTGTATATGTGTGTGTGTGTGTGTGCACGAGTGCAGGTCTCTTCCATGATCAGCACGGACGTGAACGTCGATGCGGCGCGATACCTGCAGGGATACCTGCAAGCGGCCAACGTGACGCTTGTGTGAGCACGTTGCTCAAGCCTTTCGCGCCTCCCCTCCCCTTTCTCCTTACCCAACCGGCCGGCGTGCTTTATGCGCACGCAACCGTAGTAACACGCGTAGCCCATGACCGCGAACCACATGCACACACGCGCGTGTTGCGGTGCACGTTCACCCACGTCATACACAACAGCTACACAACAGCTACACACCTATAGTTACACACCTGCACACACCTGTTCCCGTACGATACCACACGCATCCATAGGAACGTGCAAACACACCACACTAGCGACGCTGCACTTACACGCGTTCTTCCCCGCCTCTTAATTTGTCCTGCGAGTCTACAGTGCATCCAAACTGACAGTAACTTTGCTCGTCTTTCTATCAGGCAGCGCCGCTTTGCGTGATGTTCCTGGAATCATAGGCCAGGATACTTTGTTGATACTGTATGTGAGATGACATGCTTGGTTTTTTCAAAGCTTCTTGAAATTATTTTGAAGTAAACGTGTCAATGATATGTCACCGCGTGCGACTGCATATTGTCAGACTCCCTTTAAGGCCGTGGAAATAATTTGTGAAATCTCGATGATTCTCTGTGGAGGGATTGTCCCTGTTCGGGCTTCACCATGCTCATTCGTGCATTTTACGCACCGTGTGCTGGTTATCTTATTGGAAGATCCTCACTCGTCGAGGGTCAGTGACTCTGCGCGATCGCAAACATCTTTGTAGGGAAGTTGAACGTACATACACAAGCGTATTCTACACCTTCACCCCATTCTACATCTTTTTCATAATTTATGTTGTTTTCCATGTCCCCCGTGTATTTGTTTTATCTGGAGTTGTCTGTGCCCCTTGTAACCCCATGTAATTGAGTCGGCTGTAGGTCCAACATGGGGCTATTTTCTAAAGCTTATGTGCAAACTTTATGGCGGCTGAGTAGGTCCACCGTACAGCTGCTAAGAATTCAAGCTGGTGTGCAAACTTTAGAGCAATATTTATCGGACCTCTCCTCCAAACGTTCAAACTATGCGTTTAGTTGTCCTTCCCCTGCACATCGATTTAGCACTGTTGGCTACGTACAATGCGAAAGAAGTTCATACAACAACCAATGTTAACTCTCAGCAGGTGTCAGATGTTGCAATAAATACCGAGTGTACGCTTGATATTTGTCCAAAGGCTGACACGAAAAGTCGGAACGAGGTCCCGATGTAATCATCGGGTGAAGTTTCGAAACACGGCTGCAGAAGCCAGTTCTCCTTAGCTTCGTACCCTATATTCGCCTGCTTTTCAGAGGCCTTCGCAGTGACCGTGGCTTCATTGGGTTTAATTGAGCTGCGGCGTTACTAGTCCCGCTCCTAGTCAACAATTATAGTACCCTAATAATAGGGTTTTTCCCCTTTTTTTCTGGCAACAAAACTGAAACCTTTTTACAAGGATTCATGTCTGCATCAACCACAATACCTGCAGTCAAAATGCAAACAAAAAACATACTATGATAATATATGCATTGTCCTTGACACTGATTGGTCCACACCAAGGGACGGCTTTCTTTTGAGCCTCGACCCAATTGGTGCTCGACCAGATGACGCCAAAAGGCGTACACAGCTCAAAGACAATGCACTATCAAAGTAATGAGGGCACGGGGTGAGCATCTACATCAGTTTTGTTGCCAGAAAAAAGGGGAAAAACCCTATTATTATATTTTGGTACTGGCAAAAGAGGTCTAATGATGTAGATGCTCACCCCGAGCCCTCATTACTTTGATAGTGCATTGTCTTTGAGCTGTGTACGCCTTTTGGCCTCATCTGGTTGAACACCAATTGGGTCGAGGCTAAAAAGAAAGCCGTCCCTTGGTGTGGACCAATCGGTTTGAAGAACAATGCATATATTATCATAGTATGTTTTTTGTTTGCATTTTGACTGCAGGTATTGTGGTTAAAACAGACATGACTCCTTGTAAAAAGGTTTCAGTTTTGTTGCCAGAAAAAAGGGGAAAAACCCTATTATATTTTGGTACTGGCGAGGTCTAATGAAATTATAGTACCCGTTTAGCTTTGACAGCACAATGTATCTTGCTTCTTTCAAATAGCTATAGTGTCAGTAAACATGCCAGCATTTGGGCAATGCTCTTAAATGTAAGGGTTGCCTCGAATTTATTTGAGATGGGGGCTAAAAACCCATGAGCCTTCAAGTGAGATTGGTGCACTTGCCCTCTCGGCCAGTGGTTAAAAATGTCAGTCCTTGAACCCTTGGTCACCATCCAGATGTCTCGTGCAAACGAATGGCTCTGATCACGAGCTAAACCATGCATCCGCTGTAGAATGCATTTTCCCTTGAAGCGTGTTCAGAAGGGAATATGCCCTGGCTGTCTGATCACTGTCATGATACTATTACACTTTTCACATTTATCTACTCTGAAGTTTATGGCAGGCCCAACACGTGTGTGTGTGTGCTGTAAATGCAGTATGTACAACCACAGGGTTGACATTCACTTTTCCCAGGCTGTCCTATAAATGCTACGCTATAACTTGATATTCGGTTTGATGCAAAATAGTATTCGATTCGTATGTGACAATGCATATACCAGGGGTGGCTGAACTTCCTGGGCCAACGGAGCCACAAACCGAAAATCTTCATACAGCCGAAAGCCACAAGCGCTCGGCCGGTTCGCTCACATTGATTGGCTGCAGAGATTTGAGTTAAGAAATCTGCGGGAGAGCCCCGAGGGCGCTCATGTCTGGCTTCACTGTCAGGGGCCGGGAGTGTTCCCGGGCTGCTCACACTTTTCCCGATTTTTCTTGCTACAAAGAGTAAATATTGAAACGTGAAATGGCTACACAAATAGCCAAATAGCTACGACTCATCGAGTCGAGCTGCGCCTTAAGCTGGGGATACGCGTGTGGCTCACGAGCTAGGGTTTGGCCACCCCTGATGTTTACAATACGTTACACATACAGAATGGCAACCCAGTGGTAATTACTCCAATTTTTACGAGTTGGGCCAGTCTTGGTTGAGATTTGTAGCCATATTAAGTCGTGTTTACATTTACCTGCTTCATTTTGGTTGTACGTATATAATTTCAAATTCTAATGCTGTAACTACACTTAAGGGTTGCATGCATGTTCACTACATTTGAAAAAAGTGAATTTCGAGCTGTGGATACAATTCAAAAGTTGACACGTGGGCTATTGGCAAGGCTTTTAAGGAGCATTGTACATTGCAAAGTGGTAGGGTGGGGCAGTGGCGAGTCTTACACGAACAGATCCTGCCCGCTTCCCATCGTTAAACGTTGAGTTTTATAAGGGCACCACGGGGTGACCAGCCCCACCCCTCTCACCCCCCACCCAGCCCCACCCTCCCCACCCAGCCCCTCCCCACCCTCCCCTCCCCACCCAGCCCCACCCCTCCCATTTTTGGATGCACGACGGACGGACACAATAATCCCCTGTGGGCTGGTCTAACCAGAGGTTCCTACCAGTAAAAAAAAGTAACCGTAAGTGAGGTATTGACAGTTATTTCCAACCATCAACCGCTCATGCTTTGTCGTGTCCATTGGGGTTTTTTTTTTATAAATAAAGCGAAGAGTGGTCAAGGCGATGGTGGTTTGAACTCTTCACGAGCGCGGTCTTCATGAAGCCGCTGGCGTCATCGCGGTGTGCAGTGCTTATTAAGTCGAGTCCAAATTTCACGACGCCACCGTCGATTGGGTTCATCTTTCACCACGTCGAACCGAGTGAAACGCTTTTGACCAACAACGAACACCGCACTCACGGCTTGTAGACTACCCCAATTCGCAAACCGAATTTTTTTTTTTTACACAGCACATGTGCACGAGGAATATATATTTGGCGGCGGGGAGCAACTTCCACGATGGTGGATTGAATATTGTTGTGGATTTTACCAGTGGTGGACATCGGCACTAAGTCATATGCAAAGCCCATTGACATTTTTTTGTCTGCTTAGTTACGTTAATGTAACTGCATATAGTTTAATAAAATGTTGTTCTTGTCGGTGTGAGCTCACCGGCCCCTTCTTTTTCGACTCGAGTGTGATCTAACGCATTCCGCAACAACAACAAAAAAGCGTCATGAAAGTCTTTGTTTAACCAGGAGGTGACGGGGAGTCTCAATTGCAAGAGTGGCCCGCGATTAAAATGTGCACGCAGCGCTCCATCGCATTAAATTAAATACCGCATTTAGGATCATTGTAATATTTCGACGTGCCATGACAAGGCCCATTGTTTTAAACGTCGCCTATTATAGTGCATATTAAGGCAGCGTTATTGACGAATGTGAGTTTTTTTTGTTAAATACAGACGCATGCGATGACATTTACACTTAATATCAAATTTGAGGAGTGGAGTATGGCTATCGCACTGCTTTGTTCATCCATCAACCCGAGTTAGATTCCCGGCCAAGGGATGAAGCGGTAGCAGTGGAGTGAGCATAGTGACGGTGATAGCGGTGAACAGAGACGAAGCAGTTAGCAGTGGAGTGAGCATAGTGACGGTGATAGCGGTGAACAAAGACGAAGCAGTTAGCAGTGGAGAGAACATAGCGACGGTGATAGCGGAGACGAAGAGTGGCGGAGCAAGCGAAGTAATCGTGGTGAGTGGAGAGACAAAGGTGGCGAGCGAGCCGTGGCGACCAGGATACTGTGGAATGTGGAGGACATGCTGAGAGTTGTAAATAAAGCGGTGTTCGGAGAAAGACATAAGTTGTCCGAGTGAAATCGAACACTACATTTGGCTCGCGATGTCTGAAGCGGTCCTCTTTTTCCCTCCGCTCTCGGCCCCTGCACTGCCGAGTGTGGTTAGGGGCCGTCCATAAATGACGTCACGCACCTAGGGGTGGGTCAGACATTTGTGACGATGTGTGACGAGGAGGGGGGGGGGAGAAATGTGACGTCACATCAAAATGCTCAACTTTAAATAAATATAGACGACACGTTCTACTTAATTAAATAGACGTTTTAATAAATGTTTTCTCCTACAACATCAGAATGCAGCGCCACATTAAATACGCACGACAATGGCAATAGTTTCAAGCGATTTGAAGCATGTGTTTTTTTTTGGGGGGGGGGGGCTGAGCTTTGTGACGTCATATTTGAGGGGGGGGGGAGGTTCTGACTTTTGTAACGTCGTGTGACGAAAGGGGTGCGGGGGTCAAAAATCGTCCAAAGTCGCGTGACGTCATTTATGGACGGCCCCTTAAGTATCGTCAAGCACGACCGAGACGGCGTGGTAATAAGGAGTTTATCCAGCAGGGGATTAACAAAACTGCTGAGCGGCAATACAAGTCAATACAAGTCTCTCCAAACACTATCCAAATTATTTGGCGACGTTGCCTGCTTTGTCCAACGGTGCCTCAGCACAATTAACACGAAAAAAAAACACTCAGCAGGCCTTAACATGGGAAGAAAACATACAGGCGACTTTCCGGGTAATGATTTGCCGCTTCGTACATAGACAAAGATCCCCCCGTATAGCCTTAACTGACGAGGGACAAGTGCTGTCAGCGAGCACCTGTGAAGGGCGGAACGGTACACGAGGGGATGGATGGGTGGCCAAGCACCACGCCCGACCGCCTTTGTCTTTTTAGTTGGCGATGTTCACACACCGCACCAGGTACTCGTTCGAGGCCGAGTCGACCTCGGGGAGGCCCAGGACCGGTTCAGATAATCGCCACCGGTGTTGACCGTGGTCGGAAATCCAACTCGGGTGGCCGGGTTCGTAGCGCGGCGCGCTAACCGCTCCGCCACCGCTCCCCACTCCGTACCAACGCAGCCGGCATGGCTACACGTGGACGGCATCATTACACGACGCGAGCTGAACCCCACGCAGTCGAGCCCAAAAGTCAAAATTGCTTCGAAGAGACGCCAAAGTAAAATCCCTGTTGGTTTCGCGTCGTGGCGAATTCCGTTCACTTGGAAGTCATGGGCACCGTGTTTTCAGACTTGATGCGTTGTATTCCAACAAAGCAGCTTCCGTGACGCCCCCCACCCACCCAGCCGTGTGTACACACAAATCACGCACGCGCACACACACGCACAAGCGCGCACCATCAAACGTCACGGCTAACTCTCCGTGCTTTTTCAATCTTCAACGCGACCAACATCATCATCATCGTCGCAATGTCGGGTAAGGATGCGTGATTTCTCATTCGTACAAAGCGCTACTTAAACTTCTCCCATCACCGAACGGTTCACTGGTGCTCTGATGTTGGACGAGAAAGATGTGTTGTAGTTTTAGCCGCGTTACACATACACACATACATACATCGCGTGGAAGTGTAGAATAGAGGAATCACGGAGCATAAACCGCGTGTTCTCCATCGGCGTGAACGGGGCTGGCTCATATCCACACGCACAATCACTGCGCTCCACTGGCTGCCGCTCGTGTGGTCGAGCCGAGCGAGGGGAGTCAGATTCATGTTCGTCGTTTAAAGCAAATTACCATCGACCACATTCTTCGGATTGTTTAGACGCTCCGCAAAGTGAAACGCGGCACCCAAAACATACGACTGCAAAAATTACCCCTCCCCCCACTACCCCTACACACGTTTACCGGATTAATTATAAGACGTCCTCCCAACTTGTTTTTTTTTACATCTTCTTACGGGGTAAAAGTGTTTCCGTCTGTCTAGGCGATACGGGGGAATCTGTGGTTTGTTTGGTGGGGGGGGATGCGGTCGTGCGGCGATGAGCAACACTTGAACTACGAGGCCGACGTTCCGGGTTCGATACCACTGCACGACCAACACCAGAAAAACCAGTGGCGAAATATGTGCCTGCTGCGGTGTATACATATCAGCGCTGGGGAGACAAAGGCGGCCTGGCGTACAGGCTGGTCACCTTTACCCCCCCCCACCACTCCCCTGTCGCATGCCGTCACAGCCTTCGCCGGAGCTGGCTAACGGCACTATCCCCAGCAGTCTGTTAAAGGCGACACGGGGGGGGGGGGATCCTTTTAGTCTCTGACCACTGCGTCAAGTGCATTGTGAAGTACATTGTGTGTGTGTGTGTGCTACAGTAGAATGTGCGGGGAATCTCCTTCGTCTATCCGCTGCTGGATGACGAGGATCTCGCCACGCCGTGTGGGTGAAGGAGGGGTGGTGGTGGTGGTGGTAGTGATGTGACCATACTTCACCCTGTTGGTCAATGCGGACCGGCTGCGGTTTTGCCCATGCTGTTAAGAACGTGGGGAGGTCGGGGGGGGTAGGGGAGTCATATACGCTGTCCACAGCGTGGTCTCGCAGCCTATAGCGCCTGTTATGCACAGTTTTGTTGCGGTGTGTGAACGCGCCGCTTTGTCTTGTGATCAGGGAGTAAAGCTGCAAAGACTCAAGCGACTAAAGTCAACCTCGCTCCGACTTTCAGGTATCGTCGCACTCAAAACGCACGCGGTGCTTTCAAAGTTTAAAAAAAAAACACAGGAGGTCATTTGTACACAAGTCGGTTTCAATGCACGCGTTGTTCTTTCATCTTCTCCGACAGTCAAAGTGATAATGCCGTGAGATGTCGTAATATTCATGGACGATTCCTGTGCTCTGTCTCTGCAACATCGGTGGGCGGGGGGGGGGGCGTTTGTTTCTGTTGCTGCGGTCCCGGCACGCGCCACGGATCCCTCTCCCCCTGTAAAATCGCCGGGCAACTTGATAAACGGAGTCATCCGTGTAATAAATAGATATAAAATATATATATAACTCAAACTATAATCATTGAGCTAGATTTAAACAGTGGGGAGGTGGGGGCGGGGAAGAGGGTTTAACCTCCGATTAGCAAATGTTTGCTACGTACGGTTGCGAAAGACGTTCAACATACATGGAAGACCGATGCAGGCATCTTTTCGCCACTGATGTTCGCCGTGGCTAGTTTTTTTATTGTTTGTTTTCACGTAAACAACGATACCGAATATACTGCGTGTCGCTAAGGGTGCACGCGTTAGTGCCACAGCGTTCCCATGTCGAGTGCATCCAGACTTGTTTTTTTTTAAGATGTCTTCAGTTTTTTTTTTAAATCTAAACGTGTGCACTCTATCGCAGGCAGGCGAGTTGAAACTATCACGTTCATATTCTCCAGATCATAAGACGCTCCTGATCGTTACGCGGCATCCCAAACGTCTGACACAGATCTTGTCTGGCACCCAAACACCCATCCCCCCCCAACTGATTTGCTTTTAAAAATACAAACAAAAGTGCAACGTCTTATAATCCGCTGTATCTGCGCCGTATTCGTTTGACAACGTGAGCATCGCAGCACACGAAGAGGATGTGCCCGGGGAAATGAACCAGCCTGTGTATAATTATTAATGAACCAGCCTGTGTATAATTATTAATGCACCAGCCTGTGTATAATAATTAATGAACCAGCCTGTGTATACATATTAATTAACCAGCCTGTGTATAATTATTCATGAACCAGCCTGTGTATAATTATTAATTAACCAGCCTGTGTATAATTATTAATGAACCAGCCTATGTATAATTATTAATGAACCAGCCGGTGTATAATTATTAATGAACCAGCCTGTGTATAAATATTAATGAACCAGCCTGTGTATAATTATTAATGAACCAGCCTGTGTATAAATATTAATGAACCAGCCTGTGTATAATTATTAATGAACCAGCCTGTGTATAATTATTAATTAACCAGCCTGTGTATAATTATTAATGAACCAGCCGGTGTATAATTATTAATGAACCAGCCTGTGTATAATTATTAATGAACCAGCCTGTGTATAAATATTAATGAACCAGCCTGTGTATAATTATTAATGAACCAGCCTGTGTATAATAATTAATTAACCAGCCTGTGTATGATTATTAATGAACCAGCCTGTGTATAAATATGAATGAACCAGCCTGTGTATAATTATTAATTAACCGGCTGGATGATGAGTGACGATGATTTGAATCGGTCCTGGGGGTCTCCCCGAGGTAGGTCGACTCAGCCTCACAATGTAGTACCTGGTGCGGTGTGTAGTAAACACCGCCACTGGGGAGACACAGGCGGCCGGGCGTGGTGCTGCTGGCCACCCACCCCCACTCGTGTGCCGTGCCGGCATTCACGGGTGCTCGCTTGCCCCAACAGGACTTGCTCCTACAGACTGTTCAGGCTACACAGGGGATCTTTGTGTCTGTGTGTCAGTCGATTGCCTTGGTGACTCTCGATCCTTTAGTCACGCGTGGTATTTTTTTACGTCTTTTGTGGTCGATGTAAATATTTGGTCAAATGCGTGTGTGGTCGAGTTTATTCGCAAGCCATCCAGATGAAACGTCGAGTCTGCAGGGCGATCCTTTTATAGATACAGCTGCTCATCGATCATAGTTAATAGAAATAACAATAATCGAGAATCAACTATCCGGTAAACCATGTCAACTTTGGCCCAGAGTTGGCACAAGCCTCTAGATATCCCACGCACAATCTCAACACCCATTACATATATGAACGCTTTCCTAACGCACGCGATACCCACCCGTCCTCTTCCTTCTGTGTTGCTCTGCAAGGTACGAAGCCAGCATCGCTCTCAACACATTCAATCACCCGTCCAGATCGAATCGAAGTGTGGGCAAACTGCAGCAATCGGTGGGGTATCTCTAAATGAATCGCCCTGCATAAAGTTTCATATTTACTACAGAACTCCTCACCCCGCGGTCCTCTCTCGCTCGTCATAGGCGATGCAGAATCCAATCTGCAGCACGAGCCATCAGGAGTCCTGTCCCAGGACATCGCTGTAGCCACCAGGCAGACAGGAGTGTGTGTGTGGTCTCACTCGTTGCTGTGGCCAACGGGCAGTCGGCATTGTTGTGCATCTGTCAGTAACGCCGTAGTTAAGAGGCAGACAGCGGTGTACGTGTCTCAGTAGTGATACAGCCAACAGGCAGGCAGACCGCATTGTGCGTCTCTTTAACACTGTAGCTAACGGGCAGACATCAGTGTGTTACTCAGTTTTACAGTTCTGCAGCTAACGGACAGATACAGACAGCCGCGTGTGTCTTCGTTAAAGTGCTGCAGCTCCAAGACAGAGGTCAGAGAGCTGACAGACAAGAGGCAGGCAGCGGTGTGTGTGTGTGCGCGTGCACGTGCGCCTCCGTTAAATTGCTGCAGCTAAAAGACAGAGGCAGGGAGCCGTGTTTTTGCGTGTCCTGTTGTTTCAAGTGCACGCCTGAAGTGACGTCTCCTGGGCAACGCGTGTTGTGGGGCCCTGCTCGTGTTTCGTGCGTGTGCCTGGCAACAGCAAGGTGGCGGCTGATTCGCTGGCTGGGATCGAGACGGAGTACATCGGGAACCTGCAGGAGCAGGTCTACCTGCTGGAGATGGAGACTGACTTCCTATATCCCCGTCGCGGGAAATGTCATAATGAGCAGCAGCCTGGGGTTGGGGGTGCCTCTCCCTGTAAAGCCGGAGCTGTCCAGGACTGAGCTCCTGATTTTTTTTTCCCTTGCCACACCCCTCCCTCCCTTCCACCCCCACATCATCATCATCACCTCTTTTGTGGATTTATTTTCAGGGCTGAAATTCTGCCAAACTAAGGCGGTTCAAACAATTTTTTTTGTTGGTGGAATTTTTCCCAACTAAGTGAGAGTCTTCTTTTTCTTTTTCCGGCATCATTGCTGACTGGGCTTAGACCGTAAACTCACTGCACTTAAGATCACGCGGGCGGCAGAAGCTCAAATTGAAACCCAGGATCTCAGTATTCCGAGTATTGAACTACCCTGCCACGTATTCCCAAAAACTCTTCTTTTTTCTTTACTGGAAACGAATTCCCAATCAAAATTTGTTGTGAATTTTTTTTATAGATTACTTTATTCTCGACCAGATATTTGAACTCGCTCCATCCGTTTCCACCTCCTTTTGAGTCACCCTTCCACCGATCGCTACTCATCGTCAACTGTGTGAAGCAGTGGGTTGCATACATTTACACGGCATGTGACAACACCGTTGAGTTGCACGTCTCGAAAATATGGACACGCGTTCCAAAATGTTCGCCTGCGTGCATCGGCAAATAAGTTGTTGTTAAGCAACAGAGTTTACGTTGTGGCTGTAAAGGTCGTGTTTTGTGTTCAGAGCTCGCGCTTTGAAAACGCCAAATTGGAGAAATGTGCACACAACAGATGTAACAGTAGAAGTACAATTCAGAATCGGTGTGCATTTGCTTAACTTACAGTATTTAAGTACATGCAGTTAGTGTAACAATCTTCTTTAGAGAATTATCAGTTTACGTACAACAGAGCCTTTACTTGCTATCGCCGTCGTGACGTGCTTATTGTGACCTAAGTCACATGTACATTTTGCAGACCCTTTGTCAATCCACTGCTGGATGAGGGCCTCCCCACACTCTTTGGGTGGTTGGGCGTTATTTTGACCATACTTCATCACGCTGGTCAGTGCGTTAGAGTGAGGAAGCAGGTGTGTAAGCGCGTGGGTGAGTGAGCCGGTGAATGAGTGAGCAAGTAGACGGGTGGGTGGACGAGTAAGTGAGCGAGTGGTTAAGTGAGCAGGTGGCTGCGAGGTCAGTGAGTTAGCCTGTATGTGAGCATGCGTACAAGTGAACAAGTGAGCAATTAACTGAGTGAGCAAGTGGGTGAATGGGTGAGCGGGTGGATGAGTGAGCAAGTGAATCAGAATCTTTATACTGGAGGAATCCGATGAGCTATGAAGCTCTTTTTCACATGTCCAGTAGGGGCGGGTTGGTGGGCGACTGCAAGTGAGTGAGCGTATATGTGAGCATGCGTGCGAGCGAGCAGGCGAGAGGGTGAGTGAATCGGAGCGATGGTGAGTGAACAAGCAGGCGAGAGGGTGAGTGAACGAGCGGGCGAGAGGGTGAGTGAATGGGCGGGCGAGCGGGTGAGTGAACGAGCGGGCGAGAGGGTGAGTGAATGGGCGGGCGAGAGGGTGAGTGAATGAGCGGGCGAGCGAGTGAGTGAGCAAGTTGGCAAGTCGGCTCCTTGACATCTCGTGGAACCCGTGAGCAAGCCAAGAAGGCTTCGGAGCTGCAGCCCAAGATGACGTCCGAGGCGGAGCGAATGCTACACAAGATGCGGGTGAGGAAGCCTCTTCCGTGCCCTCCTGCTCCCCCTTCCCTCTCCTCCCCTGCCGCTCGCAACCAATTTGCTTCACTCGTCCTAGAGGACGACCGTTGCGAAAACAGAGTGGTCTGCGGTTCTCATCCCCACCACCTCCGCGATGGTCATCCTCACAGTAGCTAGGAGATGTTAACTACCTCGCCTGGTATGCAGGAGGTCGTGGGTTCGATCCCGACCCTGACACCTGCTGTATATTTGGAGCTTGCATGTTCTCCCCGTGGTCGCGTGGATTTTTCTCCGTGTCCTCTGCTTTTACCCCCCACATTTAGAATCAATGTGCGTTGAAGAGCATTTGGCCGCTATAAATTTGCACACGATAAGCCACTACGTTGACCTTTCATTTTTGATGGCCAGGTCGCTTCTGAAAGAGAGCTATACAGCTCAATGGGCCAACCTGCTAATATAAAAATAGTTTAGATTTATTTTATTATTCGGCTGCCATTCCATAACCAGCCTCATTCATTGGACACCACGACCCTTTCCGGCATATATCCTGTGCAAGCGTGGCTTCATTTTTGCCCGGATACAATTTGTGCCGAGATGCTTTATGAAGCCGAATTGTAATCGTTGTATTCTTAATATCACAGCTGTTGCATCATCACCATCATCTGCATGACTATCCATCAGCGAACATCCATCGCTATAAATCGTCCGCCCATCTAAATGAACAATTACGGCATGTTTAATAGAAAGAGCTCTCATCCAGCAGTGGATTGACACGAAGGGCGCTGTACAAATGCACTCCTCTATACTCTTTGGTTCTATTGGGTAAAGTCACGTAGGTAAAAAATAAAACAACAAAAATCACGACGTTTCGGCCACAACACAAGCGGCCTTCATCAGGTGAAGGGACCAAACTGTCCAGTGGACAGCCACTTGTGTTGTGGCCGAAACGTCGTGATTTTTGTTGTTTTATTTTTTACCTACGTGACTTTACCGAATAGAACCAAAGAGTATGGATCCTTGCAGTCACGAAAGCTTCAAATCTAGAATTGCACTCGTCTACTTTGGGCTCTCTAAAGGCAATGTCTGTGCACGTCAGTGACCCTTGAGTGACTGCGTAGGATGATGTCACTCGACAGGAACTCTCCGAGTTTTATTACAAGCCGTCGCGGTGCAAACAACGCCGCCGTTGGTCGTCGGGGAATACTTTTTGTGTGTGCACCGCGGTTAGTCAACCGGGACAGGTCGCGCGTGTGGTTGGGTAAAGTGTGGGCGCGCTCCCACCCCTTCCAAGACGCCTAGCCAGCGTGCAAGAGATCTTGAGAGTTCTCTTTAGCCGAGGCCTTTCCGCCAGCAGTGGTGTGAGAAAGACGTTTCAGGGCTTTACCTTTCATTTCATTAAAAAAAATCGAGGGATATTTATTGTTAAAGCAGATACCCAGCTCACCCCGCGTATTTGACCAATATTGGTTTATACTTGTGTGAGCTGCTATTTTAGAATACTTAGTAATAATACATTGAAATTAATATATTTTTACATACAGCATAATTGATATAAATTGCTTTCGAAATCCCTGTGTGATTTACGCGGGAAACCATAGAGGAGTGGGAAGGCAGCCAGAACCAGCACAGCAATTGCAAAAACTCTGTGATCCTACGTTGGCATGTTTTAGCAACTCCATTAATGAGTGATTATACGTGTGGGAAGAGTACAGACTGCACATAAATAAACCCACGTGTGCAAGGGTGAGTGAGTGGGTAAGACTCAATCCCCGTACAGATGGAATACAGATGGAAATTAATCCACTTGTGCTGTCATGGTAGCCTGGCAAGCCGGGAGACAATAAAGTATTAAAGCTTCTTTACCTCCGTGATTTGTTCTTGACACCTGATGAAGATCGCTTGCGTTGTGATCGAAACGTCGTGATTGTTTTTTGTTTTAATATAATTTTATTGTATTTCTACATACGTGACTTTACCGAAAAAAACAATGAGTAATTTTATGCAGTCACGAAAGCTTTAATACTTTATTATCACACTTCTACGGGGAAGTTACCGTTGTAATTATGTGTAAGATGTGCCATTTTTTGAGGTGCCGTTTTGTATTTACAATAGGTGGTCATTTTTTGAGCTGCCGTTTTGTATTTACAAGAGGTGGCCCTTTTTTGAGATGCCGTTTTGTATGTGTAAGATGTGCGTGTTTGAGCTGCCGCTCTCGCTCTGGCCCCTCCCCCCCTCCAACCGTATTTCCTATTTAAGCTTCTGTTCATCCCCCCCTCTCTCTCTGCCTCCCTGTCCGTCTTTCCTCCCTCCTTACCTCTTGGTGGACTTGTATATGTATTTCTACTGACCGTGTACCTCGTATTTTTCATTCTATCTATGCTGGTATGTGCAATCCAAAGGTTGAACACGAAATTTAACACTCCTCTGAAATTCGTGGTCCGCCAGGAAGTGTCTAACTGTGTTGTTGGCCTGACTGGATGTGCTTCACATAATGTTTTTCAGGTTTGTTCAATTCTCGTCTCTCATCTTTTTGTTGTGTTTACCTCCGTGATTTGTTCTTGACACCTGATGAAGATCGCTTGCGTTGTGATCGAAACGTCGTGATTGTTTTTTTGTTTTAATATAATTTTATTGTATTTCTACATACGTGACTTTACCGAAAAAAACAATGAGTAAGCCGGGACACCTTGGCGCCCACGGTTATGCAGGAAGTTTCAGGAATGTGTGTGATCCACGAAACCTTATAATCATAATTGGTAGCTTACGAGTGTACTCGGCCACCAGTGCCCGACTGATGATGATGATGGCGATGATTTGAGATGTTGCGTGTGATGCGCGTCCGTCAGGGAATGGAGGTGGAGGCCCAGGGGATTCATCTGGAGCTGCGGCGGATGGAGGCGAGCGTCTCCTCCCTGCGCTCCGAGAACGAGCTGCTGAGCCGCCAGCTGCGAGCCGAACAAGGTATGGTAACCCGACCCCACATGACACCACGACCCCACATGACCCCACATGATCCCACATGACCACACGACCCCACATGACCCCACATAACCCCACGACCCTACAACCCCACGACGCCATGACCTCACCGTGCTGCACCCCTCCTTGCACGCTCCCGCTGAAGACGCTTAGGCCCCAGTGAAAGCGATCTCGAACGCTTTCAACGATGAGAAACTCGGAAAACAGGCGTAAAAATCATCACGTTTGCTTGCACGTTTTACCACAAAGCTCGTGTCGTTAATGCAGACTTGATGTCTTGCAATAGGTGTTTATTTGGTTATTTGAACATCTTAACACCATGTTTTTACTGCCAGAGAGGGTAAAGCCCATTCTTATATTTTTCCCCCCATCATTTTAATACTGGCAATAACAAACAAAAAAAGGTTCCCCGCAGATACGGAGTTGCGGTTGTTGTTTGTCGGCGATCGTTGCGGTGTCCGCCACGGTAGACGCTCGAGCGGACGACAAGCGCGCACTCCTGGCCGAGCTCGTGGCCGAGCGGCAGCGGCGAGAGCTGGGGGACCGCGAGGCGACCTTCAAGGAGGCGGAGGTGTCGCGCGCCCGCCAGGAGCAGGAGGCCGCGCTGGCGTCGCTGCGCAGCGCCGAGCACAGCGTCCGCATGCTGGAGACTCAGGCAAGTCAAGGGGACGATGCTCGCTCGCCCGCTCGCCTGCTCGCCCGCTCGCCCGCCCGCTCGCCCGCCCGCCCGCCCGCCCGCCCGCCACCGCAGGGCCCCGTTGCACCTCTGATGCGCTGTCGCAGGGTTCTTCATTGCAAGGCCCGCGAGCCACTGGCGAGGCTCCGCTGGTGGCCTTTAGTGCGGCCCCCTGACGTGCGGCCCGCCAACAATTCACAAATGTTAAAACACCCCCCCCCCCGCCCCCCCCCCCCCCCGATCATCGTGCTGTCAAACCTCAGTGGTATAAAATATGTGGACGGCCCTTACACTGATGATGTCTTATCGGCGAAAGTGCCCTCCCCCCCCCACTCTGAAGATTAGTGAGGAACACTGCGCTATCGAGAAGGGCCATTGCACAGAACGTCGTCGATTATTTTTTTTCCTCGTAAGGCTATTGACGAATGAATTCGTTTTTGTTGTTGTTAATTGTGCTACAGCCCTGCATTGTGTTTCAAACATTATAAAGTAGTGTATCTACTGTGCAGTATATAGTTTTTGAAGGTCACGTCAAAATACAAGGTCCCAGGCTCCACGGCCCCTGAAGTCCCCACGTTAACCTCACACCATGCGTGTGTAGAGGTGGTGTGCAAATTACCCCCACCTCAACCTCTTTCCACGAATGTGGGAAATTTTAAATACTCAATTGGGTGCCACGGTGGCAACATGTTAACTACCTTGCCTGGTATACAGGAGGTCATGTGTTCGATCCCGATCCTGATGCCTGCTCGTATATTTAGAGTTTGCATGTTCTCTTCTTCCTGTTTTTGAGTGAGTTTTTCTCCAGGTCCTCCGGTTTTCCCCTCCACATTTATAACCAACATGTGTTTAGATTATTTGGTTGCTATAATTTTCCATATGATAAGCCACTCCGTTTAGCTATCATTTGTGGCCAGGTCTCTTCTGCAAGAGAGATATATATATAGCTCAGTGGGCCTTACCTGGTAAAATAAAAAAAGTTTCGTTTATAGAATGTCCCTTGCTCTGAGTGCGAAGTTAATGTCGCACGTCGGTCAGTAGGGGGCACCACACGGAGGCTGCATTGTGTGCAGTCAGAGCTGAGAAGGGGGATTGTTACGTAGAGAAAATGTTATGCTGTACGTACTTTGAGATTTTGAAATAATTATTTTTAATGCGAACCAACACTTAGATGGGGCACCTTCAAATATAAAAAAAAATAATCGGACACAACAGAGGTCGGCAGACGTCATAGATTCAATGATTCAATTTTGGTCATTGCCGTTTTGCGGTTAAATGAGTGAAGAGTCAAGTAATTGTTTGTAAACGGTAAGAATGGATTCTGGTCCCAACCCGCTGAATTACTATGCCTTCTCAAACTTCCTTCATAGTCTTGTCACGATTTGCCTTCCTCGCAATTCGCCAAATTGTCATATACAGCATTGAAAAGTTGTATTAGAATGTTTCCTTTGATCACTTTCAGATTTATAAATAAAAGCTATTATTTCGTGCTAGGTAATTTAAAGCAGACAACACGAATTGTATGCTTGTTGGGTGATAACCGGTAAACCGGTAAGCATTCTCAGGATTGGTTACAAGCACCGGCTTTTTTATGGTGGCACTGAATAAGGAAAAAGGCCCCATTGTTTCAACTGTCGTGCTTTTGGGAGATGGAATCGAACAGAAGCCCTCTAGATTTCAGACTCTCTTTTATATCAGCTGGCAGGGCCCCATTGAGCTGGGCAGCTCTGTTACAAAGACGACCACAGCCCATGACCGTCGGCAGTGGTGGCAGTCGCAGGGCATCACAGGGTGTGAATGTGCAAAGTTCCCAAGAGCGAAAACGAATTTCCTCCGTTTCTCAGTTTGAAAAGTAAAACATTTGACGTCCATTGCTCGAAGAATTGCTCAATGTGTGGCAAACCGACAACTGTTTTGTACCAAATTAATTTTCATGCAGTTATCGATAATACAAATTAACATCATGAAAGGTGCAACAACGAACATCTAAACGACGTAAATCAAAGCGATTTACGGCGTAGGTGGTGGAAGCGAAGGCCGAGAAGCGAGAAAGGATGGATGATGCTGTCAGCGTCGTGAGTATGGGTTGAGGCAACACGAAAATCAGGTCGCGGTATTAACAAAGTGACGACGTATTTGCAAAACGATGTAAAAGGGAGGAGACGTAAATCTGGGTATTGCTGTATTAAAAACATTTTTGGAACAACAACCCTAATCAGCTTGTGTGTTTGTGTCGTGGTGATCGCCGCAGCTGGCTCAGCGGGGCGAGCAGCAGCGAGCCACGGAGGCCGAGCTGAGCGAGCGGCGGGCCCAGCTGCTGCGTTCACAAGCGGCGCTCGGCACCGCCCAGGAGCACTTTCTGAGCAGTAGCGCGGTGCTCCAGGAGCAGATCGCCCGTGAATACAGGTGCGCCACAAATCCGGCAGGGACCCCAGTTAGATTCCTGCCACGCCGCCTTCGAAGGTGCCCCGCTAACAGCACTTGCCCCACCTGCCTGCATATGCATGTACGTACGTTGAACGTCTTTCGCGCCGTGCGTAGTCAACAGTGCTAATCGGAGGTGCGTAAGCGACACGGTGGTGACGTTTGTCTTTGTGTTCACGTACCAGTGTAGCGGTTAGCACGCTGTGCTAAGAACCCGACAGAGGCACGAGTTTGATTCTGGCTCACGGCCACCAACATCGGCGATGATTATCTGAATCGGTCCTGGGCCTACCCCATGGTCGACTCAGCCTCAAACGAGTACCTGGTGCTGTGTGTGCAAACATCGCCACTGGGAAGACAAAGGCGTGGTGCTGGCCACTCACCCCCTCGGGTACTGTTGCAGCCTTCATAGGCGCTACTCGCAAACAGCACTTGCCTCGACAGTCTGTTAGCAGCTATACGGCGGACCTTCTTTGTATTTTGTCTTTACCTCTTGCTCGCTCACTCGCCCGCCCGCCCACTTGCCACCATCGGCAGAGGTAAATACAACTACAACTCCACTGGGCATTGACTCGGAGTGGTCAGAAATCGAATGCAGTTAAATGTTGAAAGATACGATGTCTATTTGTGTGCAAAACACAGCTATCATGTAATGTGGGGGGCTGCCGAGTTGGATTAATGGATTTGACATGATCATTCTTGACTTAAAGCTTTCGTTACTGCAGGAATTCATATTCTTTGGGTCTTTCGCGCCCAGTCACTGGAGCTCAGCCGCTCACATGATAACTTCTGGGTTTTCCCCCCCAATACGTGGTGTCACAGTAGCATCGGGTGACGTCAGTATTGTTAGCAAGCGTAAGACATTTAAACTTGTATTCGTACGTAATGGAAATTATCCGAAAAGCCTAAAGTATTGAAATATTAAACTCACCCCTGGCCCGTGTCTGCAGGCACATTTCATTCGGCAATGACCGTCGACAATGCCCAGAAGGGGTTTGTCACCTCTGAGGCACAAAAAAACCAAGATATTTCGGAGGAGAAATGATATCTCACAATAAGGGAGAACTGAGCGTAGATCATCATCTTCATCACGATCCGTGGGCAGATAGCTCGTAGGTGTCCACTGCACATTTCGTCATTTGTTTCCACTTTCATCAGCCTTGCGACAGTATGCTCAAGTAGTGCCACGTCTTTTCCGGCACCGATTCTCTTTTGTCGTCAAACCTGAGCGTGAAATGCATTCGCGAAAGTGACGCGATAATTACGCAACCGACACAAACCGGGCCTTTTGACGCCTCCGCTAAGACTCAAGAGATATCCCTGGACAGCAGCCGCCTGGACACCGGAAACTGAGCATTGGCGACGATTGGGGGGGGGGGGCTATTTTACTCGTCCGTCTCTTACGTTGCTCACGGGTGGGGCGGGGGGGGGGGGGGCGCGTGCCAGGGAGGAGGCGCGGACGCTGAGGCAGCAGCTGCGCGAGCGGGAGCTCTCCGGCGAGCAGGAGCGCCTGCTCCGAGCCAAGGCCACGGAGGATTGCGCCGCCCTCGCGCGCGACAACGCTGCGCTGCGCGCCCAGACACTGGAGCTCAGCCGCTGCCTGGAGCTGGTGAGCAGATCGCATCGCTAACTCGTTTTCTTTTTGTGTTTAACACGCCACCCCCCCCCCCATGTATCGTTTATTCAACGTTGACCTTGTCATGACCCCCCCCCAGCTCCCGGAGCTCTTGTACGTCATGCCGAGACCCCCCCCCCCCAGTGGTGACGAGATGTTCGCTCCTTCGCCTGGTATGGAGGAGGTCGTGGGTTCGATCCCGACCCTGACACCTGTATATTTGGAGTTTGCATGTCTCTCTCCCCGTGGTCGTTTGGATTTTTTTTCGGGTCCTCTGATTTTTGCCTCCACATTTATAATCAACGTGCTTGTAGAGTATTTGGCTCCTGCTGTACATTTCCACGTGATGATAAGCCAATTCGTCGAGCTATGTAATTGCCAGGTCGCTTCTGAAAAACAGCTAAATAGCTCCGTGGGCTTTACCTGGTAAATTAATTAATTTTCGTGATTCGCTTACGTTTCCCACACTTTGCACTCCCTTCGTGTTTTCGCGTTGTTTGTTGTCGTAACTTTCTGACCCCGTGCAACCTACTGGACATCTGCGTGAAAAAAAAAGAGCTTCATAGCTCATCGGATTCCTCCAGTATGAATAAAGCTTCTGATTCTGGATTGCTCTGTCCTCTAGAGGTTTTTTTTTATAACGACCCACCCGACCGACCGACCGACCGTGAGTCCCTGTTCCGCTTTGCGCGCGACCCCAGGAGCGCTCTCTGCGGGACGAGGGCGCCAGCCGGCTGTCGTCGAGCGCCTCGCGCCTCCTCTCGCTGCAGGAGTCGGAGCGCTCTGGGCACGGCGAGAACCTCCGCTTGCGCCAGCTGCTCGAGGACGAACGCAAGAGGGCGCTCGACGCGCTCCAGCAGGTTCTGGCGCGGTTGACGTGGCCACGCTGTGAACGTGACGCCTGTTTACACGTTGCGCATCGTTTTGTACCGTAATCTTCGCAGTTTATTTTAAATACGCAGCTTTGTAAATTATGTGCGTGGCTTGTGACGTTAGACGCGTTTTGACGTTAAACGCGTTTTTTTTAAATTCGAAACCCTGACTTTGTTTATTTATTTATTTTGGTGGTGGGGGGGGGAGTTACGCTGGATTTGTACGCATTGGGCACGCGAGATGTTCATAAAATCATCGGAGCGTAAATTCCTTTAGGGTTTCATGTCGCGATCCTCAGGCGCGGCGGTAGAAGCGCATTAGGGCTCGCAATAGGAAGGGTCGCGAGTTCAAGGCCTGACTGTGGGTCAATATGTTGATTTGTTGTTGTTGTTGACCGTTTAAATGCCACGTTCCCACGAGCCACAAACCTCGAGAATCTCCTCGAGCTGCCCCCCCCCCCTCCCACCCCCGCGACTCGCCCACGTGGTCGTCCCCATCAGGTCGGCGTCTGGGAATAACGAGGGCAAATCCAAAGTCAACTCGCGTTGGCTGGAGAGGGAAACGAGGTGGCCCCGTCACCGCGCGAGCGAAGCGACGTCGTGCTTGGGACAAGTGTCCCTGCGCTTCTGCATCCGGCACGACACGCGGCCGTTAGTCCAGTGGTCCTCGGTTTTCATGGTTTTAGAGCACATTCCCCGCCCCCCCTCAATTAAGAGCACTGGTTCCCCCCCCCGCCCCCCCCCCCCACCCAGTAAACTTTTCCTGCGCCTCAACAGCCTTGGCAAACAATGAAGTTTGTTGTGGTGCAGAATAAATGTTTCTCCGATCGAATACCGCCGTTAGTTTTGTCCAATTACCGCAGTGAGTTGATGAGTTTTATTAACGACTTACCGCCGTTGATTTCACACAACCTACATATGCCGCGTGTGTGAGTCCATTACAATGCACGCTAATTGGCCCATTCGTTTCCAATGGGAAACCCGAACGAACGCTTTAGGACAAATGTTGCACAGGTGCGTGAACGCGTCCCCCTATTGTCACCTCACTCTATTGTTGCCGTGCAGGTGCTGCGCGTTTGCTGTGCCGTGTCCCGTTTCTTAACACAGCCCCCCCCGCCTTCCACCCCTCCAACGCACTTCTCTTCTTCAAACATGGCCACACACGCCGAACTCTGTCTGGCTTTTCTCGAGGACCAGTCTGTTTGCTGGTGTTAGGAGATCTAAGGCCTAACAACCAAAATAATTCCTTAGGTCTGTCTGTGACGTGGGGGTCAGCGTGACTCTCGTTAAGATGATTCGATAAGAATGGTGTGTTGGTTGAAAGGTGTGTTGGTTGAAAGGTGTGTTGTTGTTATTATTTGGGACCTTACAGAAGCAGAAGTGACGAAGCGTGCTAAAATTAGGAACTCGGTGTATCCACGTAAACACAAATATTCCTCTTCCAGTACTCGATTAGTGCTGCAAAAAAAAAAGATGCTTACAGTGACAGATAAGCGTCGTTCGTGGGTCGTTCTAAGTGCAGGGTCTCGTGCGGCGACGGGCCATGTGGAATTATACAGCCGGTGGGGCTGCAGGTTCCCCAATGCCCGGAGTCCATCCAATGACATTCACATCCCTTTTCCACTGGCACATCCTAGCCAGCACCACAAGATTGTCTGAATCTGGCTCGGGGCCAAGCAGGGCCAGTGACAGGGTGTTATTATTCGAGCATCGTGTGCGACAGCAGTAAGTACACCGTTGAGGATGCAGCGCCGCCGTGTCATCTTGCACTCGTCTCGACTCGTTTGTCGCGCATGATGTCAGTGGCGGGACGCCGCACGACTCGCCTTGCGCAGTGGAAAAACACCCTGGCATCTCCTGAGCCGCGATGGCCTGGCCCAGTACAGCCCCAGCATGGCTGTGGAAAAAAGCGATCCAGTTTTGTTTGACGATGCCCCGGACACCCGACGCGTTGCCAACCGTGGGGCCGTTGCAGGTTCATCGCCTGGAGCAGGAGCTCAGCCGCAAGGAGCTGAGCGTTGCAGCCGCACGCAGCCGAGCCACGGAGCTGGAGGCGCGCCACGCCAGCGCGCACGAAGCCAGCATCCAGCTGCGTAACGACAAGGCGCTGCTGGTGGAGCACATAGGCGATCTGCAGAACAAGGCAAGCAGATAATAGAAATGACGTGTCCGTCGTACGTACGTACACACATACGCATATTGAACTTCTTTCGCACCGTACGTAGCCACCCGCGCCCATCGGAGGCGCAGTCGCCATCGTCCCCCGCGCGCGGACCTCTCCCCTTCTCGCGCTCCTCAACGTTAAATTTAGATTTATATGAATTTATATGAATCCCTGCAGTCACGAAAGCTTTAAATCGAAATTTAACCGCCTATACGGGGAGGGTTTCCACATAGCTTTGAGATCCTTCAACAAAATCCGGGATACGAAGGCTCAGCTGATCGAGTCTCTCACCTTTCTGAAGAGATGCCGCGACTCTAGGGTAATACCAATCGCACTTACACTGACCTCTGCTTCTGCAACTTCTTCTAATGCGAAACGAAGTCTGTTTAGAACTAGCTTAGCTCTTATCTCAGAGAAAATCAGACTTATACGCACCAAACTAGATCAGTTAGACAAGACACTCTACAAATCACACTTATCGTTGACGGCAACAATATCCACATCGGATTGGGAACATGTAGACAATATGACTGGCTCTTCAGCTGCCACTATGTCGACCAAATGTAAGGACAACCTGATTTCCAAATTTAACCTCCTCTGCAACAAAAGACCGGACCCACGCACCAAAAAGCAAGACATTTACAAAGTCGTAATTAATCGCAGTAACAGTTCTATTTCCGATGGTCTGAAATCCATTTTAGCTAAAGGGCTAAACTTTGTAGTCACATATAGACACATATCAGTTAATGATATCATTGCCCAAGTAGACGTGGCTCTCAAGGGCCTGGGTCACATCGCTGCAGACGTAGCAAGATCTGAAATCGCTGCAACCCTCAAAAACGCTAAGATTCCAGCTAGCAACCTCAGCAAGATGAGCATTTGAATGATCTCAATTAAAAAAGAGGGATCACATTGTCATCCTCTCAGCCGACAAGGGCAATGCCACTTTCATCATGGATAACATAGAATATAACAACATTCAAGAACTACTCAACGATGGCAGCTATACAAAAATAAAGAGACCCCACCAACAGCCTCGTCATACAAACCAACAAAATCATTTCTGATTCAACCGCATTAATTGATCAAACCAAACAGTTCTCATTGAAACCTTCTGCTGCCAGGCCACCAAGATTATATGGCTTACCAAAGATACATAAAGAAGATATAACCCTTCGTCCCATCGTCTCTACTATCAACTCCCCCACCTACAAACTGGCTCGTTTTTTATCTGAAATCCTGCGGCCTTTCACTGGAAAAAACACCTCTGCGGTACTAAACTCTACTCACCTGGTATCGACCATCAAGGATATTTCCCTGTCCCCAGACGACCTGCTTGTCAGTTTTGATGTGGTTTCCTTATTCACCAAAATTTCTGTACCTGACACCATCGCAATCATTGAAGACTTGATTCATCAAGGACTGAACACTGAAGTACCCCCCTGGTGAGACACTGCTTAACCAATACATACTTCACCTGGAATGGAACTTTCTACAAACAAACTGAGGGCACCCCAATGGGCTCCTCCCTATCTCCGGCTGTAGCCAACGTTTTCATGGAGAAATTTGAGACTGACGCCATTCAGACTGCCACTCTACGCCCAACCTTATGAAAGAGGTACATGGATGACACTTTGTCATCTGGCCACATGGCCGGCCTGCTCTAGACCAATTCCTCGACCACATGAATTCTATACACCCAGCCATCAGATTTACCATGGAAGTTGAAAAAGATGGCAAGCTACCTTTTTTGGTTGTCCTAATAAAAAAGAGACCTGATGGTCCAATGAGCCACTCTGTCTACAGGAAAGCTAACCATTTGGATGCTTACCTAAAACCGCATTCCCACTACCATCCATCCCAGAAGAATTCCCTCATCAAGACTCTGCACCATAGAGCCCACTGCATCTCCGACCAGGAACACATAACCAGTGAACTCAAGCATGTACACCAAGCTCTCAAGGCTAATGGTTACTCCGACTACACAATCCGCAAAGCCATCACTCCAACCATGAAGAAGGACCCTCTTGAGGAGCCTTTCAAAACCATCACCTTACCCTACATTGCGGGGGTCACAAAAAAATCTCCAAAATCTTGAATGAACACAAGATCCAGGTCCAATTCAACACAGTACATAAAATCCGTGATCTGGTCCTGTCTGTAAAAAGATGTGATTCCAGACATACAGTACCCTGGCGTCTACAAACTAAGTTGCCTCTGTGGTAGCAGTTACATTGGATAAACCAAACGACATGTCTCGGACCGCATCCGTGAATGCAAAGCAGACCTAAAACACGGTACGACCAACACCTCAGCCGTGGCAGACCACTGTTATAATTCAGTGGGCTCACATGACATTGACTTTTCCAAGACAGAGGTTCTCTGCAAGCCATCTGGCTACCATGAAAGATTCGTTCATGAGGCTATCCACATATACAAACACAGAGACAATTTCAACCGAGAAGATGGATTCTGGCTTAGCAATCATTGGAAGGATTTGATAAACCATTTCGGGTCTTAATTGATTGTGTTCACGCTTACGGTGACTTTCAGACCGCATTCCATTCTCTTTCTATCTCCCCCCTCCTCCGTTCCGAGCATAGATGGACTCGTCCGTATGAACAACCGCCAGTTGCAGTCAGTGGTGCTAACGTTAAGAAAAAACCGCCACTTTTTTCAAATTTTCTTGCCGTGGTTTTCACACCTGATGACGATCGCTCGTGTTGCAATCGAAACGTCGTGAGAATTGCATTTTTTTATTTGTATTATTTCCCTTCTACGTGACTTCACCGAAAGAACCAAGAGTATAATACTCCTCAACGTTGTTGTTGACCGTGCGCAGCTGGCGGGACGGGAGAAGGTGCTGCGCCAGGAGCGAGTGCGGTCCCTGGGCCTCGACTACGAGCTGGAGGCGACGCGCGCCAGCCTGGATCGCTCGGGCACAGTGCGGCGTGGCCGCCTCGGTGCCAGCTCCAGCCCCACGCGGCGCAGCGTGGCGCTCTCCTCTTAGCCCCCCCCCCCCCGCCCCAACTCTGCTGGCTAGGGTTGTGGCCTTTGAAGGGGAAAAAAAAACAAGTGGTTGATTTCCAGCTCGAATGAGCTCTTTGCCCGTGGTGCTTTATCTCTTGTTTACTACCCTCAGCCGGTGGTGGCAAATTCTGTGTTACCATGGCGAAGGTTACCCGTTTAACGTGGAACGTTGGTCCAATAGTTCCAACCGGATGCTAATGTTGGCTAAACGTTGCATGTTTACTTGGGGTAGTCTTTCCGGAGGACAACCATTGTTGACTTCCCCACAAAAGTGGTACTAATTTTATTGGCCCCCAGAGGAATGATGGTCCGTCATACTGCTACAGAAGCCATTTTGTCACCAGCCTCTACGGGGTGGGGAACTTTTTCCTGGTGGGCAAACGGCCATAAACACACACCTCTGCCACCCCCAACTAGGATTTGAACTGGAATTGTGAGACGTTAGCTCCCCCGCTTGAGCAAACAGGCTGGATAAAATATATTATTGGAAAACGAGCATCTAACATTCGTCGTTCATTGATTTTTGGGTCCAATCACGTGAGTCAAATGTTGTGTCGTTACACCCTGATCCACCCAAACACAGCCATGTAAATACATTTGTTGCGTGAACAAACGTGCGTTGGCGGGCGATCCACAGCACCGAAACATTGGGCAGTATGACGTTTCTACCGGCAGTTACAACCACCATCATCGTACGGTTTGAAAATGTCCTCCAGTCTCGGGTCTTATAATTATCAATTGTAAATCGTAATATTGCTTCACGAAAGCCGACATTCACTGTAACGTCGTTTATCAAACGCCGTTGTTTATAAAACGTCGTTGTTTATAAAAGCGTCGAGGGCCTCATTAAAATGTCCCCCATTTTCCCATGGCACTCTGTGTAAAAAAAGTGCTTTCAAAAAAAGATCGATTTCATTGTTTCACGTACGTATTTTTAGGGTTTTGCTGTGGTTTTAATTACAAAGAGTATTTTTTTCCCGAAATAAAGACTGCAAATGAGTTAAGGTTGCTTTTGTAATGGAGTGGCGCAAACGAAGAACGGAATCTTTTTTTACCCATTCAATGAAACAATAAAACAATACGGCCAGTGTAATCAGAGTACGGAGTTTGTATTTATACCGCGTGAATGACGTTGGACTTGAAACGATAGTGGCTGTTTTTTTCTCCTTCATGTCTTCTGTTTCTACCTCTGTTAATCTGCAATTTATTCCTCTCCGGAATTCTTTTTTATACTAACCCAACCTGCACTGCTATGCTGTGTTTACACACGTGGGTGGAAAGCCATACACCCCCCCCCCCCCCCCCCCCTTAAAGAGATACCCACCCAAGCCACGATAAACTATAGACGTGGATAAACATGAGCAGGTGTTCGATTCTACATGTTCCTCTCTGAAGCGCACAACGGTGTCCATCCTTGCTCGACACTCCAGTCTTCCTGCGGACAGATTTGGCCGCACCACAGTGTGGAATAATTGTGTTTTTTTTTTAACGAGCCCATTCCAGCTTTTATTTTGAGCAGGGACGATACTCCTTTTGCCTATGGGACCCACGTCACCTGGAATGCGCCCGATCCTGTAGAATATCTAAAGAAGCGTGTCAGGCGTTGAACCTGGAGAGTGCTTAGATGGGTGGCACAAGAAGGTCTTGTCATGTACGTTGTTGGCGGCAGATGGAGTTGCGGGAGAACGCAGCGCTGCGCAGGCAGGCCTCGCCTAACGCGCGGGCGGGGGTTACGTTCCTGGAAAATGCCGTGTTGAGCAAAACAAGCGTTTGACAAATGATTTTATCACCCTTTTTGTTGAACTAATTCTACATTTCCACTGCAGGATGCCACCGACGAGGAGGTTCAATATTTGGTTCTTGGAGCGTCATTGCCTTGCGTTAATTATCGCCCCAGGTCTGTTGAGCCAAGGCCTCTGAAGTAAATATTTGGTTTGCTTAACCTGAACGTATAATTGACTTGCAGGCATTTTAGGTGGCCTGAGGGGGGGGGGGGGGACACTTGTAGACTAGATTTAACATCTCGCCACGGTGGCGAGATGTTAACTACCTCACCTGGTATGCAGGAGGTCGTGGGTTCGATCCTGACTCTGATACCTGTATATTTGGAGACTGCATGTTCTCTCCGTGGTCGCGTGGATTTTTCTCTGGGTCCTCCGGATTTTCCATCCACATTTAGAACCACGCGTTTTGAGTATTTGGCTGCTGTACATTTCCGCATGATGAGCCACTTTGTTGAGCTATCATTTGTGGCCAGGTCGCTTCTGAAAAATAGCTATTTAGCTCAAGTGGGTCTTACCTGGTAAAATAAATATATAGTTTCGTTTAAGTTTTTAACATCACCCAAAAGGTGTGCTGCTGCTCACACAGCAGCAGAAAGACACAAATTCCATCCCTGTGCCCTGTACATGCCATGTGACCGCCGCTTTGCATGTACGTACAGCAATACCCCGATGCACGTCTCCCCCTTGCCCGTCGTTTCACAAATACGTCGTCAATATATTAATATCACGACCCGATTTTCGTCGCCTCAACCCCACACTCAACGTCGCCGACAGCATCGTCCGTCCTTTCTCGTTACCCGCCGCCTCTCAGCCTTCGCCTCCACTGCCCACCCTGTAAATCGTTTCGATATTCGTCGTCGCACCGTTCAGGAACGCATCCCCCGACGTAAACCGGAGTATTTAACGCACTCTGCCCTCAGCCTGTGCCTAAGCCGTGCACAGTGGCGATAACATGACGCGTGCACATGCAACGCGTGATAATGGCCGTGAGCCGTGCCTTCTTGCCGCCTTAATGTTCAATATTCCAGTCTCCAACATGCGTGCATTCTGTCGTGATGGGGGTTCCTCTTCGTTTATAAAAAAAAAAATCGTTGGGATTTGAGACACTGCAGACAATTAGACACCATGGCGGCCATGTCTGCTGACTGAGATACAGCCTGTTCTCCTTCTAACGCGGTAGTAGTTGCGTTCCTGAATAACACCGGGTACTGGAAAACATCACGTTATAATAAGTAACATAGGGCAAAGCACGGTTCGGGATAACACGCGCGATGGGTATGCAGGATGAGCAAAGACGGAGGCACGTGGGGAGCATCCAGCAGCATCCCACCTTGGTTGATGCTACGCCGAGGCAGCTGTACAACCGCTTATTCCTGCTCATGCGACGTAGTTCTGTTCACTCCATCGCGTTATATCCAATTCGCATCCGCGTTATAAAAAAATGTCTTCCCTAATACATTAATCGCGTTATATCCAATTACACGCGTTATAGGAGAACAGACTGCACTAGTTCGCACTCTGTTTCAGTGTCCAGAGACTTGGAGATTCCGTAACCATCATCATGGATGGACGTTCGCAAACAACTCTTGAATGTTACTTGGTCGTTGATGGCCATAGGGTAGAATCGCCTGGAATGTGACCAGTCGCATCGTGAGAATGTGAGAATGTGTTGGACTGATTCGCACGATGGATGAATGCGTTTGCTCAAAGAATATTCGTCATGAACACATTCTCACAACGGTGAAAACAGTTTATAGCGGCTTACTAAATCAAGTTGATACTCCTGTGTTATATTATGAGGCCGTAATTGACTTAGGACCCTAACCTTACCTAACTTAGATTTCAATGGTTCCCTGCGGTGTCAATACGACAGCTGAAATCTCCTGGATTCGATCAGTCCAATAGGCATCGTCTCAAAAGGAGTCGGAGTCGGGGGGGGGTGCTGACCTCTCAGTTCAAGGACCAAGACTCCGAAGCTCCCTCCCGGTTCAATTATCTCCCCCTGCTCGCCCCCAAGTTTTCAGCTACAGTCATCTCTACTATGAAGAAGGGCCGTTGCTAGGAAGGATGTGTAATTAGCATGCGTATATATTCCCTTAGATGGTAGTTGACCTACTCTTCCACGCTGTAAGATATTTTTTGGTGACGCTGCTGTGTTTGCAGTTGTGCACGTGCACAAATAACAAAAGACATGACATGCGTAAATAACACTACGGAGCTTAAACTGTAAATACATAATGTGCAATGTTGGATAATACACAATACAGTGCCCGTGCAATGATGAATGGCGGGCATTGGCCAAATTGTCACATTATATTATATAGCTTTTACCTCTTTGCTTTCTTGGGCCATGCCACTCACACCCGTGTTAATGCGATGTCACAGAATGATGATCGTGCAATGTACGCAATGCTCGATATTCGTTATTTTCATCAAATGTATAAGAAATTGACTCGCAGCTTCACCTTAAGCACAGTGATGTTTCCTTTTCACACTGCAAATAATTCAGAGGTCGCCGGATCGATCTCACGGGGCGGAAATTGAAATAGCTTCCCCCCCCCCCCCCCCCGTTTCTTAAATCCCCCAAACCTCCATCCGTCCAGCAGTATAAATGGGTACGCCAACAGTCGATCGGCACCTCTTCCAAGACGTCTGACCAGCGTGGAAGGATAGGCCAAATACCATCTAAAGTGGCTATCTAGAACTCCCTCTAGTGGGTAGGCCCTTCGTCCGGCAGTGGCATGAGCAAGATTTTGCAGGGCCGCACATTTGTCTCTACCCTCGAAGCAACAGGGAGCATCGTCGCAGTTGGGGGTTGGTTCTTTTTCGAACCACGTTTATTTACCTTTGTTTTTTTCACGGACAATATAGGCATTGTCGCTGTGTATCTCGTTACACGTGCACATTATCCACCATCCTCACAACGCAAGAAGGCACAGAGTGGCGACGTTCCGTACATTTCCCTGTGTGCATAGCCTCCCCCAAACTCCAGTTACTTGTCTGTTTGTCCAGACTCAGGTGGCAGGCTATATTTAAGCCACCAAATTCGCCTCGAAGGTATGTAATAGCGCTGCCTTTTATACAGAGACCTGGGTTTTCTTGACATCACACCAACCAGCACCCAAGAGCGACAGGCACAGGCTGGGGTAAGTTATTTCTCCGTGAGGATCTGTGGGATTTTTTTGATGCGGAGAAATCGTAAAGTTTCCTGAATTGTTATAGATTATTTGGGGACGCTGGTGCGTGTTCAGCGGTGCACAAGCACAAATAATAACAATAAAACTTTAAGACATTCGTAATTTTGCGGAGATTAAACCGAAAATAACTCAATAGAATGTTGGAAAATCCACGATACAGTATCTCGGCTATGATGAAGGGCCATTGTCCAAAGTGTCACCCATTATATGTACGTATTTGTGTTTGAGGCCACTTAATGTTATTGTTGAGGAATGTGTTGAGTTTATTTTGCTAACAGTGGCAGGTTCATGGGAGAAAACAACGAGTCGAGCAATGCGGTGCACGAGATCATTGACTGGGTTTTTCACGGTTGGATTTTTTTTTTCTTCAACGTGACGTGAAATGTCGACGCGTTGCGTGGGGTTTTTTGCCGCGATGGGATTTTTCATCTCGCGGTCACTAGGATCCGTGTGTCGGGGAATCAGTGTCGCGGTGGTTTGTGCCACCTGCAAGAGAAAGTCCCATCACAGCAGAATAATAGCGCAGGCTCTCGTCCAGCAGTGGGCTGCACGTCTCCATACATACAGTGCCTGTCTGCTCGGCTCACCGCGATATGACGACATTACGATACAGCGTGCGATCTATGATCACCGTTACATTGCATTTATGGCTTTATTTTGGTGATTTATAAAAGTTGTTTTGGTTTGGCCGTGTTTTTGTTTGTTGTAGTACGGAGTTAGACTGATGGCCTTAATCTAAGTGTTCTTGTTTCTGTTTGACTTGCATCCCACTGGGATTTTTGCACACAGCGTTGGTGTACACGGTGCTATTCCAGGAATATTTTGATGTTTTTTTCCTGGATTTTCTGTTTGCACAGTCACATAGTCACTTTAAGATGTTTTCTTGTTCATGTTTTTGATTTTTTGTTTGTTGCGGTTGCACCCGATTCAAGAGCCGAATGGCTCACAGGGCTATACCAAATAAATGAAACTAAACTATGAACTATATAAGATCCACGATAGTCGTGTCGTCCGTGTTGCTGAGCGTTCGGCCAACGTCTCTAACCACATGCCAACGATGGCGTGTGTACTGGGACAGAGTTTAATTGGAAATGACGATTGCTCTTCGAATTAAATTCTTCGCTAACCCTGGCAACATATTTGTGAAATGACAGTCATTCAATGTGTCGTAACCCTCCACCACCCGACACGGCTAATCAGCAAAAAAGTGTCACGTTGACAAAAGACAAATAGCTCACTACTTTAGCCCACCGGTGTGTTGAAGAGTGAATCCACAACATTTACAGTTTGAGTACGACGTTTCGCTGGTAATTACATCCAGCATCATCGGGCAATTCGCCAGAATGGTAAAGCCCTCACTTACTCCCGGTCTTAAATAGAGCAGCAGGGTGACGTCATAATTTAACTCATTCAGGTTGCAGTGATTTGAGGCGGAGGGGGGTTATTGTAATTATATAATCGATTGGTAATCAGTCAATGGTTATGATTGGTAATGAGTTGTAGATTAGTAATTAGTTGTAATGTGTGTTATTGTGATTATATGCTACGTTAGTAATCCGTTAATTAGTATGTGTTTCCCCTATAAGGAATTGTAATATGTATTATTTAATAATACGCTTCCAAGCCGCACTAAGCCTGTAGCTGTCAGAGCGATTAAAGTTATTTCTATTTCTCTCAATTTCAATGGATTCTCTAATTAGTCTTTGCCAGTAATAATTAGTTTTACACAACACTTCAACGTTATCAAAATCAATTGAGTGTCCTTGTTGACAAGCATGTTCTGCCACTGCCAACAGTTGCGTTTGAGATAATTTAATATCTCTTTGGTGTTCTTTTAGTCTTATGCTGATGTTACGTCCCGTCTGTCCAATATAGCATCTGCCACATAAACAATGAATCCGATATACACCTTCTGTTAATTTAGGTAATTCGTCTTTAGTGCAAGATACTAGTTTTTGAATTTTGTGTACTGTACCAAATCTTACTGTAATGTTTTGCTTTTGCAAAACACGGGCTAATTTGTCAGTTACTCCTGAGATATATGGAATTTTTATTGTTTTAACAATCTGATCGCTTTCAGCAGTGTTGCTTTGCGATCGTGATTTGGCATTCAGTGCTCTGTTAATTTGAGTATTATTGTAGCCATTCTGTCGTAATGCTTCTTTAACGAGTTTGATCTCTCTCACTAGACTTTCACCATCTAACACTGTTTTAGCCCGATGTATGAGCGTCTTGATAAGAGAGGATTTATTTATGATGCGAATCTGCATTCAGATAGGCATCAGTGTGCGTTTGCTTTCTGTAAACGCTATGTGTTATTTTACCGTTTAGGCCATGTCCAAGCAAAATATCTAGGAATGGGAGTGTGTTATTCACCTCCATTTCCATGGTGAACTAGATGGCCAGGTTTTGTGCATTGAGATGATTAGAAAATCATGAAGTGTATCTTTACCATGTGGCCAGACAACCAAAGTGTCATCCACATATCTAAATAAAAAAGATGGTTTTAATGTGCTCGAGGCAAGTGCTCTTATTTCAAAGTTTTCCATGTACAGATTTGCTATAGCAGGAGATAAAGGAGAGCCCATTGCTGCTCCTTCCTTTTGTTTAAAGAAATCCCCTCTCCATAAGAAGTAAGTGTTATTTAAACAATGGTCAGCAAGTTTCGGAATATTTTTTGGTAAACCTGTATTCTTTACTAGTGTATCAAGTAATTTAAGCGATTCGTTCACTAGAACCTTAGTGAATAGATAAATCACATCAAAACTTACCAGAATATCATTAGGATTAAGTTTAATATCTTTAATCACATTCACAAGATGTTCTGAATTTCTTATGAATTATGATGTCCTACCGATGTAGGGCTATATTTGTTTAGTTATATATTTTGCTAATTTATATGTGGCAGAGCCAATTGTACTGACTATGGGTCGTAATGGGATGCCGATTTTATGAATCTTTGGTAGCCCATACAGTCTAGGTGGTTTTGAGGCCCTTCGCTTAATTTGGTATTGCTCATTCTTAGGGATTAATGAATTTGCAATTATTGCAGTAGTCTTACGTTCTAAAGTATTAGTTGGATCTCGTTTAATTTTAATGTAGGTACTTTCCTCTAGTAAATTTATAATTTTATTATCATAATCGGCTCGTGACATCACTACAGTAGTGTGGCCTTTATCTGCTGCCAGGATTTGGATATCTATATTTACACGGAGCTCTCTTAAGGCTTTTGCTTCGTTAGAGCTAATATTTACTTTTGGAACTTTGCTATTCTCAATTATTTTGGCATTCCTGCTGCTCTATTTAAGACCGGGAGGAAGTGAGGGCTTTACCATTCTGGCGAATTGCCCGATGATGCTGGATGTAATTACCAGCGAAAAGTCGTACTCAAACTGTAAATGTTGTGGATTCACTCTTCAACACACCGGTGGGCTAAAATACTGAACTAATTGTCTTTTGTCAACGTGGCACTTTTTTGCTGATGGCCGTGTCGGGTGGTGGAGGGTTACGACACATTTATAAATAACGCGATCTAACCCAACAACCTCTATTATGAATAATATTGGTCGCGAAAGCCTACGTGTTAAACTGACAGTCATTCAAGTTCACGAAGGTAATTTTAATTCTAAAAGAAATAGCTATCGCCCAATAATTACAGTCGCACTTTGTAAAATAAAATTATCCACGTTAATTGGTGGCACGTTTGATAACGATAATATTCATATATATCGTTCTTAATTTTATACGGTATGAAGAAGGGCCATTGCCTGAAACGTTGCTTGCTATATTATATTTTTTATATTCAGGCCCACAGTGGTTTTGATGAATGTGTAATTTATTTCGTGTGCGATTTACAGCACGTGCACTCTCAGCCTCAGAGCAGGGGTGACCAACCTGTAACAAAACAAGACCCCTTGAGTTCTGCAAACAGCCAACTGTATATATACTGTAAGTGTTTTATTACTATATGTGTGTATATATACAGGGTGCTTCCAAAAACATGTTAACACTTATATGGGACTATCGTTTTTAATAGAAAAAGAACGGATAGTACACTGTAACATGATAACAAATGTAATGTTAATAGCTTCAACAAGTCAAAGAGTCTCCCACGTGTTCGCCATCGTTGTCAACACGTGGGCCTGGAATCGTCTCCAGGTGGTCTCCAGAGCCCGAAGGCAGCAGCGCATGTCACGTGGTTATTGTTGCAAATTTTTCAGAAGTGTTCACATTTTTTTTTAAAGCAACCTGTATTGACAGTTTTCGGGCACAGCACGGGAGACATTCAGCACGGAACTTGGGAGACGCCAGTTGGCTACCCCGCTCTCTTGGAGAGCAACGGACATCCGCGGGAGGCTCGTGTTGAGTGACACGACAAATGCATCACGTGGACACGATATAAAAAGTAAAACGCGTGCAAATCAATTCCATAGTTACGGGAAACAGTTCATCATGATAATCGTCATATCGTGAAATGTAATACCGTCGTATCGCGACAATCATAATCTCCGCTGACGCACAGAAAATAGTAATTCACCAGACTGGTCTGTGTGTGCCACTCCTTCACCCACAACACCTCTATCAGCATATAACGAATGCAGTTGTCATTGTGTGTCTCTCCCTGCAGATTAGAAGGGAAGTATGTCGATGGCCGGAGCTACATCCCAGACCCTAGTGGCCTCTCCGTCCCTTCTCTTGCTGGTGCTGGTCTCCTGCCTCCCTAGAGGCATCGTGTGTGCAGACCTCACAGGTATGGGATATGTGCTTTCAATCCAGCTGGAACAGTCCAGAGTGTTGCTCCGGTATCATTTTGGCCACGCCCCCACCACACACATCCATCTTGCCTTATTTTGTCGTCGCGATTCTGCGGTGGTGTGTGCACAAAAACACATACATTATTGATACGGGCACGCGCACCTCGCTTGTACCCTAGTGGTAGTGCCGAACGCCGATAATCCCTGTACAGGCAAGTCTCCAGTTTACAGCACTTGCCCCAGCAGTTTGTCAAGGCTATACGGGGAACCTTTGTATTTTGGGGCCTTTAAATCATGGGAGTTTATGAAGGCACTTTTGGTTAGATCATCACTGATATTTGAATAGCTGTGGGCGTTTCAGCGAATTTTCTGGCCAGGTGATTTGTAGAACAGCAGTGGAGTGAATCCATCTGTGCCAGAGCTGTATCCCCTCGTTATTCTCTCGTATGCATGCTGAAGTTTGGTTTTCTCCGGGAATTCTGGTTTCCTCTCAAATGAAGCCAAACGCTCATGAATGGAACTGACCAAACATCCCAATGCAGGACCCTGCTGAAAAATAGTCCTGCGGCTTTACCTTGGTAAGGGTATTATTACTATAATAAGACAGTCGATCGGCAGATCGTCTCTCCTGATTTCTCAAAACCGTGACTTGACCCTGAATGACCCATGTGAATAACCAAACAACCTCCCTTTTCTCTTCCAGGAAACGATTGCGAGATCCTGTGTAAAAAGAGCAACCCGTATCCAGTCATATACAGGTGACCCCTGACCTACGGCGCCTCGGCTTGCGACCCCCCCCCCCCCCCCGCTTTTATGACCTTTTTTATAGTCAGTAAGACCTCGCCTAATGATTGCTACCGACACCGAGTCGATTGGCGGCGAGCCTACGAGACAAAGTGCTGCAATTTACTGCTTGTCCAGCCATCACAGCGTTCATCGCACGACAGTGAAATCAAATATATATATACACTCAGACTCTTTGGTTCTTTCGGTAAAGTCACGTAGAAAGAAATAAAATTTAATTCAATAATAATAATAGAATATGACGTTTCGATTGCAACACAAGCAACCATCATCAGGTACAAATGAACGAGAAAACAAACCTAGTAAACTTGGAAATATAATGTAATACAACACAGATAGTGTCGGCCAACACCACAGTCAACACCCCACCTAGTTGATTACGTTCTTCCATACATTGCTAAATTTGAGAGAGAGAGAGAGACAAAACATAGACACGGAGACACACAGACAGACACGCAAGCAGAGTGAGACTCACACAGAGACAAACAGAGAGAGACACACACATAGGCACACAGAAAGACAACGTCTCTGTGTCGAGGCCTCAAATAGAGAGGGGGGGGCAGAGGGGGGAGTTGTGTGGAATTCCTGCCCATAGCGGCCGGAGGAGAGAATGAAACCATAAACAAGCACGGAACAAGCACGGTAGAAATCAAATTTAGTCAAATTAGGGAGTGTAATGCAATGCAAAACACAGAGCGTCGGTTAGCACACAATAAACGCATAGCCTGGTTGATTACGTTCTTACAAAGATTGCTAAATTAGAAGTTAAGTGTTTCTGTTTGCCAAATTTTTGTTTGCCAAATTAAATGAAAATCCCAATGATTACATGATGAGTTTATTTGCTGTCATTGGTGAATGTAGTGTTTCTTGGGAAACGGTGTGTTTTACCACTGGCATTTTTATGCTTAATCTTGAACTTATTTGATTCCTTAATGGTCTAAAACTTTTGAAATAAATCATTTACGTTGGAAATTATGATTTCTTACGTTTTTGTTTGTATTGTTAATTTATTTTTCTCTGATGTGTTACGTCTGTCATGGAAACGGTGTGTGCTTTTCATTGATGAAACCCGACTTCAGAGCTTCTTAGCTCACACAGTACTTCAAAATAAACTGAAACTGAACTGGGACCATTAACTCATTGCACTTCGAAAGGCGGTTTTCAGTACTTACTGGCCAAACATATTGAACGAGATCAGAAGTAGCCACAGTGGATATTTAATTGAACTGAAAAAACGTCTGGGCTGCAGGTTCAGTGTGCTAACCATTACATCGCGCATGTGACAAATCTTACCACCCCCCCCGCCCCGTCCCAACCACATGGACGTGGAAAAGCGGAGACGCTCCACCAGACTCTGCACTCTGCAGGGTTCCCTCATTATTCGCGAGGGATACCTTCTGGAGGTGTTCGTGAATTGTACATTTCGTGGGTAATGATATTGGCCTACGAAAAAAGCATGTTTGTATGAATTGCCTGAACTAAATACATAAATAAGCTATTTCTTATATGAATATTACGCATCTCTCTCATTTCTTTATCTCATCACATTATCTGATCACTTTTTCTCTCATCACATTCTCTCTCATCACTTTATCTCTCATCACATTCTCTCTCATCACATTCTCTCTCATCACTTTCTCTCATCACTTGATCTCTCATGAAATTCTCTCTCATCACATTCTCTCTCATCACTTTATTTCTATCTCTCTCTCGATGCAGTCGTGTAGAGTTCCAGATGCGATTTTGCGGCTAGCCAAACTTGCGGGTAGCAATTTCGCGAATGACGATGGAATACTCTACCTAATTGACACGCGGAAATTGCTTCCAGTGACTCGTGTGGCTTGTTTGGGTTTGCAGCGACAATACGTTGGCCTGCGAGTGGTTCTGTGGAACACTAACCAAACCCATCACCAACCAGCAACGCAATATCACCGTGATGAAAGGTGAGTCGCGTCTTTGTCAGGTAGGAGACGTTTGTGCATGTTGTATACGACGCACACAGTAGTACCTTTTTTCACGATGACGATATATCCTTTTGTGTATTTTTGCAAGAATTTTCCCATTCGGAATGGATGTACAGTATATTGAACTTCTTTTGCACTGTACGCAGCCGACCCGTGCTAATCGGAGGCACGGGGGAAGGACAGCAAACTATACATAAAGCTCCTCGTTGACTCTCAGGGGGAGATAATGATTTAGAGTCGGTGCGGGGAAAACCACAGAGAAAGTGGGGGGAAGGCAGCCGGAACTGAGGTCAAACAATTTCTCAAGCTCCTGTGGCCCTATGTTGGGATGTTGGGCCAACTCCATTCTTGAGTGTTTGTATATGTGGAGGAAACCAGAGTGCCCGGAGAAAACCCACAACATGTGAGGCGGGGTGGTGGGAGTAACACTCAAATCCATGTACAGATAGAACAAATGGAAATCAATCAACTGGCTGTACTGTTATACCCATACCCTGGAAAACCAGGAGATGCTGTGACCTTGATGTTCACGGGTAAGGAGGGAATTTCACGACTTCGTGTGATTCACCAACCCCCACTGCCTCCGAAGTGCTGGATTACAGGCATACTCCACCCCCAGAATTCTCCGATACAGAAGAAGACAGTGGGCGCATTTTCTTTTAATTTAAACTTTCCAACTACAGTTGAAAGCCGGCTGGCATTTTAAGCAACGGGCACATTTCTAAAAATCCCTCCACATCTGTCCACCCAGCATTTGAAACTGGTACGCCAGAGTAACTTGGTGGGATGAAGTGTGGGCACTCCCACCTCTTCCAGGACACCTGGCCAACGTGGAAGAGGAAGAGTAGGCAAAAAATACCCTCAAGAGGGGCTATCTCAAATTCCCTCGAGTGGAGGCCCTTTCCTGCCAGCAGTGGCGTGAGCAAGCGATCGCGGGGCTGCGCCCTTTATCTTCAAGAATCCTGTGTACGTCAACCTGGGAATGGAAAAAAAAACCCCATCGATGTACAAGGGAGTGTGTGACAGCAAAATCACACACGTGTATTCTCACCGAAATGGGAAGGCAACATTTAAGATAAACCAGAAACCAGGACGGTAATCTGCAACACGAGGTGGGAGGTGGGGGGGGGGGTGACTGTGCTATGAACCTGCAGACCAGAGTTCGATTTTTGGTCACGGTTACCATAATTGACGAGTGACATCTGATCCGGTACACCCACTATTTCAACAAGCCCACTAAGACCAGTGTGGTCAAGTATGGTCAAGGGTAATCCGCGTGGCTGCCCCAGCGTGGAAAGGCTTTTATCCAGGAGCAGATTGACAAAAAGGCTGCACTCTTTATAAGGTGCTCCAGAAGGTAAGACTCACCACAAAATTGTGTCCGGTGTCAATAAAATATACACACACGCCCGCCAGATTATAAGACGCACCCCCGACGTTTGGTTTAAAATAGAGGGGGAAAGTGCCTCTTTCAATCCATAGAATACTGTGTTATCGCTGTTAATTTGACTCTTACGTATAATATGGCAGTGGAACTAAAGGCACGTGATCAGGAGGAATTGAAAAATGCGCAATAGGTATCAGAGTGGCTGCCCTGCAAGATGTAAACTGCCTGGCTGAAATATCAATGGACGGTATACACCATTGCCATTGTGTGAATCGTGTTCGAACCAGGCTGTGCGACCTGCTGCCTGTCGTCTATTTACAGGGTGCGTGTACACACAACTCAGGGCTCTGATTCCAGATACAATCGCCTCCTGCTCTCCGTCGACTGATCCTGTGATGTAAGCATCTGTCACCTAATGCTTCACGTGCGTGCGTGTCACAGCGGCATTTGACACGATGCTTAAACGTCACGGCGCTTGTACTGGATCTCTGTTTGCATTATTTGTTTGGTTATTCAATATCTTAGGCTGCTGTGATGTTGGCTGCCATGATCGCACAAGAGCAGTGCTTCTCAAAATCATTGATATGGCGCACCGGTCTCCATCCCAATCAAGACCACTGGTCCCTCCCCCCCCCCCCAACTGGTCAACCTAAACCCCCCCCCCTACACTGGTACCCCCCCCAACTGGTCCTCCCCCACCACTGATTCCCCCACCCCCCCCCCCCCCCCAAGATCACTGTGAAGATGAGCCACGGCCTGAATCGTCACCTATTATATAATTTGCTTTTTAAGGCCACGGTGTTTTTTTTCTCAAGAACTTGTTGCGTATTGTCTTGGTTATTTGCGCTTGTGCACCACTGCTGCCAACGAAGTACCACCAGGTGATGTTGTTGAATGTTATTGTAGCGCAGTAAAATTACGAAAGTACAGTGTGGGGACCCAATCACTTGGGGTGCCGGGGTGGCTAGGAGATGTTAACTACCTCGCCTGGTGTGCAGGAGGTCGTGGGTTCGATCCCGACCCTGACAACGCCTGCTACCTGTATATTTGGAGTCTGCGTGTCTCTCTCTCTCATCATCACGGTGGCTAGGAGCTGTTAACTACCTCGCCTGGTGTGCAGGAGGTCGTGGGTTCGATCCCGACCCTGACAACGCCTGCTACCTGTATATTTGGAGTCTGCGTGTCTCTCTCTCTCATCATCATCACGGTGGCTAGGAGCTGTTAACTACCTCGCCTGGTATGCAGTATGTCGTGGGTTCGATCCCGACCCTATCGCCTGCTGCTGTATATTTGGAGTCTGCGTGTCTCTCTCTCTCATCATCATCACGGTGGCTAGGAGATGTTAACTACCTCGCCTGGTATGCAGGAGGTCGTGGGTTCGAGCCTGACCCTGACGCCTGCCGCTGCTGTATATTTGGAGATTGGATGTCTCTCTCCCCGTGGTCGCGTGGACTTTTCTCCGGGTCCTCCGGTTTCTCCCTCCACGTTTAGAAACGTGCGTTTAGAGTATTTTTCTGCAATGATATTACACATGATGAGCCACTTCGTTGAGCTATCATTTGTGGCTATGTCGCTTCTGAAAAATAGCTATAGAGTTCAGAGGGCCTTACCCGCTCAAATAAAAATAGTAAAACTATTAATAGTATATTGTAGGGCACCCTCCAAGCTACTTTGCCCCAACTTCCAAACTCTGGCTGTACCCCTGCGGTGCACGGGATTCATTTTCAAGTAACTTGAAAGCATTTCCTTTCCAACTGTAAAAAAGGAACTGAACAGATATGTCAGTATCAGTGCCTTAAATGAAACCAAATATTGACAGACGGCAGTGTTATTGACGCACGTGTTGTGTTGTGTTGTTATTATTGTGCTTGTGCACCACTGCAAACGCAGCAGCAGCGTCACCAAATCATTTATTTCACAAATGTTGTTGTTGTTGTTGTACTTTCAGTTTTCCCGATCCCTTCAGCTGCATGGAGAACACCACCCAATACATCAAGTCTTCGCAGGGGGACATGACAGTTCCCATAGGTCAGATAGTAGGGCCTTGTTCTGGATGTGACATTTAATGGTGTCGTCTACAAAAAGACTGTTTAGGAACACAATAAACAAGCAGACGGTTCACCGCCTTCCCGTATCTGTCTTGGCACATAAAGAAATATGTTTTATTTTTTTTGTTTGCACGTCCCATCGGCCACGTGGCCTTCTGTGAGTGTTTTTTTTTTTTCTCAGCAACATCGATTTAACACGAGCAAACTCTGGAAAGGTTTCGACATTCGGTGTCTCAGCAGTCAGGCATGCTCAATCTAATGTCAGATGTTCATAGGCAAGGCTCCACTCTGTTAGATGCTGTTGAGAATGAAAAGGGGCGATTTGGCTGAAACCGTGAAGAAGCTTAAATGCCTTGCATCCCAGAGCGCCTTTACGTCCGATCTCTGCTCAACCGTTTGAATGCCCCGCACTGCACTATAGCCTAAGGGATCCACGAGTGGCAGCTGTCCCTGTGTGGCACAAGGCGTTATTCTTTTGCCAGTAGGCAGGGGGACAATGTTGCTCTGATGGTTTTTCCCAATTAAGCAATTTTCGAGGAGTAATTCATACAATTTGGCAACATTTGGCAACATTTATGGCATTGACGGTATTTTGCATTGAATGTATCTCTGAGGAATGGACTTCCCATTTGTCCGCAGATTGTGTGCGGGGTTGCATTCAGTCGAACATCACGGCATTGTTAGTGGTGGGGGGCACATTGAAAGACATCCCAAGGTAAGCGCTTTAAATTGCAGCGATCATTCCAGGCAAAGAGTAAAAGTCAATGGGCATAAAAAAAATTGTGCGCGCATATCGGAAAACACATTTTTTTTAACCGTGGGTGGATACATTTTTTAAAATTGTGCGTCTTACAACGGCGAATCATAACCAGAAAGAAATCCCAGCATGCTGTGCGTGTCACCGCACTTGTATTGACTTCAGTCCACGGTGGTGCTAGCCCATGGGGGGGGGGGGGGGGGGGTGCAGGAAGAAAACTTATTTGAATTTATGAACTATTCAGTGAGATGACAGAAGAGATGTAATAAGCAAGAGATAGAGATGTTGTCAATTGAGAGGAGAGGGCTTCAGACGATATGGAGATGAGATACATTAATTTGTCGTTTAATGTATAATGCCTTTTATGTTCATCAGGGTCTGATATTGTGGTTAATGCAGACATGAATCCTTGTAAAAAGGTGTCAGTTTTGTTGCCAGAAAAAAGGGGAAAAACCCTATTATTACTATTTGGTACTGACAAAGGAGGTCTAATGATGTAGATGCTCACCCCGAGCCCTCATTACTTTGATAGTGCATTGTCTTTGAGCTGTACGCCTTCTGGCGTCATCTGGTCGAGCACCAATTGGGTCGAGGCTCAAAAGAAAGCCGTCCCTTGGTGTGGACCAATCAGTTTCAAGGACAATGCATATATTATCATAGTATGTTTTTTGTTTGCATTTTGACTGCAGGTATTGTGGTTAATGCAGTAACATGAATCCTTGTAAAAAGGTTTCAGTTTTGTTGCCACAAAAAAGGGGAAAAACCCTATTATTACTTTTTTTTACTGGCAAAGGAGGTCTAATGATGTAAAAAACATACTATGATAATATATGATGCATTGTCCTTGAAACTGATTGGTCCACACCAAGGGATGGCTTTCTTTTGAGCCTCGACCCTATTGGTGTTCGACCAGATGACGCCAAAAGGCGTCACACAGCTCAAAGACAATGCACTATCAAACTAATGAGGGCTCGGGGTGAGCATCATTAGACCTCCTTTGCCAGTACCAAAATGTAATAATATAATTACATCATTAGACCTCCTTTGGCAGTACCAAAATGTAATAATAATAATATTATTACATTATAATATTATGTAGTTAGTTAAATATATATTAAAATCAGCTCAAGTCTTCTAAAAATCACTCAAATGATGTGTGGTCACTTTCACTCCGTGTCTCACCCTCTCATTTATGGACGGCAAGTCCTTGCTTAAGGCTTGCTGTTCCCGCGGTTTGTCGATCTGGGAGTAATTTTCGCACAACTCGGAAAATGGCCGTCCATAAATGACGTCACGCACCTGTGGGGGGGGGGGGGGTCAGACATTTGTGACGATGTGTGACGATGGGCGGAGGGGTTTGAGAAACGTGACGTCACATCAAAATGCGCAACTTTAAATAAATATAGACAACACGTTCTACTTAATTAAATAGACTTTTTAATAAATGTTTTCTCCTACATCAGAGTGCAGCGCCACATTAAATACGCACTACGATGACAATAGTTTAAAGCGATTTGAAGCATGTTTTATATATTTTCTTTGGGGGGGGGCAGAGCTTTGTGACGTCATATTGAGGGGGGGTCTAACTTTTCGTGACGCCGTGTGACGAAGGGGGGGGGGTCAAAATTCGTCCAAAATCGCGTGACGTCATTTATGGACGGCCCCTAAAAATAAAAAGTACCAATTTTACTTTGTACATTGCATGATGACGGAGATAATAGTGTCCTGCAATCGTGTATATACTTAACCCCAATGCTCCTCCAGTCTCCCGATTGCTCAACAGTGTTCGTGGACGTGCCTTCTCAAAATGCTTCAGAACGGCAACATCACTGAAGCTCGCAACGTGGTTTTCACACCAGGTACCTTGCCAAGTAGCCACAGTTTATATATATAGTAAAAACTCTTATCTCCATCGTGTTAATGCGCGCAATGTGACCTTTGCGTGCGTGCACATGTGCAAAAACCTGCAAATCGTGACTGTGAGAAAGTTGATTAAAAACCGTCACTGTACTCGTCTTGCGTATGGCAATACGTTCAGGAACTAAATGCTCAATGCCGAGATCTTCCGGCCACAACGAGAGAGGGGCTTCATCAGAGAGAGTTCCGGTAGTTTTGCTATTCTTCCTGCAGACTACAGTGGTTTACTACCGTACGGACGGACGATAGTTTGGGTTGCATAGCCATAGTCGCTGAGCGGGTTGTCTTTAATTGCCCTTTTTCCCAACAATTGCCTTGTTGATGTTACGTGGTTGACGGGGTGGACGCTGGCAGTGGTGTTACGGTCGGCGCACTCGAACTTGCAATCTCGAAGTCGCCAGTTTTGATTCCATCTCTCGGAGCGTGGAGAGTTGAAACGATGGTGAAATACAGCGGCGGTCCCTCGGTTTAAGTTGCCATCGATTAACGATATTTCGATAAACGATCCGCCTCCCACGAGGTCCCATTGTTTCTATTAAGGATACATTTTCGATTAACACTAAGTTTGCGAAATCACGCGGACCCGCCAATTTCGGCCAATCGGAGCGCTCCTGGTGGACTCACAGGGCCTCAGCCAATCAGCGATCCACCCTTTTTTGAACGATTTGAGAGCAACTGGGCTGGTAGCTTTTCGATGTTTGATGCGCGTTGCTTATGGAAACAGCTCTCTGCAATACTTAGTGTTTTTTTTACTTAAAAATTTAATAAGACCAGTAACAATGGCCCCTAAAATTAATGCGAAGAAAGACAAGAGAGTGAGGAATACAATTTTCTCCCACCCGAACTTCTCAATCAACCGCTTAAGCGGTCCATCTTCTTAGCCTCAGGTAAAAATAAATAAATGTTATGCTCTGTTTATGCACTTTTATATTCATACTCTTTGGTTCTATTCGGTAAAGTCACGTAGGTAAAAAATAAAACTAAAAATATTTTTGTTACCTACGTGACTTTACCGAATAGAACCAAAGAGTATGGATCCTTGCAGTCACGAAAGCTTCAAATCCACCTTTATATTCTCAATGTATTCATTATGAATGTATTCATATGAATGTTTTAATGTGTTCTTGTAACGCGTATTTATAAAAATCGCGTGTTTAAATATTATGAACAATGTTTTTATGGTGCAATGGGCCAACTTCTGATCGTCTTGGTACAAATTGAGCCATTTAACGTGTGTTTCCAATGTTCGATTAACGAGCATTTCAATTAACGATGAATACCGTTAACCGAGGGACGACTGTACAGACAGTCCCCAGGTTACGGAAGGGTTGGGTTCTGTCCAACTCAACGGTATAAATCTCGGCACAACCGCAGTTGAATCGGCAGGTCCGTACGTGGTGGGATTAAAGTTCAGTAGCCCCCAGCCCCCCCCCCCACCCACTCCCCCACCCCCACCACTTTCCAAGACGTCTTTAACATCGTGGAAGAGTAGGCCAAATACTGTGGCGCGAGCGGACGGATTTCAGGCCTGCAAGTTGATATTTAAGACATTTACATGGGGACGATGTGCAAATATACAATTGTGTAGGAAGTGTGTTTCTGTAACAGGCAGTGCGCAGCTTACTGCTTGCTGATTGTGAACGTTATCGCTTGTATCTCTGTGTTCTCTTCTGCAGAGTTCTCCGACTCAAGCACGGTAAATAAATTCATCTGTAACTACTCAAATGCACTTCCCTTGGATTCCGCCACAGCAAACAAGTGAGGACCGTCATTGCTAAGACAACCGCCCTCTATTCACACACAGGCTGTTTTCATTCCTAAATATTGTACCGCACTGATTTCTAAAAACCCTCTTTTTTTTAAGCAATGTTTTTGTTACGTCTCATTGATCCTGTTATCCGCGGGGTTATCCGTAAATATACTCCCGATTATATGAGGGGTGGCGGAGGGGGGGCAAAGGGCGGGGGGGGGGGTGTTCATCGAGGATTACCAGAATCATAATATGTATTCATACCGGAGTAATCCCATGAGCTATAAAGCTCTTGTTCACAGCAGTGCAGTAGGGTCTGGGTCAGAACGTTAACAACAGCAAAATATGTTGTGGATAATTTGGGAATTCTTTTGCCGCTCGGCTCTGCTCGCGCGTTGAACAATGTGCGCATCATTGGGAAGCAGTGAACTTACGGGGAAGGGGATTCAGAAAACAATCGCTGATGATCGGGATGAATGGGGGCCGTTGATAATAGGGAGTTTTTTTTTCTCTCGTGAAGCCAACGGCTCAAGCACAATGAAAAAGGAGTCACGCGGTTATTAATGGAGTAACGACCGCATAAAGAGGATAAAGCCCACGTGTTAAAAAGAGGAGTTGTGTTTGTTCTTTGTCAAAGCGACGAAACTTCGGGTCACCCATTATGGATTACATTGGAGAGTGTTGAAGATAGTTTAAAGAGGCATATTACAGATTTGGTGTTCTCTAAATGTGGCCAGGTCTATTCTGAAAAATACGTTAATGCCTAGGTGGGCTTTGCATGGGTAGGATGGGGATGGTTTAGTTTAATTTGTATGTTTTTTGGGTGATTTGTTTACCTTTTCTGTACTTTGCATGGCTATCGTGTTATTACTCTTTGGTTCTATTGGGCAAAATCACGTAGGTGAAAATAAAATAACAAAAAATCATCGTGTTATTGTTCTGTTTGTTGTAACGTTCTTAACCTGCTCCTACTGGATATCTGTGAAAAAGAGCTTTTTATAGCTCGTCGGATTCCTCTTGCAGTATAAATATTCTGATGCTAAATGTTTTGCAAAACGAAGTGTTGTTTTCTCTGCAGTGATGTCTCCCTATATGGCCGAGTGTTTGTGCATGACCATGGGAATTAACGGACTACACAGTACTTCCACACCCATTGCCGTTTGATTGGTACAGATGTCAGCGTGAAGCAATGAGTTGATGTGCTTCCATATAAACTGTAGGACTCTTGGTAGTGAGATGAATTTAAAATGCAGGGCAAACGTTGACTCGCTGGCGGGGGAATGAGGGGGGGCTGAGGTTAAGGTATATATGTATATATTTAAAGATCGAATATTGTGAAAAGTCTCAGATTTGTGAACATCCATAGGAAGTGACACCAATGTTACGCTTATATTGCGCTGGATGTGGGCGGCCAATTGGGCATGGCGGATACGTGACGTTGTACCGCGCTCAAAACGAAGTTGATTTGTGCCTCAAAGTGTGCTGAGAGATCATTCGTCCAGGAGTGAGTCAGACTCGTCAGAATGTTAATTTATCCTGGAGAAATCCGATGAGCTATGAAGCTCTTTTTTTCACGGATGTCCAGTAGTGACACGGACTGAGAATGCGTCGCGATGCTGTCGACGCCGATAATGTGGGACCGCTGATCAGTATCGGTAGCCGGCCAGCTGGCTCAGCGGTACAGCGAGAGGGGAAATCGCAATCGGAAGGTTGCGAGGTCAAATCCTGCTTGGGGATTGATTCGGCTCGACCCCCCCCACCACCCCCGCCATAGGAATGTGGAATTTACACCACTGGTACACAGACGACGAGCATTGCCTCAACGCTCATTTGAGCCGGAAGTAACGTTTGACCCGACGATTGGTTAAAACAAAAAACACCGCTCGTTTTTTAAGCACCAGTGTCGAATTTATTTTTGCGTGGGTCACCGCTGGTGTGTTGTCTCCTATCAAGGGCCCGCTTTTCTGCAAACCTGACGTGGCTGTGTCTGATGAAGAATCGCCCCACTGATGGCAGCGACTTAGTCATTGAGCAAGGTGTGCCTGCCTTTGCCCTTGTAGGCAGTGTTCTTTCTTTATCTGTCATTATATTTCTTTTCTATTTTCCCTCCTCCAAATGTTATTGTCAATTGTAAAAAAAAAAAGATTCGCCTGCTTAAGCCATTATGACTGGATCTTCCAATATTCATCCGTTAATTTTAGGGGAGTCTTGTCTCTCAAACTTTCCCTAACCAACCACTGTATCGAAGTTGCTCGGGGCATCGTCGGGAGGAGGGGGGGTTGGGGAAATAAAAGAGGACGGGGGGGGGGTGTGGGGGTTATGTGCTGAAATATATCCAACTATTTTACATCTCATTCTCAAGCTCCTCTCCAGATTCAGCAGGGGGGGTCACTGCTATACGATGTATGGAGACATTGTCCACGAGCCTTGCCGCGATAATAATTTATCATAATACGATATCAAATATCAGTGTCACCCCAATATCAGTTTCCCATAACTCTGTAAATAGTTTTTCACTCCGAAAGATGTCGTCTCATTGCAGTGTCTGTGATGTATTTCAAGTTCGAATTAATGCTTCTGAAAACTTTGTTAAAGCACAGACACAAACCCGTCAACTCCTTATCAGTGCCTCCTACCTTATTACAGACCAATTCAGACCTTATTGGTCACCCCCGTGTCTTTATAAATCTCAACGTTCATCTTAGAAAGTCCCATCACAAGGGAGAAACGCAAACAAATCGACCAAACAAAAAAAATACCCAAATTGAAACGGCTGTACGCCATATGGACCTGAAAACTAAAATTCCCTGTACAAGAATACGGGTAAACCGTATCGGTTGACAGGTATGCACAGATTGCTCACGCCTCTGACTTGCGGTAGCAACTTACCACGCAAATCCCACGCACGCATTGTAAATCGGATTTTGATATTATGCACGTAAGCCTGTGATAAATGTTCCAACGATTGCAACTATTACCATGTACCAAACGCGTATTGCGCGCATGCTGTGAAATAATTGATGCTAATTTAATGGGTAATCGCTATTTTAGCATTAATTTGATTTTGCCACGAAATTTTATATCTCCAAAACATAAAATGAGCAGCGATATAATCACAATATCATGACATTGTGCAAAACGGACAATATGATTATCGTGGAACTTATATATCGCAACAAGTTTCCCAGCTATATTTCTGTAATTATATACATACATACACATTCTCCTCATACATAAAGTAATTACCGTCCTGCAGGCGATCCTTCATGACGCGTAATCTTGCCAAGCCGCTCTTGAACTTTGACCTCTAACCCCTGAGCTTTGACCCCCTCAGACCTTTGGTTGCTTGTGGACACTACGACCCCGTCTCTCAGGAATGTCGTCGTCAACGGGGCCTTGGAGGTCCTTCCGGGCAGCACGCTGAGAGCAGCGCACATCACTGTGCAGGCACGGCATAACGCAGCAGCGCACCATGCAGCACACCGCTCACCAAAAAGACAAGATCCCCCGTGTATCCTGAGCAGACTGTTGGGGCAACTGCTTGAAGCGAGCAGCACTTAGGAAGGCCGGCACTGTGGCACTTGAGGGTGGGCAGGGGGAGGTGACCAGCACCACGCCCCACCTTTGTCTCCCCAGTGCTGATGTGTTTTTAAACACCGCACCAGGTACTAGGGGAGGCCCACGGTTCAGATATTCGCTACTGTTATTGGTCGTGAGCGGGAATCGAACTTGGGTCGCCGGGTTTGTAGTGCAGCAGGCTGACCATTACGCTTCCGCTCCCCACACCCTGTGCCACATCCCTCACCACACCACCCGCCACTCACCATGTGCCACGCAAACCACTACTCACCACGTATCACACCACTCAGTGCACCAGGCAGCACATCACTCTCCACATCATTTTCCACACACCACACTGCTCACCACGCATCACGTCACTCACCACATCATCTTCATCAGCATGGCACAAGATCAACCTCGTCACTCGAATGTCTATCGTCTCCATAACGCTGTCTATGTCCCTAGGAGCTCGCAAACTAAATGAACGGGCACGAGGATACACAAAGCCTCTACAAATTATTCCACAATCATGAAATGCTTTATCGGACCGCCGCGGTGGTGAGATGGTGGCCACCTCACCTGGTACACAGGAGTCGTGGGTTCAATCCTGACCATGACGCCTGCTGTTTATTTGGAGTTTGTGTGTCTCTCTCCCCGTGGCCGTGTGGATTTTTATCCGGATCCTCCAGTTTTCCCCCCCACATTTTAAAGCGTGCTTTCAGAGTGTTTGGCTGCAACACATTTCAACGTACAAAGCCACTTCGGTGAGCTATCGTTTATGGCCAGGCAGCTTCTGAAACAAAGAGCTACATAGCTCAGTGGGCCTCACCTGATAGAATAAAATAAATTCTTGAGTTTAGTTTGATTTAAGTAACTGGTGAGCCGCTCGTCCTAAGCACGAGGTGATGCAGCACTCACGTGACTACAATGCAACCGCCACGCCACACTGCCACATTGCTGCCTGCACACGAACAACGGCACGGAGGTTAAATTTCGATTTAAAGCTTTCGTGACTGCAATGATTCATCTTATTTGGTTCTTTCGGTAAAGTCACGTAGAATGAGAATAAAATAATAAATTGATAAAATAAAATAACACAATAATATTCTCACGACGTTTCGGCCACAACACAAGCGGCCTTCATCAGGTGAAGGGACGAGACTGTCTGGTAGGACAGCGCTGGAGTGAAAGAGCCACGTTCAGATCACGGCCTTTAAGCTTGTGACTGGTCACAAGCTAATCATTCAGCCATTCCAATGCTAAATTATATGCTAATTCCTTTGTCAAGGCGCTTTGTTCCTCTCACACAGCTTAAAGGCCGTGATCTGAACGTGGCTCTTTCACTCCAGCGCTGTCCTACCAGACAGTCTCGTCCCTTCACCTGATGAAGGCCGCTTGTGTTGTGGCCGAAACGTCGTGAGAATATTATTGTGTTATTTTATTTTATCAATTTATTATTTTATTCTCATTCTACGTGACTTTACCGAAAGAACCAAAGAAGAACGGCACGGAGGTTTGAATGTTACTTCTCGCCCCTCGTAAGTAGCGGGGTCTTCTCAAGTGGTACTCCGGTTTCCTCCCCCATGTATAGAAAATTAACCTCGTTAATGGAGTTGGCCAAACATCCTAAGATAGGGCCACAGAACTCAGGTAATTGTAGATGCCGATTTCGGCTGTCTCGTGTGTGGTTTTCCACGCCTCTGAATCATTCCCCCTCTCTCTCGCTCTCGTGGGTGTAAACGGAAAATGCGCGCATTACAAAGTTGTGCGTACATGTATATATCCTGTACGCATGTGTACACGTGTTTGTGTGCAGGGTAGGATGCTGATATCGCGTAGGACGGAGTTTCAACAAGGAATAACACGTATCATCCTGACCGGCAGCTCTGACCCTTTTGGTCGTGGCCTAGGTGGGTGATCAGCCCGCACCTTTGTAAGACAAATATAATGATTAATAATTTCTAGCCCTCCATTGTCTTTTCGCGTTGCACGTAATAAGCACTCAGCCCACGTGCCGAGAGCCTATTAACACAGAGCCATTTTCTGTCACTGCATCACTTCCTGTTGAGCTCACAACTTCCTCGTTGGCCAGGATTGTGTCTAAAATGAGACGAGAGAAACGGGAAGTCGATGTGGAAAATTCCGGCAGAACATGTAATCCCGACACACGTCTGTTATTGAGTGCATTCTTTGAGTCTTTTCTCGGATTCTCTCGCGAATTTGCTAACAGCGTTGCATAATGAGACGAAGGATCCATTCAGGGTCTCGCGCACACCCGTGCAGCCCCTTCATGTTTGAGAAGTGGACATCACAGAGCTACCTCTGAATTTGCCTTCAAGTGACGTCTGGTGCACACAATAGAGGGCATCACTTCCATACCCACTGTATTAGATAAGAGTAACATTCAGAGGACGAATTTACCAAATTAATCGAAACAACCAAGTGTGACGCAGTGATTTGTGCTCTTTAATTTGGGCAGTGATTGGTGTCCAGGCAATGGAGCTGCCTTTGGTAGTTCGATGTCACTTCTGATGCCAGAAACAAGCTCCAGACAGCCCCTGAGTGGGGTGGTGGCCAGGGGTGGTGGGGTAAACTCTTATGGTGGGTGTCCTGAATCTTATGGCGTTACTTTGTGTTTATACATATTTATTTACTTCTAAATACAGCTATATTCGGAAGCTTGGCACTGGAAGGAAGCGGCAGATCCTACAAGGGGAAACTGGCAGCCACGGCCCCCGCCGGAACCACAACGATCACACTCCTTGACAACAACAATTTGCAGGTCAGTGCAAGTCCTTCGGCTCCATCGCGTGTTCGACCTTCGAAGGAAACCTCAACGCACGGACTGCGTTGGTCGATGCGGGGAAGGGTGTGTGCGGGAGGGGGGTGGGTGTTCGGCGGGGAAAGGATGGGCCTCCTGTCTCGGAGATGGGGGTGGATTGGCAAGAAGACACTGGCGTTTCGTTGTTGTTGTTGCTGCTTGCCTTGCCTGCCGTGCGCCATGGGCATACGTGGGCGTGAAGTGAAAGCTTGCCTCCTTTCCTTCAAATGGTGACCTCCCAGAGTGCCCCCATCCTGAAGGGGGATGCGGGAGCGGGTTCGGGCGCTCTGGGAGGTTGGAAATGAAGCAGGCGGTGGTGGTAGTTGCGGGCGGCTCACATTTATCGGTGGCTCACATTCAGCGGTGGAGGTGGAGGGGGTAGCTTTAGGGCTCATCGGATTCCTCCAGTATAAATATTCAGATTCTGTGCGATTGACACCGAATGTAGAAAATTTGCGCGTGACGTCAACACGGGGGTTTGGAGCTTAGTAGCACCGTACTTGCACCTTTAGACAACTGCGAGTTGATATTCAGTAGTTCTAGCAGCGAGAGAAAGAGATGGTTATGGTGACCGAAAAGTAGTGTTTGTTGTTGTTCTCGTTGCTCCCGAAGTTGTTTAATACTTACATTGTTTAACCATTACTAATTTATCATCGTTACGAGACCATCCTGAGTTTGATTACCTTATTGATCCTTAATGAGTCAGGTGCCCATAGAGGAGAGAGAGAGAGAAAAATAATAAACATTACAGCTGCCACCGAGCGCCAGCAACACGTCTCCCCGCGGGGCTGTGTTGTGTTATTTTTTGTTTCTGCGTGCGCGCGGTTTCCACATCCCAGGAGAAGGACGAGATTCTCATCACCGCGAGCGGGTTCAGCTTCCAGGAGAATGAGGTGCGTACGGTTGCCTTGGTTGAAAAGAGCAAGATCACCCTGACGGCTGCGCTCGAATTCTCCCACTGGGGTGAGTGCGGTCACTTGCCACCGTCATCAACACCACCGCCACAAACAACAACCACCACCACCACCACGAACAGCGTCACTACAACCTCTCGTCGTTATCATCATCTCCACCATCGTCATCGTAAGCAGCATTTCCTCCTTCATTGCCACCACCACCATCATCTCAACTATCACGATCAACATTAGCATTACCATCGTCACCACCACGACCATCATCATCGTCGTCGTCGTCATCACCACCACCAACAACACCACCATCATTGTTGCCACCATCATCTCTACCATCATAAACAGCAGCATCATTGTAACAAAAAAATATATTTTTTGTTCCTGGGTAGTGTTATTTTCGAATTGCTTATGCCTCAAAAGTACAGAAAATGGTTAATATTCCCCACAAACGTTGTGACCAGGACAGTGATATTTAGAAATGTACCTCTATTCAATGAGAAAACGTGGTGTGCATTAGTTTCATTCCTTCACATAAAGTCCTGGACACAAAAGCAAAGTTTGTGGAGAATAATAGCCATTTTCTATACTTTTTAGGCATAAGCAATTAGAAAATAACACTTGCTACCCAGGAGCAAAAAATCGTGTTACATAGTGAATTATCACTACCACCATCATCATCCGCATCATCATCACCACCACCACCACCATGCTTTGTGTTCCGCACCTTTCCTGGGGGGCTCATTGGTGTTTGTGGTCCCCGTGGCCCCAGTGGGTTGTGGGTAGAGGTCACCGCCTCTCCACAGACCAAACTCTGCATGTGTTTTAGACAGCACTGGTTCCATTAAAAACTGTGCCGTCTAATACCAGTAAACAGGTCTCGGTACAGATCAATTCCCGCCGCCCGAACACAGACGCCCGTTCCTGGAGTATCGCTGGCCAAAGCTGAGGCTATCGCGGGCCGTTCTCTAAATTGTAATTTATCATTAGCTTCTCGCTAATAGCCCTCGCCCCAACAGTCTTTATCAGGGTAGGGGGCCATCCATTTAGTACGTACGCATAGAGGGGAGAGGGGGGGTTAACCCAAATGCGTACACTTGCGAATGGGGGGGGGGTCTACTGGCAATGTACGTACGCATATGAAACAGGGGGGGGGGCGGTGAAGCCTCGATAATAATTTGTCTACATTGGCCTTCAAATGAGTTAGATAGTCCGGCGGTGAGAGACTATCTGTTTGCTTAAACATGTTAATAGTATTAATCCTTGATCGTTTCTGCGTGGGGGTGCGTCAATTGTACGTACGCAGGTGGGAGGGGTGGAGGGGTCAAGTTTTGACAGAATTTTTGCGTACCCACTAAATGGATGGCCCCTATATGGAGGATGTTGTCTCGTTCGTCGTTTGTGTGGCACTCGCATTCGTGTTCGTGCGCACAGGAGACCCTTGAATATCCCCGGGGTGGGGGAGGGTTGCACATTTTTGTAAAGTGCCGTGTGAAAGCCAAAGCCGCGATATTCAATACTTAAGCCTTACCTAAACAATGGGGTTAGGTGCATGGCTAAACAAATATGAACACATCGCAATTGAAATAAGTACTGTGCTGTATGCCAAATCAACTGATAAACAAAATAATTGAAATAAACATGTAAAAAACCCTATGCACAAAGCATTCCTGGACAATAAATGTGAGTATAAACACTGTATTTACCCGATGATGATGATGATCCAACGCGGATGTGTGTGTTTGTCCGTGAGTGGTGAGCGGCAGTGCTATGGTTAGCGCGATGCACTACAAACCCGGCCACTCGAGTTGGATTCCCGCTCACGGACAACACCAATGACGATTATCTGAACCCGTCCTGGACCTCCCCTATGTCGATTCAAATCAATAGCTGTTGCGGTGTGTAGTTAAACATCGCCACTGGGGAGACAAAGGCAAGCCAGGCGCGGTGCTGGCCACCCACTCTCCTCATGTGCCGTGCCAGCAGCCTTCTTCATAGGTTCTACTCACTAACAGCACTTGCCCCAACTGTCTGTTAAGGCTATGCGAGAGTGGGGGAGGGGGGGGAATCTATGTCTTTGTACCGCTCACCACCCACCGTGCAGTATCTTCTGATGGGACTCTGGCCAGTGATGTGGTCCTGCTGAGCCGTGATCTTGTTGTGGAGATGAAGTCAACGAGCGACACCTCCGGCTCTGCTCCCGCTTGGATCTACCTTGGGAAAAACCAGACAGGTGCGAGGCGATTCTCCACACGCATCGAGACACCGTCGTGACACTGGCGATCGTGTTGGCATCGCCTCCAACCCCCCCCGCCCCCCCCCCCCCCCCCCCCACGGCGAACGCGTCGGTGGATTTTTCGTTTAGAGGGTCGAGAGCCGCAAAATAAAATGTTCACGCCGACCGACCGAGTATTTGGCCGAGCGGTGCGCTGCCGTGAATTTGTCGATGTGCTCTAAAACCCTGGCTTGCCTGAAGAAGGCGATGCAGCAAAAATGTGGATTCCATCAGTACGTATATATGGACTTTGGACTTCTTTCGCACTGTACGTAGTCAAGCATTGCTAATCGGAGGTACGGGGGAAGGACAACAAAAAGGAGTTCAGGGGTCGATGTGCCCGATAACACCTTCATGCGTGGAGAACCGCAGAGCTTGGTGGCTGGGGGAATTTGGCACCAGCTCGCCGTGTGCCTGCTGCTCCACCTGCTTGTCTTGCCTGCGTCTCTGCGTCATTACACTTTTACTCTTCGAGAGTGAGTGAATGCTGTGCGGTGCGTTACAAGTTTAAATTATTGTTTCGTGCGTTGGTGCGTCGTTTTAAGAATTAAGCTCGAACTGCTCACTATAAACTGCTTAATATAATACATGTACTTTGGTTCTTTCGGTAAAGTCATGTAGAATGAGAATAAAATAATAAATTGATAAAATAAAATAACACAATAATATTCTCACGACGTTTCGGCCACAACACAAGCGGCCTTCATCAGGTGAAGGGGCGAGACTGTCTGGTAGGACAGCGCTGTCCTACCAGACAGTCTCGCCCCTTTGTCTGGTAGGACAGCGCTGTCCTACCAGACAGTCTCGCCCCTTCACCTGATGAAGGCCGCTTGTGTTGTGGCCGAAACGTCGTGAGAATATTATTGTGTTATTTTATTTTATCAATTTATTATTTTATTCTCATTCTACGTGACTTTACCGAAAGAACCAAAGAAGATGAATCATTGCAGTCACGAAAGCTTTAAATCGAAATATAATACATGTACTACGAAATATCCATGTAAATCTGAGGATTATGTTTCCTTCCTCTTTCGGGCTTCTTCACTCGTTCTGCTTTAATTTGGAATTGCCTTCCATCGCCGTCTCTTTTCCCAGGTTTTTATAATGACCCTGTTCAACTCAAAAAGACGTGTTCACACTTTTCTATCATAACTCAACTCGCGCTTTGGAATTTTTGGACCTTCGCTCCTGTGCTCTGTCTAATTACAATTCTCGAGCACTGGGTGATGCGCGCGTGGACACGCCGTGGTTGTGACCGTGTTTGTTTGTTTGTTTCACCAGGTGAAGTCTCGATACAATACGCGGACTTTCACTTCCCGAGCGAGCTCTCCGCAGGCGCTGTCCAGCCATTCTCCCTCTTCGCCAGCGAAAATGTGACGAAGGTATCGCCAATAGTTTTTTTTCCCCTCCATCAACGGAAATTCCCCGCACAAAAATCTCGAGGCAAGACCGATGTGCTTTGAAACTTCGCGCGCATTCCACCTGACACGATGGCCAAACTCCTAAACCATGAACACGCGGCGGACATTGGAGATCGCGCGACGTCGTTTGGACAAGAGCAGGGCCTTGCGTGCAGGCGTCGTTGTCGTCGTCCGGATTTTGATGAAATATTCGCAAATTGTTTCATTGGGGAAAAGCCGTATGACAACATCGCCCACCTACTGGCAGAGTAACGTCCTACTTTCAGGCCGGTTTGGCGTTCATCCTGTACTGCGCAGGGACAGCCGCCATCGGGGGGTTCCCCTTGGCAAGACTTACAACAGAGCATTGGAATGGTTGAGGTGAGACGTAGTGTGGAGTGCTTTTGAGTTGCTCGTTCGATTGAGCCAGCGCCTAATCCGCGCGAATCTCTATCCGTGTCCCTTACAATGCCCATGAGCTGTGCGTGTCGTTCATCTGTCTGGCTCGTCTGCCGCAGGCGAACATCAAATTCAGTGTTTTCCGTGGTGGTTTTGGGCCCTCCATCAAGATTGCTGGCACGAACAACGTTCTGGAAAACTGCGTGGTCTTTGACACCAGCGGATCAGGTGAGGGATGAGAATAATCTATGAGCCAAGAGAGCCACCACCGCCACCACCACCACCACCCATCGCATCGTCCCTCCACATGATGCAGGAAATATTGTTCAAGCGAGGTGTAATGGATCTACAATTTTTTTGTCATTTCCCCTCCAATTGTATCCTCGGTTGTGTCCTTGGCATCTTCCAATGAGATGAAATGTCGATCCGGATCCCTCGCAGAGCAGTGTGAACAATTGTGTTACAGAATGGCCTACGGGAACAGATATCACAGACGACCTCTGAGATTCCTCCCAGATAGATCCTCTGGTCCACACAGCAGGCGGCAGCACCTTTCGATACGCTCACCGAACGCGTTAAAATATATATTTTATTTTCAGAGCTGGAATTCTGGCAGGGTAAACCCAACACTGAATTGACCCTCACGGTTCTTTTGTGGAGTCATTACTGACCGGGGTGAGACAATCAACTCACTGCACTGGAGATGCCAGATTAATCACAAGCAGCTGCAACCTGGTTTAGAACCCAGGATGTCAGTGGTGCCATTTCAGCACTCTGACCTCTTGAGCCATCGGGGCCCCCTCAGTAATAAACTCTTCCACCACATAGCATCCTTGGACTATTTGGGTTACGAATTACTGGACAGATCCACGACTTTTGCAACAGATCCAGACTCCATTTCTTGCCGATCAACCCTACCCTATGAGGACGTAACCCTGGCGACCGCAGCCTGCCCGGCATGTAGCACCGAGGCAAGTTACACGTCTGGGATTTCCTCCTCATCGTCCTCCTTCAGCGCTCATATATATATCTTTTGTTAGGACTGTACACAGATTAAATCCTCCTAACCTGGTCTATTGTTTGCACTTGGTGGGTTAAACTTGGTGAAGACAGATGAAAGGTGGAAATCATTTCCCACCCCCCCTCCCCTCATGTCTTTTTTATTGCATTATCTCATTGAATACATTTTTACTTTGAAAAATAAGAATAATATGAAACACTAATTATATCAAATACATTTAACACGCAGTCGGGTTTTTCACAGCCAATGTTTACGATTGGGTTACGCCCCATGTAATGATCCGGCCAAATTTGTGCCGTAAGACCCTCCACCACCACCCGAATTTCCAAACATTAAATTGTCACGTGGTGCACCTGCAAAATATTTTAGTTTCGGTTCGTTCACTGGGTAAGTTAAAGAGCAAATCTCACAACTTAATATAGATCATGACGCGGCCTAACCCAAAACCCAATTACGAATCAACAAATAAATGTCTCTCTGACAGGGATTGTGGTGACGGGACAATCAAATACGATTACGTCTAACCTGGTGACCACGTCGGCTTCCGACTATGGAGTGACTGCAGATTACCTGCCTGCGGCCATCGAGGTGAAAAAACGCACACATGCAGACGGCCAACGCGCGGCTGCCGTGAGCTGATTCACACTTGTGCGTGTGTGTATGTGTGTGCGTGTGTGTATGTAAGTAGCGGTAGTGTAGCAGTTAGTGTGGGGAGCGATAGTGTAGCGGTTAGCGCGCTGCTCTATGAACCTGGCGACCCGGGCTCGATTCCCGCTCACGGCCAACACCAGTGACGATTATCTGAACCGGTCCCGGGCCTCCCCTAGGTTGACTCAGCCTCAAATGAGCACCTGGTGCGGTGTGTAAACATTGCCAATAGGGAGACAAAGGCGGTCGGGCGTGGTGTTGGCCACCTCGTGTGCCGTGCCGGCCTTCATAGGTGCTCGCTGACAGCACTTGCCCCTACAGTCTGTTACAGGCTATACGGGGGATCTTTGTCTTGTGTACATGTGCCTTTTAGGAGGATTGTAACTGAATGCCTCTTAGTGATCTCCCTCGACGCGGCGAATTCCGGTGCAATTGGATTTTCGGTTGGCCTCTCATAGCTGGGCGGACCCCTGAGATCATTGTGCAATGCCGCACGGCCCTGAACCAAGGCCCTCCCGCTAGCGACCGGCGGGCCCCCTCCTCCACTGCGCCACGAACCCAATTCCCACTCACGGCCAAGATCGCCTAGGTTGACTCAGCCTTAAATGAGTTTTCTGGTGCAGTGTGTACACAGCGGTGGGCTTGGTGCTCGTGTGGTGCTGGCCACCTACCCCCTCATGTGCCGTGCCAACCTTCCACTGGTATTTTTGCACACAGAGTTGGTGTACGGTGCTTTTTCAGGAATATTTTGCTGTTTTTCTGTTTGCACAGTCACATAGTCACTTTAAGATGTTTTATTGTTCGTGTTTTTGTTATTTGTTTGTTGTGGTTGCACCCGATTCAAGAGCCAAAATGGCTCACAGGGCTATACCAAATAAATAAACTGAAACTGAAAAAAACCTTCATAGGTGCTCGCGAAAAGCACTTTCCTCAAGAGTCTGTTAAAGGTTATATGGGGTATATTAGTCCTTTTTGTTTGTTCAAGGGGAGCAGTAGTGAGTTCGATTCCAGCTCACAAAAACATTGTTGTGTATTGGTGGCCATGAATTGAACTCAGGTCACTGGGTTCAGAGCGCAGTACACTACCCACTGCGTCACAGTGCTGCTCCAATCTGCAGCAACATTTGCCCGTGTCGTATGCTCCGGGTTATAAGACGCTGCGGAAAGTAGTACGCAACCCAAACTTTCGTGTGCGGCGTTAATGAATATGTACAAATTTGGTGAAAATTGTACCTACCAGATTCTAGGACGCTTTGAAAATGCACAGTAAAAAGTAAGTTTTATAATCCGGTTAAATTACGGTAATTGCACCTAGTCCTGGGTTGACATGAGCAGCCATATGGCGTGGATGCAGCGTCCAGGTAATATGCATAGAATGACCATGTGAAGGGCGTCGGTGTTGCATCGTATTTTTGCTAATGTCACCCAGCACTAGTGTCTACGTGTGTGTGGAGAGCACAGGTGGTGCATCCGCCAGTCATCTCAGTCAGTTCACCTACAATACCTGGCTCTAACCCGTTGACATCCTACCAGTGACCCTTTACACAATTCACGTGCGCACGACCACAAAGTGCACCTAGCCTGGCACAAGTGCTTGCTCAATGTTACCGTCACTTAGTGGCGAACGCTGGCTGTTTCCGTGCCCCCCCCCCTCCAAGTATCTTCAGCGGTGTCGTGGCAGTCGACCCAGGGACCATGGTGGAGAGATGTTAACTACCTCGCCTGGTATACGGGAGGTCGTGGGTTTGATCCTGACCCTGACGCCTGTATATAAGTAGTTTGCATGTTCTCCCTGCGGTTGCGTGGATATTTCTCCGGGTCCTCTGGATTTTTTTTCCACGTTTAGAATCAACATACAATAATTTGTGGCCAGGCCGCTTATGAATAAGAGTTACCTAGGCTTCGTGGGCCTTACCTGGTAAAATGCAAGGTTTAGTTTTAGTTTCAATCGGGGCGCAGGGTCCGCCTGGAGGCCGCACGGCCGTTTTTGCGCTCACGACGTCGATAACCCAAGCCGGTGCACCGACCGCCGTTCTGTGATGGAAGAGTGACCCTGACGTGGACCGAGTTGGAGCCGGAGGTCGGGTGTCACTTTAACGTCAAGGTGACGTCGATGTTGTCATCAACAAGCTGGGCCAATGGAGCCGCACTCGCTTCCCTAACTGCTGATGGCCCCGTGACCTGTCTGTGTGTGATATACTGTATGTATTCAGCCACGGCAAACAGGTGAGTACCTTGTTTTTTTTTTAAACCCTCTATTTATACAGGCTGTTCCATTGATAGATACCGCGTCAAGATTTCTAAAAACCCTATATATTTTTTTATGTTGAACTTCGTTGGCACCCTACGTAGCCGTGCTAATCCAAGGGGTGCGTGGTTGTGATAGGTCGTGGACATGACGAACGGACTCGCGGAAAACGTGGTGGCTGGATTTAAGTACATCGCCTACCGATTAAATGGATCCAATTGTGAGTTCAGTCCGGAAAATCGCGTCTTTGGTGATGGACAATACCACACTTAAAACTGCTGCAGCGCATGTGCATGTGTAAAGCCCTCTTGCCAATCTACTGCTGGATGAGGACTGCCCCATGCCATGCAGGTCATGTCACGAGGGTTATTTTTAATATTTTTTTCGGTGAAACAAAATGTATCGCACACAAATTAAGCTTCCTTTATGTGTCATGTTAAATGCATCTGAAGTGAAATGTATTTACAATTTTCCTACAACTGTAAACATTTTTTAAAAATTATGATCTGCGATGACGTCATCCAACGGCGGTCTAAACATTTGACAGAGAAAGTAGCCATCCTTCACGACTGGGGGCCCTCAGATTTGACCGTGCTTAACACTTGTCAGTGCGGACTTCCTGAAGATAGATAGGGAGCATAGACTTTGGGGGTATAGTACAGTACAGCAATTGTTTTTTTGTCTTACATTGCCCTGTGTATAACTGCCAATTTGTAGCCGTCTAAATAGGCCTCTGAGCCGTGTGCTCAACAAAAGTAGTAAAAAAAACACAATTTTGCATGTCCGTATCTATTGCCTCCATTAATGGGAGCTCAAGCATTCCACCAAACTGTTTATGCGTTGAGGGGAATACCACTGATGACTTCCCAATGCACGAAGCGTATTCTGGCGGAACAAGCAGACTACTCCACTCAGCTACCACCCCAGATGCCGTGGAATATTCAACAACATTAAAAACACAATTGTAACCCTTGAGTTAAAGCCTTCGTGACTGCAGGAATACATATTATATGGGTCTTTCGGTAAAGCCACGTAGATAGAAAAATAATAGAAATATCACGACGTTTCGATCACAACACAAGCAATCGTCTTCAATGAATGCTTGTGTTGAGATCGAAACGTCGTGATATTTTAAAAATAAATTTTCTATCTACGTGGCTTTACCAAAAGACCCATAGAATTGTGACCCTGTTGCTTTTTTAAAACTAAACACGAAAGAACAAGATTATCCGCTTACAGTAAGCTTGCTTATACGCAGTATAAACCGCTGTGTGTTTTGTTTATGGTCTAAACAGTATCGTGTCTGCTATGAATGGGGTCAAGTGGTGCCATGCTGGCTTTGTGCACTGCACTATGAACCTGGAGATGGACTAATATCAGTGTCGAGTGATATCGCCGAACCAGTCCTGGATTCCACCGTGGCGAAATGTTAGCTACCTCACCTGGTATACAAGAGGCGTGGCTTCGATTCCGACCCTGACACCTGTATATTTGGAGATTGCATGTTCTCCTCGTGGTCACGTGGATTTTTTTCCGGGTCCTCTGGTTCACGGGATGTATGTTGAACTTCTTTCGCACCATACGTAGCCAACCATGCTAATCGGAGGTACAGATGAAGGACATCAAACTAAGAACAAAAAACTGTTTTAAAGAAATGAGTTTTCAACTTGATTTAAATGTGTATAGCTCCAGTGGCTTCCTAATATGGGAAGAGCGTTCCAGACGGCTGAAGAAGCGCATCTGACCGCACGCGATGCGGTGACCATCATTGTTCGATGGCTAGCTAATAGCCACTGCGAGTTCCCAGAATGGTTTATGCTTCTTGACGAGATCAGCAAAGTACTGTGGTTCATTTGTGGCAAGCGCTTTGTGTGCAATGAGTGCGGCCTTATGATGTATTCGTTCGGCAATGCAGCTCAGCGAGCAATGAACGACGGACACAGTCGGATCTTGCAGTACCCGTCACGACACGTGCCAGAGAATTTGGTACACGCTGCAGCTTGGTAATGTTTTTGCCATTGAGTTGCAATAATCGAGCTTTATCGATATGATGCTACATGCCACCATGTTGGATATGTCAACTGAACTCGGTGTGAGCGTTTAATTGGTCAGGGCGGATATTTTGCGGTCAGATATGCGACGATGTGCTCCGTCTCCCTGTGCCGACTTATGCCACCGGGAATTTATTACTTAACGTTTGATTTATGTTCGTGCAATATTTTCGATATATCATGTCGACACAATTATTTTGGCTCCGATCTCTATTTGCTTCATTACTGTTCCTTCCGTTATTAGGAAGCGACTGGAGCTATGCACTTCTGATTTGTACGGTTGGCTACGTATGATAGGAAAGAAGTTCAACAACATACATTAAAGAGAGGATGTCGACCGCAGAGATGGAGTTATAAAATCAGCTAATGTGCGAAAGAAGTTCAACATTTTGGTGACCAGGATCACGTTTGCAAATGAGACTTCGTCATTTGAGTCTCACCTGGTTAACGACGTAGACTTGAACTCTATACACTTGTACACTGAACTCGTGCATGTGATGTGTGCGTGCGTACGTGCGTGTATGCTTCTAATGCGTAGTAGCAAAGAATGCGAACGAGGCTCACTCGGGGCTCTACGGAGTTTACGTGACCGGTAACTTTGACACAGACGTCATCGTGAGGGAATTCCTCGTGTGGAAGAGCTGGAACTACGGTGTCTATATCCAGGTAGAGGATGAATCCTTTTTTCTTGTTTATTTTGACACTCATCACACTGCAGGGTACAACAATTCCCTCTCTGCTTTATTCCACGCCCCTGTTTTACATCTTCAATGGTGCCGTTTGTTGCTGGCCGCTTGGTGCTCTAGGCCTTTTGGGTTTTGTGCTCAGCAACTGTGATTTCAAATTTCTATGTAGTCGAATATTCCCTAACTGCTGCGTGCAAAAAATTACCATCCCTTTTGCGCCTCTCGCAAAGGTCAACACCAACGTGACGGTGACCAACGTGACTTTGGCCGACAACGGAGTGGGCGTCTTTGCCATGGTCTACACGGCGTTCAACACCTCCACCTTCCTCAACAAGTTCATCACCATCAGTGTATGAAGGTTTACAGCGGCGTGCGAGCTGCAGTCGGCATTCTTTTCATTCTGGCTATGGTCTTAGTCTAGTCGGCGACGACGACCTTTGTGGGGTTTTAAAGTCGAGGCTTTAGCCTGCGGATTTCATTTGTTCGTTCCCTTAGCCTTGTCGACTAAAGCGGCCGTGCATGTATTGCACTCTTACTTATTAAATGTACGTACGATGAACTTCTTTCATGCGGCATGTACCCAACCGTGCTGATCGGAGATGCGGGGGAAAATGTTGTTGTGAAGGGTGCGCAATTTCCTTCCTCCACCACCGCACTCCCCCCCCCCCCCTCCAATATTACCAGGATAACCGATCGGTAAACTCGGGAAATCTTTTATATGCACACAAGTGTAGTGCCTTGGATTCACTCGGACGGCAATCGCCTTTCTTCCACCGTCACTTTTGTTTCCATCGTTCCGCACACACACACACACACTATAATGTCACACACACACACTTTATAACTTCACACACACACACTATATAATTTCACACACACACACTATATAATTTCACACACACACACACTATATAATTTCACACACACACACTATATAATTTCACACACACACACTATATAATTTCACACACACACACACTATAATTTCACACACACACACACACTATATAATTTCACACACACACACTATATAATTTCACACACACACACGATATAATTTCACACACATACACTATATAATTACACACACACACTATATAATTACACACACACACACACACTATATAATTTCACACACACACTATATAATTTCACACACACACACACTATATAATTTCACACACACACACTATATATATCATTACACACACACACACTATATAATTTCACACACACACACTATATAATTTCACACACACACACTATAATTTCTCCTCTCCGCGCTCCGCCAACTCGAACACTCGAATTCCCCTCAGCACCGTCCCGCTCATATTCCTTGTCTCCACACACAGTCTCTTCTTCTCTCACCTTACACACAGTGGTTCTATCTCCTCACACACAGTGACTCGTCTATCTCTTCACACACAGTGGCTCTGTCTATCTCGTCACACGCAGTGGCTCTGTCTATCTCTTCACACACAGTGACTTGTCTATCTCTTCACACACAGTGACTTGTCTATTGCTAACTCTCCCTGTACCTACCTATACCGTGATCTCCACTCTGCTAACGCTAACTCTCGCTATCGCTATTTATTGTCCTCTGGGTTCGGCTCTCAATCTATTTCCCACTAACACTTGACGGGCTTCCACTCCTCGCATCTCTCTCTACCCGCTGCTGTCTCCACTTCTCGCCAACTCCCCCGCCGTCCAAATCACCTAGACTTTTTATCCCCTTTCCAATCGGCCTTAATTAATTGCCACGTGCCTCGCTGGCATTTTCCCGCCAGCTCCTCACCTGTCCAACGGCCCAGACTCCGTGACGCCGCCACTTAACGCTAACAGCCTCTCGACCAATCACAGCCCTCGTCCCTTGACTCCCTTAATTACTTTGGCTTGTTTACGCCACCCGTGACTTCATCACCTGCTCGAACTTACGTGACCCACACTGTTTGTATGTACTGTATATGACCAACTTACCCCATGTGTATTGTCTACTCCACTACACATGTATAAAATTACCATGTTTGGTCTTCCTCAGTGCACTGCAGTCTGGCAGCGTTAATAAATTACATCAGCCTGTTCTTTATTCCATCTCATCACACATAAGTCATCATCACACCTCATTAATTTAATCCATTAATCGTTTACGTAAACATCTTTTTTTTTTTAAACCACATTTCGTTGCCGCAATGTGTTGGTCCTTACCCAGTAAAAATAAAAATAAAACCGTTCCATCGGCCAGGGGGCAACCGTCGAATGGCGCAGTATTGGCCGATGACGATGACGGCGCGGTGATGATGAATGTATATTCTAAGAGCTGTGCTTGGAATGATCGCAGGCAAGCACCATCATCGGCGCCAGCTCCGACGACACCTGCGGCAACGTCGCGCCACAGAACAGCTACACCGCCGGCAAGCTCAATGCCCTCCCCGTGCCCGGTGAGAACTCCGGCATGCGTGCACACAAAGAAAAAAGATCCCCCGTATAGCCTTAACAGACTGTAGGGGCAAGTGCTGTTAGCGAGCACCGATAAAGGCCGGCACGGCACACGAGGGGGTGGGTGGCCAACACCACGCCTGGCCGCCTTTGTCTCCCTAGTTTCAATGTTTACTCATTGCACCAGGTACTAGTTTGAGGCTGAGTCGACCTAGGGGAGGCCCAAGACCGGTTCAGATAATCGTCACTGGCATTGGCCGTGAGCAGGGAATCGAACTCGGGTCGCCAGGTTCGTAGCGCAGCGCGCTAACCGCTACACTACCGCTCCCCACGTGCGCACCCATACACACACGCGGCCGCCCCGGCTGTCATCGTCAGGGGCACATGCGGAGATTCCTATTCTGTACAGGTGCAGGCCTGGTTATCGTGGAGAAAGGAACCATATACATGTGTGTATTTCTGTATGTTCGTTGAACCTGTACCCAGACAATACGAGGTACTGATATTTTATTGCATGCAAATGACAGGAGATACAAGGACAACGTGCATGCATAATGTACGTCGATTACCATGTGAATAACCCAACTGGCAATAGATACCCATTGTAATTTATATGCATTCATTAATCCCTCCCCCTTTCACACGAGAAGTGCTCGCAAGTGACGTCATCACATCTACGCCTCTATTTAAGGGACGATACAGGAGGATTTCTCCACAAATCGGCCTGCGTCTGATGAAGCTAGTTGTAATTACTGTCGAAACGTCGTACTCAGATTGTAAATGTTGTGGATTTGCTCTCCAACACACCAGTGGGCTGTACTAGCAACTAATTGGCATGTTCTGTTTATGTAACAAACCTTACTAATTGACTGTGTCGGGTGGTAGCGGGTTTAACGACACATTTATATTTACGCCATCTAACCCAAAACACATATTTTGGACGTTGAACTTCTTTTGCACTGCACGCAGTCAACCGCGCTCATCCGAGGTGCTGGTGAAGGACAATAAACGGGACAGAAAAAGCAGTTCTAAAGAAATGAGTTTTCAATTTAGATTTAGTTTGTTTCACATGGACTGTTGTCGTGAGATTTCTTATGGTCCTCCTATAAGCGAAGTCACACCGCAGGCTGTTCACTGACGCTGCGTGCCCGACATGAATCGTCATCTCTCCTTGTCCCAGATGGCCGAGTCGGTGTCCTGTGGCCGATCTTCACATCCAACCGTAACAAGGCCCCTGCCCAGGGCCACCACGCCGTACCAACCAACTACAGTGTCTTGAATGGCCAGACCAACATCGACAGTGGGTTTCCAGTCCACACATCACTGCCACTGATGCTTAACATGGGGGGCTGATAAATATCACCGTATACTCTCCAGATTAAAAGACACTCCACAAAGTTGGACGGCACCCCCAAAACTTGCACCCGGTGTCAATAAAGTTGCACACACTTGTTGCACACGTACGCCAGTTATGCACGCACATATGAACACCTGTCAAATTATGATTATAATAACACGGCCTCCCCAAACTTTTGCTTGAAAAATACAGGGGGACAAACACGCATCTTAAAACAAATAATTTTCACTTGACGTGGACTGAGATTTGAATTTCACGACCTTCTGACCGCACTCACCTGTTTTGACGAGCACCTCCACCGTCCCCACCCCTCCCCAGCCGTGACATTCATGAACTTCGTCAGCACCTGCCAAGGCAATAAAAAAGGCTCTGCTGCGATTGCCACAAACGGCCTGTCTGAGGACTTCCAGCACCCGATCGTCATCAAGGGCTCCAAGCTCCAAAACGTGAACGATGAAAGCAAGATCTACATGCACATGGCCAAGTGAGAACCCAGCTCTGTGCTCTATGCTTCCTTGCTGATCTCGTTAAGGAGCATAAACCATCACATGAACTCTGGTCATCCTTGCAGTAGTGGCTTTTGGCTAGCCATCTAACAGAAACGGTCACTGCATCACGCGCTTTCAGATGCACCTCTGTGGCTGTCTGGAACGTTCGTCCTTCCGATATTAGGAAGCCACTGGAGCTCGCACTTATACATTTTGTGTTTAGTGTGCTGTCCTTCTCCCGTACCTCCGATTAGCGCGGTTGGCTACGTACAGCACAAAATAACGTATTAAGGCCTTCCCTGGCACTGGACAATGAAGTTGCATGATTGGCTATGCCAGGGTTCTTCAGCTGGTGGCCCTTGAGTTAGCTGTGGCCTGCGAAGGCTCTAGGCACGGCCTGCCGAGCCGTGGCCCGCTGAGAGCTACGGCTTTGTGAGGTTAGAGAGAGATGAGCAAGCGATAGAGAGACGGAAGACTTAGAGGCAAGGGGTACGGATTTCTGCTCACGTGCACGGTAGCACGACACCGCACGCCGTTGCAACATCAGCATTGTCGGTTCCTCAGGCACAGCCCCCCCCCCCCCCAACAACAACTGCCGTCTGTGCGCGCGCGTAGGAAAAACGTCGCATTGGGATGTCTAAACGCGGCGTGTGATGGGAAGAGAACGGCGCTGCTCACCGACACAGACGGATCCTTTCTGGGCACGAAAGGCACCGCTGTGCCCACCGCCGACAATCTGTGGGGCGATCCCTCCCTGGGCATCGGGGACAATTGGGTGCCTAAGATTGCGCTCACATGGCCCAACGACTCCACGTCAACGCTCGCCAGCGTCGCTTCCAAAAAAGGTAACCGATCGCTGCCCGTGCCACGTGCGTCGCCTCCGAGGTTGAGAGACAGAGGTGAGGGGGGACCGTTTAATTGCTGTGCAGGTTTCCGCGGTCGCGCCGCTTAGCTCTCGAATGCGTTTTCGGGGGGGGCGGGACGCACGAGTGGCTACGTGCCGTCGGTGGTCGCGGCGTTCGACGTTTCGCTGCCGCCTTCGACCCCGTACGCGAGTGGCGCTGCGAGAGGCTTGTTTCAAGTGACCCTCTCACTTGAAACAAGCCGCAGTGCCATGGGGGAGGGCGCGGGGTGGGGGGGAGGGGGGCTCCTCATCATTCACAGACGTCTGCGGCTTGTACATGGCGTGCGAAATTCTGTGTGCTCAGTAGTTCAGACCTGCGGGGTGGGAGCGGTGGCCTTTCTATGATTTTCTTTTTTTAAAGCCAATTATTTGTATGAACTGGCCTACAAGTTCAATACAATGATGCGCAACATAATGGTTTCGGAAGCAAGACAAACAGAGCTGAACTTTACCCGTCAAACATATTCCGTCGTTTGTTTATAGGAGAAAAAAAAACCCCCACACTGTTTACACTCGGGCAACAATGCCCCGTGTTTAAAGGAAACATGGTCACGCGAGATGTGTAATTAACCCGGGGTGGATATTGTACTTCTTTAAACACACCTATGATATCACCGTTTGCTTCACGATGTTCACGTGTACCACACATATCTCGTCCCGTGCAAGGTAATGTTCCGGTGTTTACTTAACCCAAAATTATCATTTCCGTTGTTTCAGAGGATATAAGTAGTGAAATACAGGGTGCTTCCAAAAAAATGGTAACACTTATATGGGACTATCGTTTTTAATGTAAAAAGAGTGGAAAATACACTGTAACATGATAACAAATATATGCTAATAGCTTTAAAAAAAAATCAAGGAGTCTCCACTTACACTTTGGTTCTTTCGGTAAAGTCACATAGATAGAATATTAATAGATCATGACGTTTCGATCGCAACACAAGCAACCGTCATCAGGTGAAACAAACACAGCAGGAGAACTGCTGACGTAGGAGAAAGAGCTGCTGCAGAGGTGAAATAGGCTTTTGGTGGGCCCAACCCCAGGGTGAGTGGGCGGAGCTAGAGAAGGAATTTGTCCGTAAATGTAAGAGATTAGTATGTACTCTTTGGTTCTTTCGGTAAAGTCACGTAGTTATAAATAAAATAAAATGAAAAAAATAATTTTATGGATTCCTGCAGTCATGAAAGCAAGAGCAAGAGATACACATGGAGAGAGAGAGACACACACAGAGAGAGAGAGATACACACAGAGGGACAACCCACAAACAGAGAGGGACATCCACATAGAGAGAGACACACAAAGACACACACAGATACACACACAGAGAGACAACCACAGAGAGAGACACAAACACATAAAGAGACACAAGCACATAGAGACACACACACAGAGACACAGAGAGAGAGACACGCACAACCGAGAGAGACACAGAGAGAGAGAAACACGTAGAGAGAGACCCACACAGAGAGAGACATGCGGAGACACACACAGAGACACAACACAGAGAGACACAGAGAGAGAGACACACACACAGAGACAACCCCCACACAGAGAGAGATGACAACAACAACCGCCATTCGCCACTAAGTGGCGGTGACGTCACCACGATACTTGTGCCAGGCTATGTGCACTTTGAGGCCACGTGAAGTGTCAAACGCCCGCTGGCAGGAGGTCACGGGTCAGATCCAGGTGCCACGAGTCGATTGACTGAGATGACTGGCTGATGCACCACCTGTGCCCCCGACTGTGCCAACTTGCTGTGCTTTAGCCACCCGGCGCTCCGCTTGTTGTTGTGAGCGTCGCTCCTCCGCCCTCCGTTGTTGTTGGAGGGCTACTGCCTCTAACTGCCCAGTAGCGTCCTTCACGAGCCTCCTCCACAGAGGCCGATCTTGCCACCGCTGGTACCAGTCATCGGCAAGTCCACTCAGCTCCACATCCTCCTGTACCACATCACTCCATCTCTTCTCCAACCCGTGCCGCACCCATTTTGCCCCCTCGATCCGGTCGAACAAAAGCTGTTTAGGCATGCGGTGGCTGGGCATGCGGGCTACATGACCCAGCCATCGCAGCCTTGCCTACCGGAGGAGCTCACTGATGGGACTTTGTCCAGATCTTTCAAGGATTTGTGAGCTCCTCACACAATCCAGCCTGGTTAAACCCAGGATGGATTTTAGGCATTACCAGCCTAAATGTTTCTAACTGGCGAAGATGTTCCATTAGGGGGGTCCACGTTTCGCAAGTTTAGAGAAGGGAGGGAATGACTGTGGCCGAGAAGACCTGAAACTTCATGTGGAGCGAGAGACCAGGTAGCTTCCACATAGCGTTACGCAACCGATGAAAAGATAATGCCGCTCGACTGATTCGGAGTGAGACCTCTGCTGTTAAACCGGAGCCAGTCATGAGCATACTGCCAAGGTATGGGAAACTCTTCACTCTCTCCACAACTGCCCTATCACCAATTGGGAGTTTGGGGGTGGAGTGTCCGATGGTACAAAATACCCAGGCAGGTGCTTAGTTTTGGTGGGACTGATGGTAACGCCCCACCTCTTGGTGGCAAGCTCCAGGCTCAGCAGCAGCACCTCCAACTCCTCCTCTGAGTGAGCAGCAGATCATCGGCATACATAACGTGGTTGAGCAATAGGGAGCCATCCCTTGACCGCACCCGGGCATCGATCAGCCTCCCATTTTATCTATACCAGATGGAAATTTCTCTGGTACAGCTATTGAAGGCTTCACGAACTACGTGGTCAAAATAGATGTTAAATAGACAGCTGACATAGGCAGGTAGGATGGAAACATCACAGTCAGTTAAGACTTTACTTGGTTAATAACATCCTTCCAATGATTGCTCAGTTTGTACCCATCTTCTCGGTTGAAGTTGTGTCTGTTTTTATATATCTGGATGGCTTCGTGAACACATCTCTGATGATAGCCAGTGAGTTTGTAGAGTACCTTCGTCTTGGAAAAATCTATTTAGTGTGAGCCCACAGCGTTAAAACAATGATCAGCAATGGCAGAGGTATTGGTCCTACCATGTTTCAGACCTGCCTTGTATTCGCGAATACGGTCTGAGACATGTGGTTTCATTTCCCCAATGGAACTGCTGCCGCAGCCACAACTTAGTTTGTAGACACCAGGGTATTGCATGTCAGGAAGCACATCCTTTACAGATGGGATCATATCACGGATTTTGTGTACTGTGTTGAAACGAACCTGGATATTGTGTTTGTTTAAGATTTTGGACATATTTTTGGTAACCCCTACTATGTATGGCAAAGTGATGGTTTTGACTGGGTCCTCAGATGGTTGTCTCCCCATGGCTGGGGAGACAGCTTTGCGGATTGTACGGTCAGAATATCCATTCATCCTGAGGGCTTGGTGTATGTGCTCAAGCTCGCTGGCTAGGTGGTGCTGGTCGGAGATGCAATGGGCCCTATGGTGTAGTGTTTTGATGAGGGAATTCTTCTGGGCTGGATGGTAGTGGGAGTCAGGCTTTAGATAGGAATCCGTGTGGGTGGCTTTCCTGTAGATAGAATGTCCCAACGAGCCATCAGGTCTCTTCTAGATCAAAACATCTAGGAATGGTAACTTGCCATCCTTTTCCATTTCCACGGTGAATTTGATGGCTGGGTGTATGGAATTGATGTGGTTGAAGAATTGGTTTAGTGCTGGCTTTCCATGTGGCCAGATGATGAACGTGTCATCTACGTATCTCTGTAGGGTGGATGTCTGGATGGCATCTGTCTCAAATTTCTCAATGAAAACATTCGCTACCACTGGCGATAAGGGAGAACCCATTGGGGTATCTTCCTCTTGTTTGTAGAATGTATCATTCCAGGTGAAGTGTTGGTAAGGCAGTGCCTCACCAAAGTTGGCACATCAGAATTCAGTCCCTATTGGACCAAGTCTTCAATGATTGTAATGTTTTTTTTCGGTAAAGTCACGTAGAAATAAGAAATAATAATACAATTACATAATAGCATACGACGTTTCGATTGCAACGCAAGCAATCATCATCAGGTATAGAAGAGCTAAATTGTGTGTGTCTCTCTGTGTGTATCTGTGCTAACTCTCTCTGCTTAGATGTTTATATATGTCTGCGATCTGTACTCTTATCACTCTTAACCTATAATTTAGCAATCTTTGAAATAACGTAATCAGCCAGACCATGCGTTAATTGTGTTTTGACCGACCCTCTGTGCTGCATTATATTGTTTCCAAATTTTACTAAATCTTGTTCGATTTGATGTGCTTCTCCATCTCTCTTTGTCTCCCCTACATGCTAAGGCCTCGGCACAGAGACCCTATCTCTCTGTGCTCCATACGTTGTGTCTCTTTGTGTCTCTGTCTTAACTCCCTCTACTTAGGTGTCTGAATATATATCTGCGGTTCTGTGTTTCCTCTCTCTCTCTTAAATTGAGCTCTTCTATACCTGATGATGATTGCTTGCATTGCAATCGAAACGTCGTATGCTATTATGTAATTTTATTATTATTTCTTATTTCTACGTGACTTTACCGAAAAAACCAAAGAGTAATTCCTGCAGTCACGAAAGCACCAAATCAAGTTTGATTGCAATGGTGTCAGGCACAGGTACCTTGGTGAACAGAGAGACTACATCGAAATTGACAAGCAAATCATCTGGAGACAGTGAGATGTCTTTGATTAGAGAAACCAAGTGAGCTGAGTTAAGTACAGCTGAGGTGGTCTTGTAAGTGAATGGCAGCAAGGTCTCAGACAGAAATCGTGCCAGTTTGCAGGTGGGTGAGTTAATGGTGGAGACGATGTGACAGAGCGGTGTACCCTTTTTATGGATTTTTGTAAGGCCATAAAATCTGGGTGGTCTAGCAGCAGAAGGTTTTAGAGAGAGCAGCTTGGTTGGTTCGATTATAGAAGTCAAATTTGTGATGATATTGTTGGTTTTCGTAACCAGGCGGTTGGTAGGGTCTCTATTGATTTTGGTATAGCTACCATCCATAAGAAGGTCCTGAATTTTGTTGTTATATGTGGTTTTATCCATGACGACCGTGGCATTGCCCTTGTCGGCTAAGAGGATGACAATATCATCTCTTTTTTATATTTGAGCGAGTTCAAAACTCTCGTCCTTGCTGATGTTGCTAACGGGTTTCTTAGCGTTTATGAGGATAGCAGCGATTTCAGATCTTGCTACGTTTGCTGGGATGTGTCCTAAGCCTTTGAGGGCTACATCGACCCGGGCAATGATATCATCCACTGGGATGTGTTTAGAGGTGACTGCGAAATTCAACCCTTTAGCTAATACCGATTTTAAGCTGTCAGAAATTGGGCTGTTACTCTGATTGATAACAATCTTGTTAACATCTGGATCTGGCTTCTTCTTAGACAGGAAGTTGAATTTAGCAATCAGGTTAACTTTACATATGGCTGACATTGAAGCGGCAGAAGAAACTATCATGTTATCTACATGGTCCCAATCAGATGTGTTGTGATCGAAACGTCGTGACTATTAATTTTCTATCTACGTGACTTTACCGAAAGAACCAAAGAGTATGGATTCCTGCAGTCACGAAAGCTTCACATCATTGTCAACACATGCCTGGAATCTTCTCCAGGTGGTCTCCAGAGCAGTGGCGTTACTAGGGTTGGTGTCACCCAGTGCGTAACTCATGGTGTCACTCCCCATGGACCTCTGCCCGTACCAGACCATATAGAATCCTTTGTAATGTTTTTTGTACTAATGTTACTCGTAAATCGTAATTACCGTATAGCACTGAATATAATGGCAATAGTAGTGACATAAAGAACTAGCAAAATAAAAATTACACCTATAAGTTACAATATTTCCTTTAATTACTACTTCATGCTCAAAATTTTCATTGATATAGGTTCACAAATACTAATTACCACGATATTGTAGCTAAAGCACCAGAAAACTTGACATAATCAGCAACTATAAAAAACACCAGCAGCAACGAAAACAACAGCGCTTGCAGACGAATCCACGTGATTCGAAGCGTCATTGTATAGTGGGTTGAATAACTAGAAGAGGGCTTCTCTGAAACAACACAGTTTTTATTTAACAATTAACACTTAACACAGAGAGGTAACGGCCCTTCACACCCGATACACTATGGAGGTTACTCTCCAGACTAATACGCCTCTCACTGGTTAATCTACAATTCCTCCATGAGTGAAGCTTGAATCTTCACTGGTATATAAGCTGGAGCCAACCTTGCCAGGGGTACGGCTCTGCCCTTAGGGCTCTTCAGTCTTCAGGAGGCTTCTTGTCTTCAGCTGGACGACGACTGTTGGGACCGTTCAGAGGTCCGGTTTTTTTACAGAGCCGTGGCTCGCTCCGCCCTGGCCATACCTTCCTTCTCGAACCTTCGGGAACGATCCGGGGTTTGATGTCATCCCCCAGCCACCCTCCTGTGGTCTGGGGTCTTCCTCCTTTTACATACTTTAAATAGGGTAACCGTTGGGCCCTATGGCCCATTGACTCTCAACATTGGGGCTCAGCCCCTCTGTTGCCCCCTATTGGCCTGTGGCTGGTATTGCCGGCAATTGCATGGGAACGGCACATCTTGGCCCAATAACACCGTTACAATTGAAATTGGGTAACAATGACAGCTCTGACCGGAACGCATTAGAAGGTTCAAAAAGTAAATTAGCATAGCGTTTTAGCCTTGTAAGTGTATTTATACAGTACATGTAAGCTGGGCTTACGAAAAATGTTTTTGTTATAACTAACTACAGGGATAAATTTTGATTTAAAGCTTTCGTGACTGCAGGGATTCATATTATTGGTTCTTTCGAACCAAAAATCTAACTACAGGGATATTTTTTCTTTTAAAAATTCTGCTGAAACACCGCACAAAAATTGTATCGAGTCATTTTGGTGTCACCCCCTCTGATGATGTCACCCGGTGCGGTCCGCACCCCCCGCACCCCCCTAGTGATGCCACTGCTCCAGAGCCCGGAGGCACTTTTCTTATGGTGTTGTTGCAAATTCAAGCGTTAACATTTTTGTGAAGCAGCCTTTATATACCGTAAACTAATGAATGTCTCTGCCATGTAAACAATTGAAGTATTTGCTATAATTCCCGACGTTTTATTCTCTGGGAGCTTTTTGACGCCACGGTGGTGAGATGTTAAATACCTCGCCTTGGTGTACAGGAGGTCGTGAGTTCGATACCAACCCTGACGCATGTATATTTGGAGTTTACATGTCTCTCTTCCCGTGGTCGCGTTAATTTTTCTCAAGGTCTTCCGGTTACATTTACAAACATGTAATTTTAGAGTATTTGGCTGCAATACATTTCCACGTGATAAAGCACTTCGTTGAGATATAATTTGTGGCCAGGCCGCTTCTGTAAAAGAGCTGTATAGCTCAGTGGGCCTTGCCAGAAAGAAAAAAAATAGTTTAGATTCAATTCCAACTCCCAGCACATCAAGCGAAATGCCAGGAATTGAGCCAAAACAACACGCCAACACAAACAAATAAAAAAAGTGCATCAGAGAGCCACTCATGATACAGGACGACCGCAGCAACCTACGCGAATGAATCTACATATGTCATTCCTCCCATGAAATACACATGACGTTAATTTGAAATGTGTTGTCGTTGTCGATCCAAGGCGTGTTTGTGGACGGCTGCAAGAACATGGGCACGTGGTGGAATTGCGGCGGCGTGGAGCACGCCGTGCTGGCCATGCAGAGCATGGACGCCGACTTCACGTCGCGCCCATTCTCCCCGGCAGCACTACTCAGCCCCGACTATGTCAACGTCCTCAACGGTGAAGCTCAGAGCCACGTGGGCCAGCAAAGACAAAGACGACAAAGATCCCCCCCTCCCCCGTATAGCCTTTAACAGACTGTTGGGGCAAGCGCTGTTAGCGAGTAGGACCTATGATGGCTGGAATTGTGCACGAGGGGGTGTGCGGTCAGCACCATGCGCGGTCGCCTTTGTCTCCCCCGCACGATATACTCATTCAAGACCTAGTCGAGCTAGGGGAGGCCCAGGATGGGTTCAGATAATCGTCACTCGGTGTTAGCTGTGAGTGGGAATCAAACTCGGGTCGCCAGCTTCGTAGCGTGGTGCTCGAACCGCTGCTCCACGGCTCCCCTTACCCAATGCGTTGTGTGGCGCGTGTGCTGGTCCATACTCGGACCGCCTGCAGGAGCACTTGCCATCCTCTTTTCTACTGCACAGCCATGCCGTGGCCATGCCGAGCCAGCCCGGCGAGGCCCGGGAGGCACCACGTTTTTCCACTGCAGGACCCGAGCCGTGCCGTCACGAAATAACCGAGTCCAGACACGTGTAGACGATGCGGTGATGTCGTGTCCTCACATAGCGCTGACTGACGTCACACATGGCTAGGTTCTGGTTCGGCACGGCTTATAGCTGCTGGCTGTGAACTTGACAACCTGAATTCCCAGCCACGGCTTAACATCAGTGGCAGGTGATAACTAATCTGGTCCTGGGCACCCGACATCACCAATCTGTATTGACCAGCACGGTGGTTACACAAACCCCATGGCCTTTTTATTGTTTATCAATCATGATCAATCTTAGTTTATTGTCCTTCCCCCGTACCTCCAATTAACACAGTTGGCTATGTACGATGCGAAAGAAGGTCAACATACATACATTTCTACCGCTTCATACTGGGAACAGTTCATAATTCCAGTGCTCATTTAGTGAGCATTTTCATCATCAGTCATCGTCATCACGCTGAATGATTTTTGCCCGGTCTTAAGTCATTGTTAACTAAAATTAAAAAAGCGCTTGGTTGGCGAACGTTTTCGTCACTCCTCACCTTCAGGAAATTGACACCTGTTTTTACGACCTCCCGCAGGGCCCCCGCTGCACGCGATGGAATCCTGCCCCAAGGACGGCCCGTGTTCCCAGACCGCCAGCGTGTTCCACGGCATCGTGAACACGGCGAACTGCCACAGAGTGTACTTCCTACGATACCCTCCGCACACCTTCCGCCTCGCGCTGCTCTCCGGCAAGCCCGACACGGTGAGCCCTGTTTTCTCACCCGTCGCGCTTATTGTTTGGTCTCGCATAAGGCTGCCCACCAATCCCATGTTTTCCTAATCCGCATATTCCGTTTTGATCATGGCGCAGAAGTTCAAAGTGGGCCTCTTCTACCCAAAGGATTTGCGCTTCAGGGTGAGCGTGAACCATGGAACATGGACATCCACCACTGTGGGAAATAACATTTCCTGTTTGGACGGTAATGCCTCGGTTTTCTTTGCTGATCTCGCGCACGTACGCGACGAGTAACACTGTTTTACCATTGCAGGGTTTCAGTTTCAAATTTGCATTAAGTTTGTTACTGCGCGAGTCAGATCTACGTTGCCATGACCCTCCGATGTGCTGTCGGGTTGTGCCGCGTGTTGTTTGCGTGAGCAGTTAATCCGTGGGTGGGATTGAGGACACCACTGTGCCTTCCGAACAGTGGCCATGACAGTGGGGAGGGGATATTACGGGGAATAAATTCAGAGATGGGCAGTTATCTCGTAATAATTATTACTTATTTTCAAAGGAGAGCCTCAGTGAGTCCAAGGACTCGGTGAGGCTAATGCCCAATTATACTGAATGATATTTTTAGCTATCAAGGTGATGTGTAATGCTACTTCCGCATAGGTTTTGCGCGGTTGTACTGTCCAACTCTCCGACGTGTTTTAGAGTTGTACCGCACGTTGTATGGCACAGCGTCCGACGTTTCGCCTGGCACGCTCTTCAATAGCATGGATTCCATTCGTGAAGAAGCGTCCATGGGGCGGTTCTCTAGCACGAATGAGCTGCACTGCTTAGCCATGAGATCCGAATGGCTGTTTCGTGATGCCTATAGCAGCAAACGGGGAGAAGATTGCAGTGGGTATAATTGGAAAGAAAACGCTTTATAAGGAAGGAAAATCTCAGGATGTCTTGAGTAGCGCCTAAATGTGGAGGGGGAAACGGGAGGACCTGGACCACGGGAAGAACATGCAAACCTCCAGATATACAGGTGTCAGGGTCTGGATCGAACCCACGACCTCCTGTATCCCAGGCGAGGTATTTAACATCTCCTAGCCACCTTGTATGGTTGAATACATGACAGTGGTCTCAGAATTTGCCGTGAACTTACCCCGCAGCCGAACAGGGTTTCAACAACTACTACCGCATCCTCTACCTGAACCTCCACGCCGGCGATCTGGTGGATGTGCAAATCAGCAACACCGCCGGAATCTCCTTCACGGCCCGCAACACGACTGACGCGAATGCCCCCACCACCGCCAAAATTCGCAGAAGCGTGGCGGCCAAAACCAACTCGAGCGAAGACAAAATTGAAGTGATCATCGAAAAGCCTCAGGCAAGCCCCACGCCACACGGCAGCACCAGAGATGATGCTGCTGTAATTGATCATCATGGGCCAAGCTCACACTGCCGTATCATGTGGGCATAAGGGCTTCAATGGCAGACAGACAAGGATGTGACGAAGTCACACGTAGGAAGAGTGGACTAACTATTTAAACTAAACAATTTTTATTTTTGCCAGGTAAGGCCCACTGAGCTATATAGCTCTTTTTCAGAAGCGACCTGGCCACAAAATGATAGCTCAACAAAGTGGCTTATCACGTGGACATTTATAGCAGCCCAATACTCTAAACGCATGTTGATTGTAAATGTGAAGGGAAAAACCAGAGAACACGGAGAAAAATCCGCGCGACCATGGGGAGAACATGCAAACCTCCAGATACACAGGCGTCATGGTCAGAATCGAACCCATGACCTCCTGTATACCAGGTGAGGTAGTTAACATCTCACCATCGCAGATACCATTTTGTTAACATTGATCGATGGCTGTAGTACAGATGAGGGATTTGGGTTGGTGTGCAACCATCGCAACTGGGGAGACAAAGGCGGCCGGGCGTGGTGCTGGCCACCCACCTCTTGACTTGGGACTCTCGAGTGAGTAGAGATGGAGTGGGAAAAGCCGTGAGGAAGGTGTGGGGATGAGCTGACACTGGCAGCTTTATTGTCGAATGCGTTGTGCTGAACTTCCATTGCTGTTTCTGTGCTAGGCTCATCAGCGAAAGCGCCGAAGTACAACCGACGATCTGGACCCCATCATTTACATCGCAATCATCGCCGACATCAACAACGGGAACCTGGACGATGCCGCCTTGAACATTAATTCCAAAGCAGGTGGGCAGGGCGACAGCGAGGCATAGCGGCAGGGCTGTTTAGGGTCAGGCGAGTGTCATGCCACCTTGCTCGTAGGGCAGGCTGCTCTCTACTGCTATATAAAGTGGGGCACCACAGTGGCAAGATGTTATCTGCCTGGACTGATATGCAGGAGGTCGTGGGTTCGATCCTGACCCTGACGCCTGTATATTCGGAGTTTGCATTTTCTCTCTGTGGTCGCGTGGATTTTTCTCCGGGTCCTCCGGTTTTTCCCTCCACATGGAAAATCAACATGTGTTTAGAGTATTTGGCTGCTATAAATTTACACGTGGTAAGCCACTTCGTTGAGCTATCATTTGTGGCCAGATTGCTTCTTTAAATTCAATGGGCCTTCATTGGAAAAATACAAATTATAGTTAGGAGTAGTTTTATGACAATGAAATTATATTCGGATATTAATTATTGTCTAAACACATTATGCTGTACGTCAGGGGGAAATATTTAGTTTAAGCCAGAGGGCAAGATAATAACTGTAATTATAATATAAATAGTATGTCATGTGTACCTACGGTATATGCTGTGCAGAGTGCATACAATCCATAAACATTGTGAGTCCCAGTCCATGTGTTGGTAGAAAGGAAGCTTCTGTGAATATGTGGGTGACAAATAGGCCCACGTGCGGATGCGAAACAGCGTGCAAGAGTACACGGGTGCACGAGTGGTCAAATCCCTTTATGCCTCATATTCATGTCAGAATCAGAATATTTATGTATGCCAATGAGCTATACATGAGCTATAAATATATAAATATGAGCTATAAATATATTTTTCACAGGTGTCCAGTCGGGGCAGGTCAGAACATTTCAACAATATAAAAAAAAACTACAGGAGTGCAACGTGTAGGAACAGTAAACAAATTAAGTCACGTAGAAGGGAAACAATAAAATAATAAAATATATATCAAACAATTAAATTCTCACGACGTTTCGACTGATGATGACTGCATGTGACTGCTTGTGTTGCAGTCGAAACGTCGTGATAATTTTATTGTTTTATATTTGTATTATTTTATTGTTTCCCTTCTACGTGACTTCTTTACCGAAAGAACCAAGAATATGAATCACTGCAGTCACGAAAGCTTTAAATCAAAAGTAAACAAATCACTTCAAAAAGTATGCAAATAAACTCTTTTTTACACACTTTTATTATGTAACTCTGTCTGTAGTCGTATCCTCAACTCTGTTGTTGTTGTATCCTCAAATCTTGTAACTCAGTTTTAACCCACTTCCCAATGTGGCATCGACTGCAAACTTGGTATACATATGTCATACTGATGACAATACTATATTCTACCATTAAAATACAAATTTATATTTTTTAAACAATCTTTTTTATATTGTATGTTTCGGCTTGGGTCTATTTGTCCACGCTCAACTGACGTTGGCTGTAAATCACCACGGGTCCCTTACGTTGTGGCAAACCTCGGGGCCACTTCCTGGAGTCGTGGAGTTCTGCCATTACTCGTACGGTACATTTCATTAAAGCGTGTTTTAAAAAAAAGGTCTGTTTAAATATTACTTATTATCTTACCAGGTGAAGCCCACTGAGCTGTTCACTTACTTTTCAGAAGCGATCTAGCGACAAATGATAGCTCAACGAAGTAGTTTGCCATGTGGAAATTTATAGCAGCCAAATAAAATAGGACATTCAAACAAACAGACTGTTGGGGGGCAAGTGCTGTTAGAGAGTACCTATGAAGGCCGACACAGCACATGAGGGGGTGAGTGGCCTGCATCACGCCTGACCACCTTTGTCTGCCCAGTGGCGATGTTTACACACCAAAATAGGTACTGTACTAATTTGAGGCTGAGTCGACCTAGGGGAGGCCCCGGACCGGTTCAGATCATAGTTAGTGGTGTTGGTCATGAGCGGGAATCGAACTCGGGTCGCGGGATTTCGTATCGCAGCGTAGCGCTGGGCGCTACAAAAAGATCCCCCATATAGCCTAAACAGACTGTAGGGGCAAGTGCTGTTAGCGAGCTGGCCGCTACATCACACATTAACACATACACACCGAAGTAATGTTCGTCTCTGGAATAGGATTTTGCAGTGACAGAAGTGACTGAGTGTGGGAACCAAAATTAAGACACACGGGGTTACCCAATCGAACGTACTCCCCTCTAGTACCCGATTAGTACAGCTAAGATGCCTTGTAGTAACAGATACAATGCTGTTTGTGGGCTATATCAAAGTGGTAGGCCTGATTGAGCTGTGGGCCATGTGAGATTAAGTACAGTAGTGGTTATGTCCATTATAATTTTTAATGATGTGACATGACTGCACCCTGCATGCTGACTACAATGCTATACATAACCATCATAATCGTTATTTACGCGACTGCCATCAATCATCATCAACATAAACAGCTATTGCCACTCCCATTATCATGAGCCATCCCATTGCCATCATCATCATATGTTCTACCACTTCTATCATCATCATCATTGGCACCAAAATGGTAATGTTCGCAATATGTCTGCGTGATATTCACCGTCTCAGGTATACAACTTGGGTATCCGTTGTATACTGTATCAGGTGAATGATGTCAACCTTGACTTACAGATTCTCTGCACGGACGTGATTTTCAGGTATTTGCGATTTGCTCTCTCAGATGGTCGGTGATATAAAAGCTTCACTGTAAGTCGGTGGTGGTGCTGGCCCATAAATAGGAGGCCCTGGAGTAGAAATTATTTTTAGCCGCTCCTCCCATTTCAATTTATAAACCCGGAGTGCGATGACGGAAGAGAAATAGACGGGATAGAGATGTTGTAATAAGAGATACATTTAGAAACATTTAACATTTTGTGAAATGAAAGAAGAGAGATTCAATGGCTTTTTTCAAATTCTACGTTTGAAATTTGGATTTCAATTTGAGCCGATATTTAATTGATTCGTGTTTCATGAATCCGGGGCGCCTTGGGATGCTTGTGGCCCTAAGCTTTTACTTAATTTTCTTACAATGAAGTGTAAAAGTTAAATGATTAAACAAGGCTGCAGAACCTCACATATAGTTTGCTTATGCTGAGCGCAATGACTGCTGGAAATGAAACCATGGATCAAAAACACGATACATTAGTCCCTCGGTTAACGTTTTTAATCCGTTCCATGAAAACTACTGTTAACCGAAATAACTGTTAATCGACTTCACTTCTAAGTTGAAAAATAAGTAAAAATCACAGACTCTGCAAGAGAGCTGTTTCCACTGCCAAAACAGAAAACAATGTAAACAAAGCCAGTCGAGTTCTAAACACTCATAAATATCCGTCGTTGATTGGCTGAGGCATGCTCAGCCCCACTTACGAGCGCTCGGATTGGCCGAAATTGGCGCCCACGTGCATAACGTAAACATCGTGTTAATAAAAAAACTTTAACGTTAGTCAAAAACCACGGGGGTCTTATGGGAGGCGAAACGCTAACCGAAAAGCCGCTGACCGATGCCACTGTCAACTGAAGGACCTACTGTATTGATTTTGACTTTGTTCTTTCTTGTCCCCCGGATGTTGTCCGCGATAGATTTCGACGCGTACATCCTCGCCAGTAACCTCAGAGACAAGCTTACGGCCAGTGTGCTGAGTGGGCAACTGTCGGCTGACCTCGGCTTTGACCTCTCCAACATAAGCGTGGTTGATCCCCTGCCTGCTGTGGGCTCTCAAGACTGGACTGAGGTAGCTAAAAAACACTACTATAAAAAAACTATAAACTCTATATATTTTTAACCAGGTCTTCTTCTTCTTCGCCGCGTCTCCTGTCCAACCTATATGGTCTTTTCTCAATATTCTGCACAGGCCTCCGCTTCTGGTGTTGGCATTGCCAAATCTTGAGAAGTGCATTGTGGTGCTGCAGGGCATCTCAGGAGATGATCCATGGTTTTCTTCGCCTGACAAGCTCATTGGTCGGTTATGTAGAAGCGCCATGATTTCATGAAAGAGTTGCATTTTTTATTATAATTCTTTTTTTATTCCAGGTCAGGCACACTGAGCTATATAGCTCTTTTTCAGAAGCGACCTGGCCACAAATGATAGCTCAACGAAGTGGCTTATCAAGTGCAAATTTATAGCAGCTAAATACTCTTAACGCACGTTGATTCTAAATGTGGAGGGAAAAACCGGAGGACCCGGAGAATAATACACCCGACCACGGGGAGAAAATGCAAACTACAAGTATACAGCAGGCGTCAGGGTCGGGTCGAACCCACAACCTCCTGTATACCACGCGAGGTAGCTAACATTTCGCCACCTTGGCGCCCCAAGAACCTAGGTGTCTGAGCTTGTGTACGTGCTGATTAGGTTATGTTTATCTGCCACAAAATTAAGTTGTATAATCTTTCTTCAGCAGAAACATCTCACATTTGAAGCAAATGGGCAATCATGCCCCACCGTTCTTAAGAGAATCTAACCCCCAGGTGTACTTATTTCCATCCCCCCTCCACCACTGTATAGGTCACATATACGGACGTGATTTTTGAGTCGCCGTACATGTCATCCCTCTACGGCCTCAGGATCTTCTCGTTCCCAAAGAAGATGCTCGCCAGGAAGTCTTTCGTGGTCATGGTTCAGGCCATCGACAAAAACGTACGGCTCCATAATAAGCACTTGTCTCTCTTTTCAAAGAGGAGGCCTTGGTGGGTCGGAGGTCAAAGTGTTGAGCTGGCACTGCTGAGGTCCTGGCTTTGAATCCAGATTAAACTGGGTCCTCAGGTCCAGTTTGGCCAATGATCCTCAGCTCATTCACCAATAACTGCACAAGCACATCACTTAATTTGGCAAAATTTTTGCTCTGTGAAATGTAAATATCAGTTCCACTGTCGTGCGACAAACATTACTTTTATATGCACAATGGGTGAGAAAGTGCTCCCCTCAACTGTGTAGACCAAAAGTCAATTGAAGAAGGCACCTCTGAGATAGATTTGTGATATTCACTTCCGTGACCTCTTCTCTATCACAAATGGTTGCACTGCTCTGTGAGAGATACAAAATGTTTTAAATTCTGATTGATAAAGCTCACCTGTGGCTTAATGACAAGAACTTTGGCATAAACTACCATGAGGCCAAACCCACAATACAAACATGGGTCATTGCATTGGCTACGAAAAACCTATGTTTTAAATTATAGAAGTGGATTCTTCATGTTACGATATTAAGCTGAATTTACAATCGGGCAAAAAATAAATTTTTGTTTAAAAAGGAAAAGTGCGTGTCATGTACACGATTGTGGAATACAGAATCCGGTTTATTTTTTACAGCTCCAGTTAATGCACAACAGCACAAGCTTGCATTTAATGTTGAAAAATCTGACATATACTTGATGTTTTTATTTATGAATTTTTATTCCGTAACATGCTTACCTTTTTTGCTATTTTGCACTCCTGTCGTTTTTTCTTTGTATCGTTTGTTGTAAATTACCGACACCTGCCCCAAATGGACATCTGTGAAAAGGAGCGTCATGGCTCATCCGATTCCTCCAGTCTAAATAAAGATTCTTATTCTGCTTCTTCCAACCGTTAACCCCTCCTCCCCACGCCCCACGCACCCTAGAGCTTGTGCGTGAACGTGGGCGGGACATCCTGGACACTCACCGTCATTCTCAAGGATGCCAGGGGAAAGCCGGCAGAACTACTCCGTGGTCACCCGACCATCAACTTCAGAGGCTGCTGGGGAAACTACACTGACTTGCAGATCACAACCACAGGCACGATTCCTCTATTGCAGCCGCTTATGCAAACACAAAGCCCCATTCAGCCTGCAAGAGAATATACATAATAGGGCAGGGGGTAGAGAACGTTTAAAACAAAAACAAAAATCTTTACCAGGTAAAGTCCACTGGGCTATATATCTCTTTTTGAGAAGCGACCTGGCCACAAATGATAGCTCAATGAAGTGGCTTATCATGTGGAAATATATAGCAGCCAAATAATCTAAGTGCATGTTTCTAAATGTGGAGAGAAACACTGGTGGATCTTGGGAAAAATCTATACAACCATGGGGAGAACATGCAAACCCCAAATATACAGGCGTCAGGATCAGGATTGAACCGACGACCTCTTGCATCCCAGGCAAGGGAGATAACATCTCGCTACGCTTACAAACGCAAAGCCCCATTCAGCCTGCAAGAGAATGTAGGGCAGGGGTAGAGAACATTTATGATAATTGATAACCGAACAGGACTTTCAAATACTTTTCGCAGGCAAGTAACTACTTGCGGTAGTGGATTGACAAATGGGCTGTAGAGTATTCATTAATTTATAATTTCGATTAACATTAGCTCCCCAACGTGTCTTTGTATTGTTACCGCGCTGTGTATGGCGTGGTGTCCACATCGTGGGAGCTTCTGCAGGTACTGAATAGTTCAGCACGTGGAGCTAAAAGTTGGACAATACGGCGATCAATGCCTGAAAAGACTGCAGGAAAACTTTTTACAAGGTTGCACTCACTACACACAAAGTGCTTTCTACAAATGAACCACAATACCTTGCTGTTCTCGGCAAGGAACATAACCCAGCATGCGAACTTCGGTCATCCTCGTAGCAGCGGCTTTTAGTGAACCATCGAACACAGCTACCGCGTCACGTGCTTTCAGATGAGCTTTTGCAGCCGTCTGGAACGCTCTTCCTATATTAAGAAGTCACTGGAGCTATGCACTTTTAAATCTAGATTGAAAACTAATTTCTTTAGAACTGCTTTTTGTGTTTAGTTTGTTGTCCTACTGCACCTCCAATTGGCACAGTTGGCTACATACGGCGCGGAAAAAGTTCAACATACATAATACAGCGCAACCGCGAGAACCTACACTATTCCTTCACCGTTCTTCTCACCGCTCCCCAACCGCTACTCCTCAACCCTTACCCCTTGCTCCCTCCTGTCAATCACCCTATAGGCGCTGGCTTTGTGATGCAGTTTATTATCAACCAGAACACCCAGTACCAGGTGAGTACCAACCCCTTCTCGGTGGAGGAGGAGCGTGCCTCGCTTGCCAAGAATGTGCTGTCGATCATCGTGGGCGGCATCCTCGGGGCGTTGGTGTTCATAGCCGTGGGCACTGGAGGCTTCTTCTGTCACAAAAAAAGTAAGGCTTCAGATCAGGATTTGATAATTACACGTATAGTTTTTGGCGCTGGCTTAAATACCTCGCAACCCAAAGCACATCACATCCCATCTCAACCATTCTAAAGCTGTGCCACTGCAATCTATCTTAAGGGAACCCCCGCTGGCACCCGTCCCTGTGTGGCACAAAGCAAACGGACTAATTGCTATTAGTCCGCCTGTAATGCGCTGATGTTACTAAGTGGCTCTTGGCGATGAAGTAATTTGCGAGTAAATTTCGATGTAAAGCTTTCGTGACTGCAGGGATTCATCTTCTTGGTTCTTTCGGTAAAGTCATGTAGAATGGAAATAAAATAATAAAAATAAAACATAATAAAATTCTCACGACGTTTCGGCCACAACACAAGTAGCCTTCTTCAGGTGAAGAAACAGGTCTGTCCAGAAGACAGGGCTTGAGTGAACACTTGTCAGGCAAGGACCGCGTCTTTTCAGCTGTGTGGGCGGAGTTAACATATGAATTAGCATGTTACTCAGCCCCACCTCCGGAGCAGAGGAGGGTGGCGGCTGGGCACAGAAAACAGCAGAACAGCGAAGGACAGAGCAGCGCACCTTAGCTGTTCTGCCAAGAAGATAATTTGCGAGTAATTTGATCAAATTTCGCAAAAATTGGACCACGATTCCAGCGCACATGGCTTACTCTATTTTTTAATAACGTCACGGGATCTCAAACATCCACTGTCAAGCAGCTGGCACGTGTCTACGGTTAACACACCGGCAGTGTTAACCGGGGCGGCCACTTCGCTCGAACCACACATCTCTGCAATGAGTGGCGAACAAGCTGCCTCTCAGCTGGGTGGTGGTATTCTCTCTGGTTATTCTTGTTGCCTGTGTCCAGTGCGTCCTTGAAAGCACGTGGGTAGAGATACCGAGCCCCGAATTTATCGGAGGGGTTTTCTTTGGGGTGATCCATAAAAAATATTCACACGATCTGACCCGAAGAGCAATTATGAATTCCACCGACTTGTTGCGTATGAATATTGTTTTTGCGCATATTTATCATTTGCTCCACTTTGGTTGCCGCATTTAGTTGAAGTTTTTCAATCACCTCTAGTCCTTCACCGCCGGTTGTTATAACTCCGTTGGCGGTCAATCTCAGATGGCTTATACATTCACCAGGTGTGCGTATAAACCAGGTACCATGAGACATTAGTGCAAGGCGCCTCAAAAATAAATGCAAATTATGATTACGTGTAAATCCTCTTATGTGTATTTATCCGACCGCAACTGTTCCTATCTGCACGTAGCATGACGGATTTTCCACCACATCTGGGTCACTCTCCTTATCTGTGGATAAGTGTGGATATTAGGAAGAATCGAAAGGCAAATATAATTTTTCTGCAAATTTATTACAGGGTTGTGTAAATAGGAACAGCGGATAATGGGACAATAAACAGAGGTTTCAGTGTGCATGAATCGTGAATGACCAATTTATACACGCACGGTGCAATGCATGTATCGCCAGGTTAAGGATCAGTGCATTGTCACACACCTGTTAGTGGGGCGCTGTGGCTCCGCGCTGGTAAGATGTTAACTACCTCACCGGGGATACAGGAGGTCGTGGTTTCGATCCTGACCCCGACAATGATCAACTACGGCCGACGAATTCGTTCTGCTGTGTTTCAAAACTGATTTGTGCTCGCGAATTCGGTCAGAAATATGTCGTTTCGTCTCCCCGATATAGCAGTCACCGCAGATACAACTCAATTTGTAAACACCGGGGTACTGTAAGTCAGGGATGACATCCTTTACGGATGGGATCAGATCACGGATTTTGTGTACTGTATTGAATCGAACCTGGATCTTGTGTTTGTTTAGAATTTTGGAAATCTTTTTTCGTCAGCCGTAGCTGATCATTGTCTCAACACAGCGGGTTCTCATGAGATTGTTTTCTCCGATACCAAAGTACTATGCAAACCTCCCGGTTATTACCAAATATTTGTCCATGAAGCCATCCAGATATACAAACATAGACAACTTCAACCGAGAGGATGGTTTTAAATTAAGCAACCACTGGAAAGATGTCATAAACCAAGTCAAAACTTTGGATACCTTATAAGCGCACATCATATTTTTTTCGAATTTTTCCATTTTTGTTTCCATTTTTTCCATTGCCCCCGTGCACTGACCCACCGCATCCCCCGCACCCTCAACATAACAAAAGACGGATTAACTTAGCCCCGCACCCCATCAATGTCTCCTACTTGGCTCCTCCCCCCCCCCTTAACCTGTATTTAAGCTCGAGGCTCTCAGAGCCTCCCCACTTGATGCAGCGATCTTGCTGTGACTGTTCCACCTGAAGACGGAAGCTTGTGTTGCCTCCGAAACGTCGTGATTTAATTGTTTTATTTTATTTTACCTACGTGACTTTACCGAAAAAACCAAAGAGTATGAATCCTTGCAGTCACGAAAGCTTCAAATCTATAATTATTTGTCTTTTGTCAACGTGACACATTTTTATTGATTGGCCGTGTCGGGTGGTGGAGGGTTGCAACACATTTATAAATAACGTGATCTAACCCAAAAATCTTTATTATGTATATTTGGAGTTTGCATGTTCTCCCCATGCTTGCGTGTAATTTCGATTATTTTGCTACTATACATTTTTTAAGCCACTTCGCTGATCTATCATTTTGTGGCCAGGTCGAGTCTGAAAAAGAGCTATATAGCTCAGTGGGTCTTACCTGGTAAAATAAAAACATAGTTTAGTATTGGTTGCAGCGCCCATATAAGTGCTATGTGTGTGGTGTGTGCGCGCGTGTTCACACAGGAAACATACAAGAAATCGACAAACCACCCATGATGTGATGCTGCGGAAGCAATGCTGCTACGCAGACATACCAAGCCTCTTTGCTATTCGCTGTGTGACACTCCGCAACCACAAAATATCAACTTCATTATTTTCGTTTCCACATTTTTCAGTTATCAGAGCAGAGGGGTTGTGTGATATGGTCATCGAACGGAGGCATGCTTTGACAACTAAATGTATCTTTACGATCGCCGTTTTTTCTTACTGATGTAATGCTTGCATGCCGTTACATCGACATGTTTGTGAGGCTATTTTAACGACTGATAATTAATGCAGCGGGCACACATCATCTCTTGATTCCAATGCAGGAGAATCTTGAGAAGCCTTTGTCGATGCTGATACTCCGTATAGGCAGTTGGTGCACAGGCACAAATAACAACAACAACGAAAACTCGTCGCATTCGTCGGAAACACTGTGCCCTCTAACGAAAAAAAGTGTACAATAGACGACAATTCGGGCAGTGGCCATTCATCACAGCACATAGTGAAACCTCTCTACGCACTGTGAAGAAGGGAACTGTTATTGATGCAATGCGTTAAGTTTTTGGATTATCTTGAGATGCATTGAGGTACTGTGTGAATCAAACGTGTCATTTGTGCCTGTAAGTGCTTTCACATCAGGGGTGGGGAAGCCGACGGGACTTCAATCCACATGGTCAGTGGCCACATGCAGCGAACCACATCGCAAGGGCCCAGGACTGATATCTTTTTTTTTTGGTCCCTGCGAGCATCTTAAATGCACATTTTGGGTGTTTGAGGGGAATATTTTAAAATCTGGCAACAACGCCGCATTTCTCTTTAACGATATTCTAAAATCACCTCAGGGGGCCTCTTGCAGTGGCAGAAGAGACTTAAGGTGTGTGTTATGGGGAGCCGGTGGCTACGAACCCATCGCCACGAGTTCAATTCCTGCTCACGGCCAACACCGGCGATGATTATCTGAACTAGTCATGGGCCTCCCCGAGATCAACTCGGCCTCAAATGACTACCTTGGTGCAGTGTGTGAACATCGCCACCGGGGAGAGAAAGGCGGCCGGGCTTGGTGCTGGTCAACCACCTCCTGGTGTGCCGTGACAGCCTACAAAAGGTGCTCGCTAACAGCCCTCGCCCCAGTTGTCTGTTATGATTTATACGGGGGATCTTTGTCTCGTGTTAATGTGTGGCTGGTTGCCCACCAAAGGTGTTTGTTTGCAAGTCCTATTCGGCCCTCGGTCAGTATAAAAAGCTTCCCCGCCCCTGGCTGACGTGAACACGACGCAGATATGGATTTTTGAGCATTCATGCACGAGCACTCGTGTACTCTTGTGCACTGTTTCATCCACATCCACAGAAGCTTCCTTTCTTCCACAAACACGTGGAATGGTACTTAAGAGGAGATATATGGATTGTATGCACTCTGCAGAGCATATACCATATGTACGCATGAAATACAATTTATATTATAATTAGTTATTGCAGTCTGAATTTTAAAAACATGTCTTTAAAAATATATTGCATCTTATGTATCGTGTAATTTGATTATACAATGCATACTATCCTTAGTAACGTTTATTGTGTTCATTTATAAGGAACTTAGAGGGCAGGCCGTCCTATCAATGGGGTTACAATGACACTCACCTGACACTTAAACCCTTATCGGATGTTCATCCACTCACCTTACACTGCTCACCAGTCATCAGCTCACCTGGACATCACCACTTACCAGCTTATACAAGACGGTGAAGATGTTCGTGGAGATTCAATGACTTATCGACAACCCCACAATGCCCCAACTCCACATTGCCACGCGCCTATTCGTAGTAGGATTTGGAAATGGGGATTGCTGCACCTGAAGAGGAGACTTGGACTGGTGGTATTTCAACTTCTTTGTTTCTGTTGTCACCGCTCGTACACCACAGCAACACTAATCATCCAACCAACACCATTCCCTCGTTCCACAGTCCCTTTTAAATGTCTTCTCCGCCCTTCTCCACCAATGACCCTTCTCCCATATCTCCCTCTTCCACGATCTGCTCTGCGCACCAATCCCATCAGCGTGTCATCCACCCTACCCATCGGATTGCGCGCCGTGCACGTCAGTGCTCACACCCCTGATCTATTCCTTTGCCTGAGCGTGCCGCGTGTGTGTCAAGACGTGAATTACCCCTGGCCTCCGACCCTTTCCAGGTGCATCAACCCGTGATGTGTGTGTGGCGTGTGATGTCGAGTTCGGAAGGTATTGCGTGTTGTTTGCGTGGTTGCGGGTATGTTAGGATGGGTGAGACATCCTCTACACACGCATTGCTGCCGTTGTAAATAATATAATGGATCAGCAGTGTTGGAGCCGATAAGCTGAATTGAAAGGTCACAGGTTATTTTACATTTGCATTAATTAGACCGTCACATAAGCTACATATCGCAGGCAATTGAATGACTCGTTTATTGAAGTCTGTGGAGCGGTCTAGGAGGCCTTCTCCAGACTTTCACAGATTAGTTGCTGATTGTAGTAGAGTGGAGTAAGAGGCCTACGTGTGGTAAAATGCCTTTTTTGGTCCTGGTATTCACGTGTGGTTCTCCGTCGAGTTGCAGGTAACCTCTCAACGAGGGCGCCAATCTGCACCTCAACCTAATAATGGCTGATCACACAATTTCTGACAGCACCAGGACAACACGTGGCCTTTAACCCCACGTAGGTCTCTTACCCCCCCCACCTTACCCTCCATAGAGTCAATCAATATGTCATCGGGGCCAGAGCCGTTGATGCCACCGTGCCTCGCCAATGCTTTCTTATTACCCCATCCCAGATCCTGCAGCTGGGACCTCCCAAGATCTCCCCTAACAATTATCCCACCATCTTCATCTTGGTCGCTGAACGCGTGGAGTCGACCATTCCAATGCCTGTCTTAGTAGTCAGCCCTCCTTACATCTTACACACACGTGGGCCCACCCAGTGCAATATTTGGTTGCCTCATCATATCTACAATACTTACCTGGTATGCCCTCCTGTCTTGCTAGACATTTGTATCATTTATTTCAGACACGTTTGTCCAAATACCAACTATTTTTTTTTACTTTCACAGCACTCGCATCTCAAATAACCTTTTCTTTAAACTAATAGTTACCACCCGATATTAGGAAGCCACTGTAGCTATGCACTTTTTAATCTATATTGAAAACTCATTTCTTTAGAACTTTCCTATCTCCCACACCTCCGATGAGCAAGGTTGGCTATGTACGATGCGAAATAAGTTCAACATACATAACATCTGATCCAAAGTGTGCTTTCCAGAGTCCATGAAAAAAATCTGCCCTACTTGGCATCCTTCTCACAGCCACCTGCATTACCCACCTTAACCATTTCCTATCGGGACTTGCGATCCTACCACAACAGCCCTGTGCCCTAACTTTGTGTGAAGAAAGTTGATCTCAAGTCGTCAGTGCCTGGCCTCAGTGCCTAAGACCGCCAACAACTGCACGGCTCCAAACAAAGTCCTCGGCAACAAAGCTGCGTCACCTGCATACTCCAAGTCCCGCACATTCATCTCATCTGTATTGTTGCTAACTGGGTGTTCTTTACTGTGCTAACCCCATTCACAGTGTTAGTGATTAGACAGTCAAGCACAACATTACACATGGGAGAAATGCATATGACATTCTGTCCGTGCACAGGCCTGAGTTCCGTCATACACGTTTTTAAGCAGTCCGCTTATTTTATCTGGGATGGCATAACAGCCCAGATCTTTACCGTTAGAAATGCAGCTTGGTATTCGTACGTTGATTAATTATAAAAGAACATATTCTGATCCCGAGATGCTTAAAATATGTTGTGTTTAATCTACGATTAAGTGGGAATATAACGTTTAAATTAAGGATGCATAATACGATCAATGTATGGCACACAAAACAAACAAGGGCATGGGTTTGCCAACTGTTCAAACCACAAAAAGGTGACATAAATTGATTTAGTTTGATCAACAAGAGTGTAGCTGAGTAGTACATGTCAGCATAATTACATAGACAATGTGAACATTAAAACAGACTGGTATGATAATACATTACTGAGCAGATAAAAAGTGTGCAATTTGTTGTAAAGCAATACTCATCTCTTGAAAAGGCATTGCCAATTTATAATGTTCAGTTAAAAGCCAATACAATTATTCATCCGAGTGGGTTTCTTCATTCATATTTGACTATACCCTAATACACATTTCACATTTTAAAAGACTGTAACCATCTCAAGATTGCTGGCATCACTAATCGGATTTTGCAAGTCTAAATAAAGATTGTGATTCAAGATCGAAGCGTAATCGCGGTCCAAAGCTGTTGATACCACTACGCCTCGCCAGCGCTCCTTGGCCTCCTTCCGCCAGATCCCACAACCGCCGCAGTCGACACGCGGGGACCTCCAAGATCTGCCTCGACTGGTTCCCACCCATCTGCCTCTTTCGTCTTCCCTTTGGTCGCCGGTCTCAGGCAGACCACTCCACTTCCAATCTCGGCGATCGGCCATCCCAACAAACCCTGGACATGTCCCAACCGGTCCTTTTTGTTTGTTCCCTAATCATCTGCGATAAAATGCCGTGTGATTTTATACATCGTCGTAGGTAACTGCGTGGATTTATTTTGCATGAATTTGAAGTGCAACCTGCATGCTTTTATCACTCGGAGGGAATAAGTCCCAGGGATTGATCAGAGGATTTGAATCAGGATGGGAATGCGCGCAAGTGGTTTGGGACACAGGATATTAAATATGGATTTAAAGCTTTCGTGACTGCAAGGATCCATACTCTTTGGTTCTATTGGGTAAAGTCACGTAGGTAAAAAAAAAAAAAAAAAATCACGACGTTTCGGCCACAACACAAGCGGCCTTCATCAGGTTAAGGGACGAGACTGGAGGACAGCGCTGGAGTGAAAAAAGCCACGCTCAGATCACGACCTTTAAGCTGTGTGAGAAGAATCTAAATTATATGCTAATTCCTTTGTCAAGGCGCTTTGTTTCTTCTCACACAGCTTAAAGGTCGTGATCTGAGCGTGGCTTTTTTCACTCCAGCGCTGTCCTCCAGACAGTCTCGTCCCTTCACCTGATGAAGGCCGCTTGTGTTGTGGCCGAAACGTCGTGATTTTTGTTATTTTATTTTTTTACCTACGTGACTTTACCCAATAGAACCAAAGAGTATATTAAATATGGTTTCAGCAGTTACTGAGGAGGAAAGACTGGAACTGCAAATGAGGGGTTACATATTTGAGTTTTCAGATCAACATGACCGTGTACAATTAAAGCTGGATACAAGCACACTTGGCATTGGCAGCAAGGCGAGGTGTGCTTCTATCCGAAGTAGTGCACTTGTATCAAAAGTTCCCTGCCACCAGTGTGTTGCTTATATCAGAACTGTGCTTATATCAGGTGCTCATAAATACAAATTCCGCTGTATTGTGCAGTTATTGTATTGACTAAATCTCAGAATGTTGTATTTAAAAAAGAATGTTTTTGCCAAGGTTTTATTTCCATGTGATGGACATTTATCTGGAGTAGGATGTGTGGCCTAAGAGGCTGTTCAGGGGTTATAGCACTGCCATGTGAGAGTTTTGGATGCATACCTGTCAACCCCTCGTCAGTGCCTCCTACCTTATTACAGACCAATTCAGACCTTATTGGTCGCCCCCGTGCCCCTTATACATCTCAACGTTCATCCTACAAAGTACCATCGTAAGGGAGAAACACAAACAAATAGACTAAACATTTTTTTTACCTGTGTTGAAACAGTTGTACGCCATCTGGATCTTAAAACTCAATTTCCTTGTACAAGAATACGGGTGTAAACCGTATGGGTTGACACGGTATGTGAATGGATAGGTCATCTCATGCTAACACCACTCACATGACACAATCGGAACATAAAATATACATATTTTCAAAATTGTGCATTAAGGTTTAAATTATTTTTTTTTTATTGTCCATGTGGCAATCTACGGAGAGATGTAAACTATACAGTGAGACCTGGTATATGATAGATTCCAAGGGACAGGGGTCATGTTTAAACAGTATATATGTGCGAAAAATAAACACCGTCAAAATGTAGAGGATCACAACACATCCTCAACTAAATGATGAATTGGTTAAAACACAAATTGAAAGAAATAACTTAAAACACTAAAATATATCCCAGGGCAGCATCAATATTGAATATACATTCCTTACGGAAGCTAAATCTTTTATCGTACAAAAAATAAATGTACGTCGAACATTTTCTCGCAGCACAAGAGCGAAATGTCGGAAAAATAGATGCGCAGTTGAATATTTATAATCTGTGCAGTTTTAAAGTAGTGTAGCAAAACGTGTTGCTTTGGTGCATGCATACTTTTTTTGCACGTGCAGCCGTGTTATCTACCGCTGGATGAGGCCCCCCCCCCACGCTGTTGTGGGTCGTGTGGGGGAGGAGGGGGGGCATTATTTGACCACGCTTCAACATGTCGGTCAGTGCAGGGCGGTGACGGCGGGGTTGCATAGCTGTGGGAGCACAGAAGTAGAGTCCAACAGTGGCTTTTACTGCCCTGGCCTCGACTGCCCACCACAACGTAGCGCCGCAGCCTATAACACCTGTCACGGGGTTGTCACACGCGAGGGACGGGTTGGGGAGGGGGGGAACCCGGGGGGAGGTGGGGGGTGAGGGCTAGTGGGGGGGGGGGGGGTGTTGGGGCTAGTGGGGGGAGGGGTATTTGGGTTAGTGGGGGGGTGTTGGGGCTAGTGGTGGTGGGGGGTGTTGGGGCTAGTAGGGGGGGGGGTGTTGGGGGCGAGTGGGGAGGGGTATTTGGGCTAGTGGGTGGTGTTAGGGTTAGTGGGGGGGGGGTGTTATGGCTAGTGGGGAGGGGTATTTGGGTTAGTGGGGGGGTGTTGGGGCTAGTGGTGGTGGGGCTTATGTCGTTCAACGACGGTACTTCCACCAGATTATTATAAAATATAAAAACACGCACACATTCTTGCTTTCCCATCAGTGATTAGAACCAGCGTGGAGTTTACTCTAAGGGTAGTGTCGGGTAGTGTAGCAAAGTGAAAGTATAATCATTTCAACTTATAACGCACCACCCCACATCGCTCCTTCACTCTCAGAGACAGAGATGTGTCAACGAGAAAATAATGGAGAATCCACACCGATATTATTGCGTATGGCTAAATGAATAACAACCTAATAGAGAGATATATCCACGTTTGGAAGCCAAACGATGACTTCGGGTGAGGCGAAATGAATTGCCGCTGCAGCCCCACTGAATTCCAGAAAGAAAATAAATTAAATAATAGAATACGACGTTTCGATTGCAACACAAGCGGTCGTCATCAGGTGAGAATGCATTTGAGAGAGAGACAAAACACAGACACGGAGACACACAGACAGACACGCAAGCAGAGAGAGACAACACAGAGACACACACAGAGGTGTGTCTCTCTCTGTGTGTCTCTGTGTTGTCTCTCTCTGCTTGCGTGTCTGTCTGTGTGTCTCCATGTCTGTGTTTTGTCTCTCTCTCAAATTCACTCTCTCTAATTTAGTTCTACCTGATGACGACTGCTTGTGTTGCAATCGAAACGTCGTATTCTATTATTTAGTTTATTTTCTCCCCACGTGACTTTACCAAAAGAACCAAAGAGTAATTCCTGCAGTCACGAAAGCTTCCAATCAAGTTTGAATTCCAGAAGTTTGCAGTGGTTCTCTACGGTTTGGTCAGGTTTCCCGTAGTCGCATTCCAGACCTTCCTTTGATTTGCCACTGATGAAAGTGGCGACCGGAATACTGAAGACCGCTGAGGGAAAGACAACGAATGTTATTTTGGTTGCTTTTGTATAATACACCGTTTACCAGTAACACTGGCAGAGGTAAGCATCACTTGCTCAGATATGAACACGTCTGTACACATTGAATCTGTTCCAACCTAATTCTGCCAGTCGCAGATTTTCTATTCCTTGGTTTTCACGGCCATATTTTCCAAGACCATAGTTCAGACTAAAATAGTAGAATAAGCAATGCACAGCAGCTCTTATTTGGCCTTAGATAAAAAAAAATCAAACATGGCCCAGGTGTTTGGGTGGCTCCGAGGTCAGAAGCGCTGAGCTGCCATGGCTGAGAACTGATGTTTTTAAATTCATATATGGGTGTATGTAACGAGTTGACGTCATCTCTGCAGCTGCGAGTGCCCACTACATTCACTTACGGTCCTTTGACAATCCACCGCTAGATGAAGACCTACCCAATGGGTTTGTGTAACCGAACTTAACCGTATTGGTGGGTGTGGGTTTGTGAAGGGGAGACCAGAACCAGTTCAGATATCGCTCGCCACCGATGGCTGGAAATCGAACTCACGTTCAAAGCATAGTGTGCTAACCACAGTGCCACCGCTCCACCGCCACTACTTTAACGACAATGTAAAAAAAAATCACAATGGCGGTGAAGCATTACGCTTGCTGCAAATGTACTGTGTAAATTTGATCATTGGTGTTGATAGGCAATCCAGAGTATCATTTTCTTGATGTACCTCAACATTGACTTGGCTTGGCCCTCTTGAACGAATACTTCTGGTCGCTCTTCGCCACTGTGAGAAAAGCTTTGTCTTTGAGAATCATCGCGTGAAAGTCAGCGCACCCCATGTCAAAGTTCAGCGTCACAAGAAGCTCACTCTTGATCAGCTCTATCGAACACCTGTTACGGATGTCGTTCCACTTGCTGTGAATCAGAGGCAGTATGCGCTCGACGTATCCCGTGGTCGCGGGCACACTCAGCAGGAACGACAGCAAAGAGAGCAAGTTTGGAAGTGCGTCGGCGCCGGCCGTTTGAAATATGCTTTGCCACTTGCTCGAGGTGCTCTTCAACTTCCATTCCTTGGTTTTCTGGAGCTCGTCGAGAACCGCCTTGAACGCTGTAAACTCGAGAAAGAGCGCGTCCATGTCCAACTGCAGCCTCTCGATCAGACTGAGGCGACGAGCAACCTCGCCCAGATCGGCGAAGGACAGCTCGTAAGCACCGTGCAGGGCGAGTGGCTGCAGAGAAGAAAGCCAATTTTCCTCGGAAAACCAAAACCATTTTTGAAGATGAGCGACGGCGCAGGTTAGGAAGGCCTTAAATTCACTTCTGGCCCTGACTGCTTCCGATGGGGGCAGCCCGGCCAACTTCCTCTTGGTTATGTAACCAAACAGTTCATCTTCCATCCTTTGGTTGAGTTTCCCTTTTAGGCTGGTCATTAACTGGTAAATTTCCAGGATTGTGACGTCACATCTCTCAAGTTTCTTGACGACGTCTTCAAAGACGCCGAGAGTGTTATTACAAAAGAGAAGATACACTTCCACTGAGTCTTGCCTGTCGTCGGCCTCAACCGCGTCTCCATTTGTTGGAGGGTGCAGGACCTTCCGGATCTGCTTGGGACATTCGTCACCAATGCCGTTTAACTCTGACTTGATGGCCGGCCAGTTTTGTAATGTTTTTGATATGGCAGGATTCAGGCAAACCCACTTGTTTGTGGAATTCCGGAGTATTTCTCTCCACTGCGTATCCAGAAAATCAAAAAATTCCTTCAGCGACTCTGACCGTGTTGCGCACACCGCAAAGAAACCGCATACCTTGTGAATTACGTTTTCAATGTCCACGGAAAGTTCATCCATGGCATGTCTAATGGCGTTGTGCACGATGTGAGCGTGGCAGTTTACTTGTAGCAGATGCTCGTGGTTCCTATGCAGATCCGTGAACAGGGAATGATGAACCGCAGAATTAAAGTTTGTCATATCTGCACTAAAAGCCGAGACCAAGTCGACAGACAGCCCCAAATTGCCGAGCGATGTTGTAATAGAGTTTTTCACACTTGCGGTCGATGTGTCTGGATTTTCTATGAAGTCGATCATTCTGTTTACCATGCCATGCTGAGGGGTGAAGAACTGGACGGCTATGGGAAACGATTTGCGATTTCCTTTGCTCGCGGCGTCCGTCTGAATTGCAAATGGAAACGGATGCTGCCCTTCCCTGCATAGGGCGTTTAAAATGTGACTCACAGCTTTAGGAGCTAGGACGTCTTTCACGAGACTCTCGGCCTTTGTCCTGCCGCACGAAATCTTCTTGCTCGTGCACAAATCGCCAAACTTGATGCCACAGCCCATGCTGTTATAACTCAGGTTGTGTCGAACGGTGTGATACACGTTTGCCAGCTCAGCCGCAGTGACCTTGGAGAGGGAAAAATAAACAATGGTTAAATTACACTTCCTTTTTTTATTTTAGATTAAAAAACGTTTCTGAGATTAGGCTTTTTTTTTGCTGATTTCTTTTTGTTTACCCAAATGTGTGAGATTTTATGTCGGCCCACACCCAATGTTTTTAAGTTTTCTGCTTTATGTACGAGCACATGTGTTCAGCACGTTGTCAATCCACTACTGGATGAGGGCCTCCCCACACAGTCCAGCTTATGGGGGTTCTTTAACCATATTCACCAAGCTGGTCAATGCAAGTCGGTGAAGGTGGGGAGCATAGACCAGTACAACAATGTGTTTTGCTATACCGCATTCTACTAACAACATAATTCCTGCAACAGTCTCCAATCACTATCCAGGCTCAATATTTGATTAGCTTCTGAGATCTGACGAGATTGGTGACACATTGCGGGTGATTTTGGTCATAGGTGTTAAGGGGTCGTGATGTGGGTATGGCCCCCGAATGGGAGAACATTAGTTATTGTGGCTTGGACACATTCTTAGAGGCGAAAGATTGATGAAGGAAGATCTGGAAGGTAGGATGCTAGCGATGACGCTGCGATGATCCAGACAAGTCCATCGATGTGGATTGGGAACATTCTCAGATGTGAAGGCTTGATGAAAGAAGTTTCGTAAGGGTCTTAGGAAAGAGGCCAAGAGGCAGAACAAGAGAGATGCTGCTTGACACCTCGAAGGAAGAAAGCCTCGAGATGGTCGGACAATGATTGAAGGAGTCCCGAGCCAAAGACTTGCCATTTGGCAGAGTGCTAAAGGGAGCGGGATTACAAGCGAGCGTACCTTGTCTGCCTCGACAGATTTGTCGACGGCAACCTTCGCAAGCTTGGGCCGTGCGACTTTACGCTCGGATCTTTGCATGTTGCGGATGTGCATCTCCCCAGCCGCGTGCTGCTTCAGATCGTAGGCCCCGCCGTGGCACACGGAGATGTCCTTTCTGCAGATCTTGCACCTCGCTCTGAAGCAATCGCCGTGGACTTTGCCGAGCCACGGGTACTCCTCTTCCCACACGTCGCGGTATTTCTGCATCCGCTTGCTCTTCTTCTTGGGAGGAGTGGGCGCCTCTTCCGTCTCCATGGCTGGTGCAGACGACGAGACTGGACTTGGCTCGTCCTCTGTGTGACCCGACGGCGACCCCGTAGCGTGACCTTCTATATATGTAGAGGGGGGGGGGGGGGGTGGGCAATCCAAAGACAAGGGGGGAGAGATACAGTCAGTGTACTGTGGTTGTGGTTATGACTTGGAGATGGTAGAGTACTCTGTGCAACTGTACTCAGTATATTGAGTTGTGATTACGTGGGTATGGTAATGTGCGTGCTGCCTCTACTCAATATACTGCAGTTGTGGTTGTGATGACGCGGGGACAGCAGAGCACCGTGCCTGCTGTCTGTACTTAGTGTGCTGTGGATGTGACGTGGAGACAGCAGAGCACCGTGCCTGCTGTCTGTACTCAGTGTGTGCTGTGGCTGTGACGTGGGGACAGCAGAGCACCGTGCCTGCTGTCTGTACTCAGTGTGTGCTGTGGTTGTGACGTGGGGACAGCAGAGCACCGTGCCTGCTGTCTGTACTCAGTGTGTGCTGTGGTTGTGATGTGGGGACAGCAGAGCACCGTGCCTGCTGTCTGTACTCAGTGTGTGCTGTGGTTGTGACGTGGAGACAGCAGAGCACCGTGCCTGCTGTCTGTACTCAGTGTGTGCTGTGGTTGTGACGTGGAGACAGCAGAGCACCGTGCCTGCTGTCTGTACTCAGTGTGTGCTGTGGTTGTGACGTGGAGACAGCAGAGCACCGTGCCTGCTGTCTGTACTCAGTGTGTGCTGTGGTTGTGACGTGGAGACAGCAGAGCACCGTGCCTGCTGTCTGTACTCAGTGTGTTGTGGATGTGACGTGGGGACAGCAGAGCACCGTGCCTGCTGTCTGTACTCAGTGTGTGCTGTGGTTGTGACGTGGAGACAGCAGAGCACCGTGCCTGCTGTCTGTACTCAGTGTGCTGTGGTTGTGACGTGGGGACAGCAGAGCACCGTGCCTGCTGTCTGTACTCAGTGTGCTGTGGTTGTGACGTGGGGACAGCAGAGCACCGTGCCTGCTGTCTGTACTCAGTGTGTGCTGTGGTTGTGACGTGGAGACATCAGAGCACCGTGCCTGCTGTCTGTACTCAGTGTGTGCTGTGGCTGTGACGTGGGGACAGCAGAGCACAGTGCCTGCTGTCTGTACTCAGTGTGTGCTGTGGTTGTGACGTGGGACAGCAGAGCACCGTGCCTGCTGCCTGTACTCAGTGTGCTGTGGATGTGACGTGGGGACAGCCGAGCACCGTGCCTGCTGTCTGTACTCAGTGTGTGCTGCGGCTCTGGATGTGACGTCGGGCACTAATGAGTTACAGTAGTGCGTACGCACACGCGAGAGAAGGTGGATTGCGCGCAGAAGAAAAAAAATCACCGCTCTTCTCACCTCTCAACTCTGCCATGGAAGCCTCCACCCCTCCTCCCCTTCCCTCCCTCCCTGCCGCTGCTGCTTCCGCCGTGTCAGCGTCAACACCCGGCACGGAGCGGCTCCGACCGCGGTGGAGCCTGGAGCCTCCCTGTTGCGGGTCCAATATTCACCGTTGTCATCATCATCGTCGTCATCAGCACCGCCGTCGTCATCATCATCATCGTCATCATCGTCGTCGTCATCATCACCGCCGTCGTCGTCGTCATCATCGTCGTCGTCATCATCACCGCCGTCGTCATCATCGTCGTGGTCGTCATCATCACCGCCGTCGTCATCATCGTCGTCGTCGTCATCATCACCGCCGTCGTCATCATCATCATCGTCGTCGGTTATAAGACGCTCCGCAAAAAATAAAGACGCACATCGCACCAGGTACTCATTTGAGCTTGAGTCGAACTAAGGTAGGCCTATGACCGGTTCAGATAATCGTCATCAGTATACCCACGTGCCAGATTATAAGACGCAACCCATAATGCTGTGCGCCCGGTGTTAATAAAGTTCCACAAATCTTGTCACAGACAAACACGCGCCCCATAGCTCCACCAACGTTCGCTTTAAAGCACAGTACAGAGGAGGAGAAGGTGCGTCTTATAATCCGGAGATTACGGTGCCGAATCTTTTGAAATTCCACTTGCCACGTTACATGTCAGAGCAGGGAAGCACGTGTCCTGTCGTAATTGTACTCTAGCAAAATACTGTGATTTTTCTTTGGATGGAGAGCGGTGGCGCCACAGTTGTTAGTGGGCACTGCACTTTGAGCACGAGCCACCCGATTTCAATTCCCGGCTCCAGCCAACATCAGTGGCGCGCCTTCTAGTGACATCCGGACCGGTCACTGACTCCGGCAACCCATTCACTAATCCGCAATGACCAGCGTGGTGAAGTATGGTTTAAAAAAATAAACTGTGACCTACGTGAATTGAGAAAAAGGCTCAAAATAATGCTTGTTTCTATACTGCGTTGACAGTTTTGGAACGTTTGTTAAGACGTATACAAATATGGTTATCATTAAGGCATGATATGTGGACGTGTATTTTAACTCAATATAAAGACGCACCTTGTTTTTCAACGTTTTTATTAAGACAAACGTTGGGTGTTACGTCGTGTGATCCGGTAGGTGTGTAAACGTGCGATCAGATTTGTAGAAATGTATTGGCACAAGGGAAAAAAAACCCAGCGTTGGAGGCGCGTCTTACTTTGCGGAGCGTCTTATAATCCAGAGAATACGGTAACGCACTGAAAAACATGCAATTATTGATCGATAAACATCGATGTTTACGCTCACCGTTGCACGGAATGTTGCGTGCAAGAACACATGTTAGATGTATGCTGATGTATGTAACCTTCCCCAATTTAAGGCGGCGAGAAGGGACCGCACTTTGCAAACGATCCGTACAGAAGTAACGGCCCGTCAACCCAGAATGAGACTATACTGGAGGAATCCAATGAGCTATAAAGTTGTTTTTGACAGATGTCCAGTCGGGGGAGGTCAGAACGTTACATCAACAAACAATACAGAAACACGGTAGGAGTGCGAAGTATAGGAAAGGTAAACAAATAACTTTTTAAAAAACATTCAAATAAAACTAAACTATTTTTGATCTTACCAGGTAAAGCCCACGGAGTTAATAGCTTCTTTTTCAGAAGCGACCTGGCCACACGTGATAGCTCAACATGTGGAAATGTATAACAGAAAAAAATACGTAAAAAAATCTAAACGCATGTTTATAAATGTGGAAGTTTTTTTTTTGAAACAAAATTCACCACGTTGGTCTGGATTTTGCATTGCCCTTTGCTGCTGTACTCCTTCTGCTGTTAATAGACTGCCATCTGCTGCCCATGGGCTACACTACCACCTGGAGAATAAAATGATGCACTGCCAGAAGGTCGTATGGCATATGGCTTGTGAAATAAATACTTTTGGAGGTTTTTGTGTGTGTGTAGACAGATATATGAAGGATGCATGGTCTGATTTGTCTGGAGAGCTTGGTGGAGTCTGGAAACGGAACGGGGGAGGCGGATCCTGACCCGCCCCTACTGGACATCTTTGAAAAAAGAGCTTTATAGCTCATCGGATTCCTCCAGTATAAATCGATATTCTGATTCTGAAGACGGAAGGAGGCTGGGCCTGGAGAAGTGGGCGGGGGCTTAAAAGAAAGAGGAGGTGGAGCATGGAGGAGGTGGAGAATTGATGAGGTGGAACATGCAGGAGGTAGAGGAGTGGTTCTTAACCTGAGGTGCACGCACCCCCTGGGGGTGAGAGATGCCCTTTCTGAGAATCAAAGCAGTGAAGGCTGCAGTAAAGGTTAAGAATCACTGAGGTAGAGGATTGAAGAGGTGGATTATAGAGGCGGTGGAGCATGGAGGAGGTGGAGCATTGAGGAGGTGTATTATAGAGGTGGAGCAAAGGAGGAGGTGGATTATGGAGGAGGTGGAGCTTTGAAGTGGTGGATCATTGAAGAGGTGGATTATAGAGGAGGTAGAGCATTGAGGAGGTGGAGCTTTGAGGAGGTGGAGCATGGAGGAGATGGGGCTTTGAGGAGGTGGAGCATTGAAGAGGTGGATTACAGAGGAGGTAGAGCATTGAGGAGGTGGAGCTTTGAGGAGGTGGAGCATGGAGGAGGTGGAGCTTTGAGGAGGTGGAGCATTGAAGAGGTGGATTATAGAGGAGGTAGAGCATTGAGGAGGTGGAGCTTTGAGGAGGTGGAGCATGGAGGAGGTGGAGCTTTGAGGAGGTGGAGCATTGAAGAGTTGGATTATAGTGTAGGTGGAGAATTGAGGTGGATTATAGAGGAGGTGGAGCATGGAGGAGGTGGAGCTTTGAGGAGGTGGAGCATTGAAGAGGTGCATTATAGAGGAGGTGGATAATTGAGGTGAATTATAGAGGAGGTGGAGCATGGAGGAGGTGGAGCTTTGAGGAGGTGGAGCATTGAAGAGTTGGATTCTAGAGGAGGTGGAGAATTGAGGTGGATTATAGAGGAGGTGGAGCATGGAGGAGGTGGAGCATGGAGGAGGTGGAGCTTTGAGGAGTCTGGGGGGAGGAGGAAGAGGCGGAAGAGGGGGAGTCTGAAGGAGTCTGGAGGAGGAGCGTGGAGCGAGGAGGAAGAGCGAGAGGACGCGCCCAGCGAGCTCATCAGCCATGGACGAACACGGCTCCCTCTGCTACGACAAGCACAGAGTCAGGCAGCCGGCATGCCGTCGCGGCTTATGACACGCTCGCCGGAGGATCCTTCGCCCCTAGAAGAAACCGCAAATTTAAACTCAAAACATAAAAATAAGAATCGCAACGTCGCTTTAAGCGTTAGCGGGCGGGGGGGCAGATAGTCGGGCCTAGCGCGCGCTTTACGGCCGTAACCGAAGCCTCGTGCTTGCCTAGCGAGACAGCCGGTGGAATGGAGCCTCTCGCCGGCGGGGTTTAGCCGGCTCCCCCGGCCTCTCCCCCAACTCCCTACACCCCCCCTCTTCCCCACCACCCATAATCACCGTCAACCCATAACTATGTGATGTGCGGGCGAGGGTGTACGTAGGCAGCGGCGGGGCTTGTGGAGCCGTCTCGTGTTGTCGAGGGTGGCGCAAGCGATCGAGTGGAGCGGAAGAGATTTTAAGCGACGGGTCTAGTAGGGGAAGGGCATTTGTTGTTGAGCAGCATGGGTTGCCGTGGGCAGGGCCGCCGCGGCCCGTGTAGCCCATCTCCCCCTCGGATTTCGACCGGTGCCAATGGATAAAGTGTCAACCCCTCACTCATCTATACATAACCATCCGTGCTGCGTGCTCATTTTTGTTGTTGGTTTTTTGGGGCTTTGTATTTTGTGCGAATTGGCGTTTCATTTAAGAGGTGGTGGGGGGGGGGCAGTTTGGGTTTTTTTGTTTTTATTGTCAGGTCGGTCCGTCGTCGTGTGGTTCATTCCACCGAGTTTTTTTTTTTGGGGGGGTCGGTCCTGTACGTGGTACATGTAACGACTGTGCTGTTGTCATTCGCATGTGGCCTTAACCCTGGGCGGTTGGCCCACACACACTACTACTACTACTATATCGTGGGAGGTCGGGGGTGAGATGCAGGTGGCATGTATTGGCGCTGCCAAACATCTGGGCCGCACTGCTTTTGCTATGCGATTCTTCGCTGGAGGGGTTTGATCGGGCAAAGTGCAGTGCTCCCCAACTTTTAAAAGTCACCCTCTGCGCACACTTTCCTTTGCGCCTGCTCTTGTTTGAATTCACAAACAAATACATAGCGGTGGTGGTGGTGGTGGGGGGGAGGGAGGTTGCGGAGGAGTTGGGGGGCGTTAGTGAGTGAGAGGGGTTGATCATCAAAAAAGAGGGGGGCGACTTTTATTTTCTCCATCGACAACGGAAGAGCAAAATTAGAATCGAGGGCCCCTTCGCCATATGACAGGACAGGGCCACAGACGAGAGGAAGGGCCGCTGAGGGAGGGAACGCAAAATAAAAACAAGAGTGAAGAATTATAAGACAAGAGGAGGGCGACTTCGACGGGAGGGAGGGCAGCAATGGGGGACCCACAGTCCCGCCGCCACCACGCTCTCGGTCGCTTGCGGTCACAGCTGAGGCGCAAGAGGGAATCCCTCGCCGACCAATTTGACTTCAAGATGTACATCGCCTTCGTATTCAGAGATAAGGTGCGAACTCACCTGCCCGCAGGATGCCCCCCCCCCAGCCTTGTGGGAAAGAGGAATGCTTTGCGAATACTGGAACGTGCAAGGACATCGCGGCGTGTGTGACACGTATACGCCCCAGAGCGATTAACTGCCCACGACCTGTGCGGTTTTTTTTGTTGGCATGGTGTAAATTGTAATTTTATATAAGCGGTCACAAATCTCGCCCTTTTCGCATACAGTAAAGTATTTTTGTTATCTCACTATTTACTTCTATCTTACGGTAAAGCATTTCTTCATTTCTTAAAGCAGTTTCCACTTGACCAGTGAACTATTTGGACTAAATGTAAACCGTACTTTTCTATAGATTTCCCAATTCAAGCGAGTATGCTAGGCAATGTTGTACTTTACAAAACTGGTTACTTATAAAGACGTAGTTTCATCTTGGAAGCTAGTCTCATCTTGGAAGCAAAACATGGCTTCTTTACTGCTTCGTATAAAGCCAATGGCGTTTTTTACTCCAAGGCCGAACTTCGGTTTTGTCAATGGGTATTTGTTCATTATTTTGGATGTAGATCCACTATGGCGAATACAGTACATTAAAACATTAGTTATCAAGGACTCCTCAAAGCAAAACCCAATTTTATACTGGCATTGTTAACCATGCATGTTCATGAAAACATTTCCTTGGCATCTTTTTCTGTTGTGATCTACAGAGGAAGAGGCCGGCGCTGTTTGAGGCCGGCGAAGTGATGCCGGTGATGACCAACAACTATGAGGAGCTGATCTTGAAGGGTGTGCGACAGGCCGACTACTCGCTGCAGAGCTCCCTAGAGCTGCTGAGCAAGGATGTGGTGCAGCTACACGCACCACGCTATCAGTCACTGCGACGTGTACGTCCACGTGTCATCTTGATGTACAGCTGTGTCTGCAACAGCTTGTGTTAACATTTCTATGTAATGTGTAAATTCACCTCGGTGTTTATCAAAAACGCTAGGAAGATTAAGGATCCGCAGGCGGAATGTGGCCCATGACTTTCATAGGAACAAGAAGCCTCATGAGGTCCAACAGTTCTAAATGGCCTGTAAGTCTTCTTCGTGTCCTGTCCAACCTATATAGTTTTTTTCTCAATATTCTGCACAGGCCACCGCTTTTGGTGTTGGCATTGCCAAATCTTTAGGAGTGCATTGTGGTGCTGCAGGGCATCTCAGGAGATAATCCATGGTTTGCTTCTGATAAGCACATTGTTCGGTTGCGCAAGTGATTGTCACTTACTGCAACCATCTTAGCCGCACTAATCGGATACTAGAGTGGTTCTTTTTCGGACTAGCAAAACTGATTCTGATTTTATCAGTCACTTGCAAAGGTGGGCCCTAATATTGTTTAGATTTCCAAATAATACAAAGGTGCATGTTAATGTGTGGCCTCGCCACAAGGTATTTATAAGTACTATTTGGCTTTCGTTATGGGAAGTGTTCCTCGCCCTTTCTCAAACAACGTTTCTATGTGCGAATATAGATGTACCTGCATTTATTTGTACTACATACTCTGGTTCTTTCGGTAAAGTCACGTAGATAGAAAATTAATAGATCACAACGTTTCGATCGCAACACAAGCAACCGTCATGAGGTGAAACAAACACAGCAGGAGAACTGCTGACGTACATAGTTCCCTAACCTCTAATTCTGCAAATCTGAACTAAAGTTTTATGTTCCTAAACATGATGGTTCATTTTTTATTTAAAGCTTTCGTGACTGCAGTAATTCATATTCTTAGTTTTTTCGGTAAAGTCACGTTGAAGAGAAACAAAATAATAAAATATATTGTATTATTTTGTTGTTTCTCTTCAACGTGACTTTACCGAAAAAACTAAGAATATGATGGTTCATCTCAAATGATCAGAAACTATCTGGTACACACTGCAAAACTACTTTAGTAATCGACTCAATTGTGTTGCTTATTTTTGCTGCCATTTTTCATCACTATTTCCATCTACTGTATTTTATAACCATAGTTTTTGTCAGCAACCTTTCTATGTTTCAATCACCATTCTGAATTGAAAAAGGTGGAACAGTGTTGCAGTGGTTGGTGTACCGTCCAATGAACCCGGTGATCTGAGTTATCTTGCTGGCCAGGACTAATACGAGCAGCGAGGGTTATCCAGACTCAGACTTTATTTCAGCTGGTAAGGCCCATTTTGATTAACTGTTTTTACAAGGAAAACCACAGCCCAAGACCATCAGCAGTGGTGGCAGTTCCAGGACATTGCAGCGTGGGAATGTCCTAACAAGAGCAAAAACAATTATTTTCACAAAAAAACGCCAGAATGTAATGAAAACAAGATAAACAATGAATATTGCTTAAAAAGGAATAAAAAAACTTTCAAAATATCCCATGACAAGTGTAAATAAGCCTTATCTATATTGATCTTCGGCCATTTTCACCAATCCGCACTAACAAAGCGGTCAACCTAACTGGAGTGATTTTGGCATTGTTATTATGTTCCATTTGCAGGATGTGATCGGCAATGTGCAGGATATGGATTTCTTTCTATGGCCACGCAAGGATATAGAGAAGGTGGTTTGCCTCCTCTTTTCTCGCTGGAAGGGCTCAGACGATCCATATAAGCTTATTCAAGTGAGTCCATCCCTCATACCACACATCTAATCTCAAGCAAGATAGAGCTTTCTGCAATTAGTAATATGGGGTAACATTTGCTAACAGTAATCATTGGTGGCTTTGTCATGTCTACTAGATACTGATAAAATACTTCATGTCGAGGTGAGGGTGACAGTCTTTTCGTTTGAGGGACTTTACTTGAAATGTTGCTTCAAAAGGTTGGTCAACTAATCCAACATTTTAAAAAGTGTAATCTTTTGGTTATTTCAGATATTTTAATCATGACATTCAGAATGCTGTTCCTTCCAAAGGTATTATTACTGCATTAAGATTTGAAGTTGTATTTTGGTCAATGTACTCTAAAGCAAACCTTTAAAGTGTATGTTAGTGACCAGATTTCTATTGCTTTAATGGCACCGGGCACAAGTTTACAGTTTGGCTTACTTTCCTGATTATCTTATAATCCACAGAAAACAGAAATTAATAATGGCCCATTTTATTATCCTTTGTATTTTGTGTGTTATGCTCCTGCTGAGAATGCTTAATTCTGTAATTGATGTGCAGGCCGAGTTTGAGTTTGACTACCAGGACTACGAACAGCAGCTGGTGCGGTTGCTTGGCCAAAAGGACAAGGCGGGTCTCGTTGTCAACAATGACACGGAGTCGATGTTCTTGTTCGTGCGCCGGCACGGACTCCCAGTGAGTGGGAACTATTTTTTAATTTGTTTATGATTTTACGCTATATGTGCGGTTTTATTCTAATTGTGCTATCACATCAGAGGGCCCTTAAAGTGACCTTTCGCATGTACTCTCGTGCCCTCCACAGAGATGTTTGGCATATAGCAGTTAAACTGGTATTTCACAATTGATTTTAATATTGTTAATTAAGCCACCGATGACCTGGCTGAAAACGTCAACGGGAACTGCATTTGATAACTGGGTTTAATCACGGGTGGCTACCTGGTATCAAACCCATGTTCTCAGCGCTGCTAGCTCAGTGCTCTGACCACTGAGCCATTTGGCCACCCTGACCAAAATTAGTTTAAAGCAGTTCAATAAACAGCCACCTCTATATTCTGAACATAAATTACATGGAAGAAATCTTTGTAACAATTAAAAGACACCGAAGGCTGAACACAATGTATTAATATACAGTATGCGTGGAACTTTAGCTGTCGCTACACATTGAGTACCCTATCTCACATTAGCACTAAATATGACGCCTCTCTGTCTGTGTGCAGAGACTAAAATTAGCTAACTGACCATGGGGTGCTGAGCAGACGGATTATTTTTACCCAGCGAAAATCTCTGGCAGCTCCAAGTGTGTCCAAGGATATCGCACACTGATGCCTAAAGAACATTTATCTGCCTGGATATTTTCATGAGTACAAGTTTATCTGGACTGTGTATGTTACATTGCAACACATTTTATCCTCGGCAAGTCCGATGACATCGGGAATAGTCTTCGAACATTGAGTAAGCTAAAAATGCAAGAGCGTCAGGGATTGCCCAAGCACCCTCTGCAACTCTTGACTTCCTGTACTGTGGTTGCATGTGCGTCAATTCCAGAGTCAGAAGGGCATGACTACGTCCGTGTTCAAGCTGTGCAGCATCTGCCTGTACTTGCCGCAAGACCAGCTCACCCACTGGGGAGTGGGCAGTGTGGATGACCACCTGAAGCCCTACCTCCCTGATTAAAGCCTCTCCGCACTCACACTTAAACCCATCGATTGCTCTAATAGTGGGCGAGCTCTGGGGCGTGGCGCAGAGTTCTGTACTCGATGGGTTCACGTTGTATGCGCGTGTGCGTGTTGAGCCAGTTGAGATCGGAGCAGCACAACTTTTTAATTTGATTTGCTCCAAATGGTAAACATTGGAAGCTGCCGTAAGGGCCTTCCCATAGCCAATGTGACAGCATTCCGACTTATGCAGTGCGGTCAGTCTGTAGTGTTAAGACTTCCCCTCGACCCCTCGTACTGATCAACCCTGCCTTTCCAATGCATCCCTTTGTTTCCACGTTTTTGTGTGCACACTTGAGTTTCACTCCTCCCTTATTAAATAAGATAGGTGAGTGTTTTAGGCCAGTAAAGCCATGTTTCCATGTGCAGACTTTCAAAAGTACATTGGGCAGCACAGATATTGTTGACCCAATCTAAGGGCAATTATTTGCCGTCTGCTCCATTCCAGCTAACTTTAGGGACCCAGATTGCAGGTCCCAACATTAAAGTGAAATGCTGGTGTAATTTATTGAGCACCAGTCTGCACTAAAGGATTTAACATTTAAATGCAGTCAAACTGGACCCCACATCTCACCTGTTTGCACATGGAACTGGGATTTATGCAACGTGTGAAAGATATCCCAAAACCGCTACTACAGTAGAGCCTCGGCTCAAACTGAGTTTAACTATTTTGTAAGCATTTTAAATGAAAACCTCAAATTGATGCATATAACAACAGCTTGATCTGTGCATTTTTTGTAAGCAGGTAATAAAGTCCGCACTTTTTCCATTACCTATAATTGAACAAATACAAATAGAAATGTGTTGTGAAATACTGAGGTTCTATTGTAGTGGTTGTGGGTATTTTGGTAGGTGGGTGTGCATTGTGGAGTTCCACCAAATGTTATGGAATGGGAGTCTGACCTGCGTCGGACTGAATTTTGTTAGCTTCAGGTTAAATAGCTAGGAAACGCAGATGACAACTAAAATGCGAATCCATGTTGCTACAGTACATGCATCTCGTGCACGGTGCATTGCTGCACTTGATTTTGTTTTTAAGCGTGTTGAGCGCAACTTGCCGCACAGGATGGAATATTGAGGCAGACTAGAGAATGGAAAACTGTTGCCACAAAGTGCATATGTCATGCAGAAGCATTTCATGGTGTTGGTCGACTTCCAAGGTCTTTTCAGGGCCTCGTGGAGGGGGAAAGAAAATTTTCTCTAGGCCGCAAAAGATAGCCCCAGGCTTCAGACATGATGGCCTCACGACAGGCCTGTGGATGTTGGAATGAGTGGGCCCCATGTAGCGTTCTGTCGTCTCCGGGAACCTCGGTGGCCCTGGGTCTCCTCAACTGATTTGAACTCCTCAGGAGTGATTAATTTCCATCTCGATTTGTTCTTCATCTAAATCTGTAAAACAGTTGTCACGCTGTGCATCTGCTAGTGAACACCAAAATATTAACGTCTTAATGTAGAATTTCATTTACCTGCGGTGTGGTTGAAATTTTATTTGTGCTTTTAAGCATACTTGTGGCACGGGGTTTGATTCTTTGGGCCGATTAGATTTTAAGTTTAATTTTCTTGTGTTTTAGTTTGATATTTTTTAAGTTTGGGATTTTTTTTTCCTTCTCGGTACAGCTCTCACGACAGGGCTTGTCAGAATGCTAAAGCCTGTATGCAGAGCGGGATTCAAAACTAGAACGCATACACAGGCAAGCTTGAGGCTTAATATACATGATACACCTGCTTTAAAAAGCATATTTTTAAGTAGGGATCCCAATTTCTGTGTAACGTTTGCACTATGGTTATGGGCACTGCATCGTCATGTCACAGTCCATTTAACCACCGCATAATCCAGCAAAGGCCCCTCTGTGGTACTTAGGTTGGGATAATGAACATACTTTTTTGTTAAAACGCTTGAGAGCTCGAAATGTGAAAGAGCCAGTATTGCCAGTTGAAATGCCTCACCATGGTCATGCTAACACTGGTATACAAAACACCATTGTTAAAATCTCGGCAACATTCAAATCAATGGTAAAACATGTAAAATAATTTACACTTGATATTATGTTGCTATGATTGTAACAGCTGTTGTGCATTGATTAATTTGTTGTCATTTTATAATTTAAATTGTTGCCGTTACAATGTTCCAATCTTAAAATTCAGATTTGTTCCGTTGCGCGTGTAATGTGTGTGCTTGCTTAAATGCGTTTGATTTGCTTGCATTTGTATGACAAAAGGCTCTTGAGACAAATAAAGGTGAGAAGATTATCCCTTGCAGGAAAAATTACACCTTACCGTTCCATTGCATCCCTTGTATCACTAATTTAAGACCATTATACAAAAGTTACTATTGTATGTGCATCATCTGATGGTAATTAGATTGTTAGCGTTGACTGCATCACTATAGGGCCACGCAGTGTCGAATTGGCAAGCAGTTTCTACTGGTCAAGTATTCAGAACCTAATTGAGAAGACGATAATGAATTAAACAGTGATGTCTAATTCCCTTTGTAGTTTACTGCTGCAAACAGTTTATTCTGAATGTAGGAACGTCGCACCTGCTATTGTGTTTACAGTGTCCCAATCTTAAAATCGGATTTTTTTCCAATGTGTTTGTGTTGTATGTACAGTGTGTATGTTGAACTTCTTTTGCACCGTACTTAGCCAACCGTGCAATTCGGAGGTGCGATTAGATTGTCTGTGCTTATTCGGATGTGCTTGATTTGCATGGCAAAAGGCTATTCATGAGACAACTGTTGAACAGTGGTGGGGAACATTCAAAGTCCAAGAATGCATCCGAGAAGGGAATCAGACCCTGGCGATTCTTGCTGTGAGGCGTTATTACTCCCACCACTGCTGCCCTAATTCGGATATGTTACCGAGCTATGTTATGACAATGGCTATGTTATGCCGTGGGTCCGACGCAATTACAAAGCACAAACACCAGCCGACAGTGAAGCAACAGACAAATTGGACCACTGACACTCGAGAGTAGTAAATACGACAGTGTATTTAGAAAAACGTCAAAATTCCCCTCCCCATAAATGTTGCTTTTGTATTGTGCAGCCGCTTCGTGTTTAGTCCGGGTTGACGTCGAAGAGGCGACGTCTAAGAGGCGACGTTGTGGGCGGCCACCTCGTCGCGGGGGGCCACGAAGTCGCGCACGTTGGGCAGCCCCTGCACCACGCAGCAGCTGAGCGCGCTGCGGTAAATGCTCATGTCGCTGACGTCGAACCAGCGGCCCTCGTCACGATCGTAGCACTCCGAGTTGAAGGTGGTGGTGAAGCCGTTGAAGCCGCCCACGGCGTAGACCACGCCGTCCACGACCTCGATGCCAAAGTTGCTGCGCGGTTGGTTCATCTCCGGCAGCGGGCTCCACGAGTCGGTGGCCGGGGTGTACTCCTCGGCGCTGCGCAAGCGGTTTGTGCCGTCGAATCCACCCACCTGCCCCCCCCCCCAACGCACAGGCACACAGCCACACAGCAAGTGAGTGATATATACATAGATTCTCTATAATAGATATGTGACATACAGATACAAAGATCACCTGTGTCGCCTGACCAGAGTTTTTGGGCAAGTGCTATTAGCGAGCGCCTATGAAGGACGGCTCGACACCATGAGAGGGTGGGTGGTTACTCCCAGCCCACCTTTGTCTCCCCAGTAGCGATGTTTACACAACGCACCAGGTACTTATTGGAGGCTGAGTAGATATAGGGGAGTAACCAGGACTGGTTCAGATAATCGTCATATATATACACATGCAAACAGACATTTGCACAGAGACATGTATGTACAAAAACGCACGCACAAAGATTACCCTGTAGCCCTAACAAACTGTTCTTATTAAGCTTGTTTACCAAGGAAAGCCTCGCTGTGTTATAAGACTGTTTCAGGAGGGTCCTGCCAAGTTTTCATGGGCACGCGGTGGTGGGGGGCGAAGTTGCGTTGAGTCATTTTTCAACATTGGGATGTGAGGCCAAAACCAATTAAATTTCATGGAGTTTTTTATTTATTTAAGCTATGGAAGGAAACCGGATCACCCGGAGGAAACCCATGCAGAGCAGGGGCAGGACGTACAAACTCCACGCACAAAATGCGCCCGAGTCGGGAATCGAAACCCAGGCACTGCCTCCACCCTGCCGTGCTCGTAAGAGTCCCGTGGCATCTTGCGGTCCGGCCTACTCACAGCGCACACGCGGTCTCCGCAGGCGATCACTCCGATGCCGCTGCGCCGCACAGTCATGGGGGAGAAGAGGGTCCATGCGTTGGTCTCGGGGCAGTAGTGCTCAGCCGTGAAGAGGCATTCGTTGCCATTGAATCCCCCACAGATGTAAACCTGTCGTCACGCGCACACGCGTACGCACCGGTGTTACCGACAACTCCAGATGCTATTGTTCTTGCTCATGAATCCAGCAATGTGTTCAGAAGCTAAATGTCAATGTCGAGGTCTGCAAGCCACGATGAGAGGGCTTTCAAGAGAGGGTTTTGTGTGGTTTTGCTATTTCTCCTCCTCTGTTGATGGATAGTAGACTAAAGTGGTTCACTAATGGTCCATGCTTTGTGTTGCGTGGCCACAATCGCAACACTGTGGCTTGCATCTTTAATTTTCCAGTCATGAAGGAGATGCGTGCATCGGCTTGTTGATGTTCTGATGCAGTTGTTGGTTACATCAGGAGGGAAAGTCAAAGCCAGGAGGTGTGATTTTTGGGTCTCAATGAGGTGTTTATTCTGGACATCCACGTTGTTCCACTCTGTTGGAGTGTGAGAGTGGAGGTTGTGCGTAGGGGGTGAGAGTGGAGTGTTAATAGTGAAGTATGAGTGGAAGGTCAGGGTAAAGGTTGAGAGTGGAAAGTGAGAGTGGAGTGGTGAGAGTTGACTGGGAAAGTGGAGTGTATGAAGGTGACAGAGGAGTGTGAGAGTCACGTGTGAGGGTTGAGTGTGAGAGAGGAGGGTGAGGGCGGAACCGAGTGGAACATGTGAGTGGAGTGTGAGTGTGGAGGGTGAGAGCGGAACGTGAGAGTGGAGTGTGAGGGTTGAGTGTGAGAGAGGAGGGTGAGAGTGGAGTGTGAGGGTTGAGTGTGAGAGAGGAGGGTGAGAGTGGAGTGTAAGGGTTGAGTGTGAGTGTGGAGGGTGAGAGTGGAACGTGAGAGTGTAGGATGGGAGTGGAGTGTGAGAGAGGAAGGTGAAAGCGGAACCTAGAGTAGAACGTGTGAGTGTGGAGGGTGAGAGTGTAGGATGGGAGTGGAGGGTGAGAATAGGGGACTGCCGTTCCTCACCCTGCCGCCCAGGGCCGTGGCGCTTGCGTCGCTGCGCATCGCGTTCATGGTGGCGATCATGCTCCACTGGTTGCTCTCGGGCTCGTAGCGCTCGGCGCTGCTGAGGCGCGCGTAGCCGTCGAAGCCGCCCATGGCGTAGAGCGCCCCCCCCAGCACGGCCACGCTCACGTAGCAGCGGCGCTCGTGCATGGGGGCCACCTGTCTCCACGCTCCGCTCGCCGGCTCGAGGCGCAGCACGCCGTTGAAGTAGTCCGCGCTGTCGAAGCCCCCCACCACGTACACGTGGGGGCGCAGGAAGGCGGTGCCGTGGTAGGCGCGGGGGCTGAACTCGTGCTCGGGGGTCACATTGCGCCAGGAGTCGGAGCGCGCGTCGAACGCCTCCACGGCGTTGGTGGGGCTGCTGGCGCTCCAGCCCCCCACGGCGAAGAGCACGGAGGAGGGCAGGCGCGGGCGCCGGAGCGCGGGCCCGTCCGCCGCCAGCAGGGCCTGCACGGTACCACAGATCGCTTCCCGGCAGTCGACGCGATCCCTGATCCGCTCAAATTGGTCCAGGTGGCCGAGAAAGACGTCGAGTCTCATGAGGGACAAGCGCAGCTGCGGGGGCAGAAAGGGGAGATGCGGCACACGCGTGAGATAAATTTATAAGGAGAAGGAAACACGAATGAATGACTAAATGGATGGATGATCTTCAGCCAATCAAACTTTATTCAATATAGCGCCCTGCACAATAGCATCGTCACAGGGCACTGAACATGTTAACATAAGATTACATTATTAAAAGAGTTTGTGAGTCTGTATGTATCTGTGTGTGTCTGTCTTCATCTTGTATGCATCTGAGTATGCGTGTCTGTATGTTTGTCCGTCTGTCTTTGTGTGAATATATCTGTGTGTATATGTGATTCTTAGTGTGTGAGAGCCTGTGTATCTGTAAGTCTCTGTCTATATATGTGAAGTTTAAATTTCGATTTAAAGCTTTCGTGACTGCAGGGATTCATATTCTTGGTTCTTTCGGTAAAGTCACGTAGAAGGGAAATAAAAAAATAAAACATTAAATAAAATTATCACGACGTTTCGGCCATAACGCAAGCAGCCGTCCTCAGGTGAAGAACAGAGCTGTCGGAAAGACAGCGTCCTAATTATTTTATTATTTCCCTTCTACGTGACTTTACCGAAAGAACCAAGAATATGTGCAGTTTGTCTTTTGCACCTGTCGACATCTTTGGACACCTGTATCTGTGTGCATGCCTGTATTTGCGTCTCTGCGCGAGTCTCGATGTCTCTGCACATCTGTCCCGTGTCCCTGTATCTGCAACTGCCTCTCTGTGTGCACCTCTGTGTCTCGGCACATCTGCCCGTGTCTCTGTTTGTATCCGCATCTGCCCGTGCCTCTGTCTTTGCGCGGGTGCCCGTGTGTCTCTGCGAGCGTGCCCGTGTGTCTCTGCGAGCGTGCCCGTGTGTTTCTGCGAGCGTGCCCGTGTGTCTCTGCGAGCGTGCCCGTGTGTCTCTGCGAGCGTGCCCGTGTGTCTCTGCGAGCGTGCCCGTGTGTCTCTGCGAGCGTGCCCGTGTGTCTCTGCGAGCGTGCCCGTGTGTCTCTGCGAGCGTGCCCGTGTGTCTCTGCGAGCGTGCCCGTGTGTCTCTGCGAGCGTGCCCGTGTGTCTCTGCGAGCGTGCCCGTGTGTCTCCCGCGCGGTCGGCACCTTGGCGAGGAGCCGCGGCACGTCCCGCGTGCGCGCCTCCACGTCCCCCGAGAGCCACGTGAGGATCGCGTCGTACGCGGTGTGCTCGCTCCGCACGGTCAGCTCATCCTGGCTCAGCATCAGCTCCAGCTCGTCCGCCGTCAGCTCGCAAAATTGCTCCCTCGAACCCGCCAGCGCCTCGAAGTTTTGCAGCATGAAGGCGAATGCGCTCTGCTGGAGATCGTGCAGGGCGTAGAAGCCGGAGAACCTGTAGACCTCGACGCAGCTGTCGAAGCTGATGTGCTCCCGCAGGAAGGCGCAGCACAGGCGCACGATGCC